TTTGTTCTGCTGCCAAATTACACACTTACAAAAGCTACTACATGCTTTAATATTAACAGCTAACTTAGCAAATAAAAGAAAAACAACAAACGCAGAACTCCTTATTTACTATCTATTTGCAATGTTTTCTGAATGGTGACCATAAAAACCTGTGAGTTTCATCAAACCAGTAAATGTCAGTGATAGTTTTCGAATGACTCCCCTGCACCACTGAGAATGTACTTTTAAGTTTGAGACAATGAGTGTTTTTACATGTACTTAATAATCCGATAACTGCAGAAAATCTGATTTTGTCAGTAATCTGATCAACGTGTTTACATGCACTTGAGTAATCAGATAATAGGGAAACTCCAGGTCCACGAGTCAGACAGTAATGAGATTTCTGCTTTACAACCAGCCAATAAACTCACAGAAGAAGACATGACGTAAACGTAACGTAAAACTCAAACTTCATGCTGCGGCTTTTTTAAAAAAACATTGCACTTCAAAAGTTTTGCTGTCTCGCGGTGAGGCTGCTTGCTTATTTCTGTTACCGCAGTCTGTTTTCGCACATGCGCCGACTGAGAAATCCGAAAGAAATCAGAGTAAGAGTTCACATGCACTGAGAAATCTGATTACTGAGCTAAAATCCAGCTCTCTTTATCAGATTTCTTAATCAGATTTCTAGACCTTACTCCGATCTAAGAAATCAGAGTATGCTGTTTACATGACCATTTCCATAATTAGGTAACTGCAGAAATCCGTATATGATCGGATTATTGAGTGCAGGTAAACACACTCAATGTTGTTTAAGCACATTACAGTGTCTAAATTGGCAGTTTTCTACGAGATCCCGCCCCTACTGAGAGCTCCACCAATCATCACATAGAAGCTGAGCTTCCAGGCCAGACACAAGTTACATTTGTTAACGCTTGCGGTCCGATAAACGCTGAAATATTTTTCATACACAAAAAGCATTCGCGATAGCCTCATAGACTCCCAGCATGGTTTTGAATCTGCTATGAACTTGCATTGAAGCCCAGCCTCAACAGGGTTCTATGGGATGTGCTTCCGCATTCATGTAGACTATATGGTCTATCAGACGCAGCTGCCAGAGTGCAGTGATACAGAGTATATTACAGACGTCATAGTCTTAAAGCAACTGCCATTGATGGGCGGATATAGTATGATGTCCCTGTGGAACTGAATTAACCCCTTAAATGGCCAGGGCCACTTCTATAACCTAAGAATAGTTAAACCAGTTTGCATTAAAGTTCCTGTAGTTACTGAATAATAGGTCCTAGTATGAAATAAGCCTGAGATTTTATGGGGATAACTGAGTCTGATTGGTTGCAATCACCATCAGTGCCAGAAACATGAAAACAAAGATTAATGCTAATGTTATTGGACATTAAATAAGCTCAGAGAGCCTTTTTAAGTGAGACGGTTTTGACTCCGTGCCATCCTGAGCTCTACAAACATGACTGGATATAGTATGATGTCACCGTGCAACTGGATGGGCTGAAAACGATTGGTGGCAGACATCATCAACACTGCAAAACGGCTTGACCGATGGCAACAAATCCCGTCTGATTCTCCCTTGTACTTATTTGATTTGCTTGAAGGAGCTGACCGACTTCTGGACAGTCTGATATAGGGATTTTACAGTCGAGTCCTTGGGGACCCCAGCTAGGCTGCATTCCTGTTGTGTTCCATTTCATAACACACCTGAGCCAGTAATCAGCAGCATGTAACCCCTGATTGCCTGCCTCAGGTGTGTTTAAAGCTGGAATGGAATAAAAATATAGTCTGGCTGGGGGTCCCCAAGGACTGGATGGAAAACCCTGCTCTAATATCCACATATCAGGGTCTATGTGTTCCCTGTTACATGTCTTAGCATCCTGTCTGATTAAGTGTCGGACCAAACAGTAGATAAATTTTCTCTCACCTCTATCTAAGGCTTTCTTAGTGTATTCAAGAAAGATTTAAAGCAAAAATATTCTCACTTTTCTCATCGTAGGTGGTCACATTGCAGTAAATGTAAAATGCCTCAGTACCAAACATCAGTTTGGATATTAAACAGAGCGGAAGATGGTTTAAAACTGAAACAAGATCAATCCTGTGAGGAGATTAGGCCTGCTGTGATGGACTCTGGCCCTTTAGAGACGCCTAAAGCTGGAGTTTTCATCATAAGGCATTAACCTATGACAGATTTCATCATCTGCTATTAATTTACAACAGCCTTCCTCATCAGCTCTTACTTGCGAACGTTCTTCTCATCAGGGACTAATGGCAGTTTTCTTCATCTGATTATTAACCTCTTAAATGGCCTGGACCTGCTGACTTCTATTACAAGTTTTTATAACTTAAGAATATTTCAGGTAGTCAGCAATAAAGTCTATGTAAATGTGTTAATAATAAGCATTAGAATATAATGGGACTTCCTCCCCAACCATTAACTTACACGCTTTGACTTATTAACTTAGGACAGTCTTCTTCATCAGCTGCTGGATTACAACAGCCCTCCACACCAGCTATTACTCAGGACTCTTTCTCATCAGCTTTTAACTTACGACAGTCTTCATATTCAGTTACTAACTAACAATAGTCTTCATATTCAGCTATTAGCCTACGACAGTCTTCATATTCAGCTATGAACTTACGACAGTCTTCATCAACTCACAAGTCTTCATATTCAGCTATTAACTTATGACAGTCTTCATCATCAGCTATGAACTTACAACAGTCTACACATTCAGCTATTAAGTTATGACAGCCTTCATATTCATCTATTAACTTATGGCAGTCTACATATTCAGCTATTAACTTATGATAGTCTACATATTCAGTTATTAATTTTTGACAGTCTACATTATCAGCTATTAACGTACGACAGTCTTCATCATCAGCTATTAACATACGACAGTTCATATTCAGCTATTAACTTACCACAGTCTTCATATTCAGCGGTTAACTTACGACAGTCTACATATTCAGCTATTAACTTATGACAGTCTACATATTCAGCTATTAACTTATGAGTCTTCAACATCAGCTATGAACTTACGAGTCTACATATTCAGCTATTAACTTATAACAGCCTTCATATTCATCTACTAACTTACGACAGTCTACATAGTCAGCTATTAACTTTTGACAGTCTTCATCAGCTATGAATTTACGACAGTCTACATATTCAGCTATTAACTTTTGACAGTCTTCATCATCAGCTATGAACTTACGACAGTCTACATATTCAGCTATTAACTTATGACAGTCTTCATATTCAGCTATTCACTCACGCCAGTCTACATATTCAGCTATTAACTTATGACAGTCTTCATCATCGGCTATGAACTTACAGCAGTCTACATATTCAGCTATTAACCTTCGACAGTCTTCATATTCAGCTATTCACTCATGACAGTCTACATATTCAGCTATTAACTTATGACAGTCTTCATCAGTTATGAACTTACGACAGTCTACATATTCAGCTATTAACTTATGACAGTCTTCATATTCAGCTATTCACTCACAACAGTCTACATATTCAGCTATTAGCTTATGAGTCTTCTTCATCAGCTATTAGCTTAGGAGTCTTCTTCATCAGCTATTAGCTTACAACAACCTATATCATCAGCTATTAACACACAACAAAGATACTGACTTACAGCAGTCTTGCTCGCAATTATATGACTTTTTATCATCAGTTAGTCAATAACAACCGCAATCACCATCTATTACTAATGAACCTTCCTCATCACATACTGACTTACAGTGGTCTGACTTACAACAGTCTTCCTCATCATCTATTATTTATGACAGTCTTGCTCATCATCTATTATTTATGACAGTCTTGCTCATCATCTAACACTTACTCTTAATCATCACGTACTGGCTTACAGCAGTCTTGATCGGATACTGATTTATGACTCTTCATCGGCTACTACTCAAAGTCTTCCTCATCTTATACTGACTTATGACTCATCATCAGCTATTACTCACAGTCTTCCTCATCTGATACTAACTTATGACTCTTCATCAGCTATTAGTGACAGTCTTCCTCATCTGATGCTGACTTGACTCTTCATCAGCTATTCCTGACAGTCTTCCTCACCTGATACTGACTTATGACTCTTCATCAGCTACAACTATCAGTCTTCCTTATTTGATACTGACTTTTTAGTCTTCCTCAGCTATTAACTAAATCTTCCTCATCTGATACTGACCTATGACTCTTCATCAGCTATTACTAACAATCTTCCTCATCTGATACTGACCTATGACTCTTCATCAGCTATTACTAACAGTCTTCCTCATCTGATGCTGACTTGACTCTTCATCAGCTATTACTAACAGTCTTCCTCATCTGATGCTGACTTGACTCTTCATCAGCTATTACTAACAATCTTCCTCATCTGATACTGACCTATGACTCTTCATCAGCTATTACTAACAGTCTTCCTCATCTGATGCTGACTTATGACTCTTCCTTGGCTATTATTAACAATCTTCCTTATCTGATACTGACTTATGACTCTTCCTCGGCTATTATTAACAATCTTCCTTATCTAATACTGCCTTATGACTCTTCATCAGCTATTCCTTACAGTCTTCCTCGTCTGACACTGATTTATGACTCTTCATCAGCTATTCCTGACAGTCTTTCTCATCTGAAACTGACTTTTGACTCTTTCTGAACTATTACTGACAGTCTTCCTCATCCAATACTGACTTATGACTCTTCTTTGGCTATTCCTGACAGTTTTCCTCACCTGATACTGACTTATGACTCTTCATCAGCTATTACTTACAGTCTTCCTCACCTGATACTGCCTTATGACTCTTCATCAGTTATTATGGACAGTCTTCCTCATCTGATACTCACTCATGACCCTTCATCGGCTATTCCTAACAGTCTTCCTCACCTAATACAGACTTATGACTCTTCATCAGCTACTACCAACAGTATTCCTCATCTCATGGTGATTTAGGACTCTTTATTAGCTACTACTTACAGCAGTCTTCTTCATCGCTGTTGTCCGAGCAGTCATCATCATCGTCACACCTCCAAATGCTCATGATGCATTTCTTGTTCTTGCACTGAAACTGTCCGTCCTCGCACTCCTCCTCGCTCCCTGTGTGATCAAAGGCAGCAGAGAAAGCGTTACAGAGCATCTGCTGTACAATAAGGACAGAGAAAGCGCCATAGAGCGCTACCATTCACAACAGCCATCAATACACTGAGAGGGGATTGATTCAGAGGGCTTTGAGCGGCGCTTCACGATCAAACAAGACTACAAAATGCGAGAAACGCAATAAATGAACGACATGCTCCTGTTTATTTTATTGCATGCATTCCCATCAATTATGGTCCCAGAAGAGGAAGAGGAAGATGATGCTGATGATGCTCTGGGCACAATAACTATCAGGTGGAGACAAACCGTTTCTGTTCTAGACTATTCGTGGTATACTTAGCCCTTTTTAGCTATAAATGGGGGAGCAAGGACGCCTGCTTCAGTCATAGACTTCCACCAGCACATGGGCTGCAAGAAAGTAGTCCAAATATGCACATTTCGCAGGTCCAGCATCATAAATCCATTCAATTCAGCATCGTTTCACTCCTTCTGGGCTTAGTTTGAAAATAACCAACCTTTTCCTGAATACAGCCCCATCGTTAGCAAGTGCAAAAACAGTAATTTTCCTATTACAGTCCACATTTCGGAGATGGGTTTTATGGCGTTCATCCACAAACAAAGCAGGTCCGGATAGCGCTGCTCTCTATCGACGCGGACGGAGCTGCTTCACCGAGCGTCCAATCAGCGAGCGCGGGAGTGGCTTATGCAAATGAGAGGGAAGGCCTTATGTGAATTATGAAGGAGGGCGGCGTTGCCCAGGCGACGCGAACGCAGCAGCTTTACAATCGCTTCCCTGGCAGTTTGAAAGGGGAACTCCATCAAATTTCAAAATTTTACAAAATTACCACATAAATGTCAAAGCCATTCAGACTGGTTTGGTGTGAAATGCTGCGTTCTAGAGAAACGTCAGCCGAGTGGTGGTGATAAGGAACCAGACGTCCACCTCTAAAAGCTCCCTCACAGCTGGAACGTTTATGAATGTGCTGCATTGTTTTAAGATAGTTTTGTGATGAAGTTTTGTCTTAAAATGTATTTTAATCCATTCATGGTGGAGGAGTACATGCAGGGCACTGTGGGGCAAAAAAAGTCCGCAATAAAAACGTATTATTATATTTGGATTTAGACTAGTAAACAGTAAATAGCAAGTCAGATAGTAAATAAAATGGCTGTATTTGTGTTGTAGACATGGCGACCCCTGGTTCCTATAACCACCACTGTGAAGAAATCTGAGTCTCTATATTCAACCATTTCACATCAAACCACTCAAAATAACTGTACATCTCAAGGACTGAATTTTTCAGAAATGTTGAAAAATTGGTGGAATTCACCTTTAAGGCATGGAGTTTATAGAGGCAATATGGGCGGGGTTTATGCAAATATGTCTTAAAAAAGAAGGGTGAGGTTTCCGGAGACGCCAATTTCGCTGAATCTCCAATCACAGACCGCAGGAGGGCTTTATGCAAATATGAAGGGCGGGGCTATCGCTCGCTGTTCCGAATGACGACACCAGACGTGGGAGGATTTCATGCTAATATTAAGGGAGGAGCTTATCCAAATACGATTTATCTGCTTGGAAGAAGGAAACAGCAAAGGAAGAAGACAATATAGCAACATTTTTGAGTAGATCTCTTTATGGCCAGCCGGTCAGTGTCCGCACAGAATAGCCAAATGGTGATAAAAGAAAATCCATATTTATCACCACTATCAATCCAACAGGCGAGCCAAGTATTAAAGACATAGAAGAGCTTGTAACAGTTCTATAATGACTGGAAAAGGGGGCTTTTTAGAGTCCTTGCTAAGGTGACTTTCACAAGGGCAGCAATTACAGCTCAGTAAAACAATGGGATCCAAACCACTGACTGCACAGCAGGCCCTCCGACAATAAAGGAGATTCTGTCAGTCAAAACTAGGCCACGGATAATCAGTCATTTTAATAATGGTAAGCTGGAGCTGAACCCCTTCCCCCAGCCTTTTATTCGTTTCCGTGAAAAAAAAGAACAATTTACAGGCGCTGGGGGACTTGGGCTTGTTCCCACTCGATTTTAAAAAGGTCTCGGTGTGTAACCTGTCTACCTTCAGCTTCTGCATGAATAAACCCCATCTCATTTTAAAACCCTGAGGATGGGGAAGGGTGTTATTTTTTTTAAGCAAGAGCTTCTAGTCGAGTAACTTAACTCAAAAGTTGTCTGTATGCTCAAATTTAATGTCCAGGCTGTTCTGGATTTTGCAATTCAGTTCATTCACTTATGTGTGAAATAGGCATTTTGAATATGTGAAGAACAACTGAGGAACTGACCAGCCACTTCATTAAAACCACCTCCTTGTTTCTACACTCACTGTCCATTTTATATAGATGCACTGTAGTTCTACATTTACAGACTGTAGTCCATCTGTTTCTCTGCATACTTTGTTACCCTGTTCTTCAGTGGTCAGGACCCCCACAGGACCCCCACAGAGCCGGTATGATTTGGGTGGTGGATCATTCTCAGCACTGCAGTAACACTAACATGGTGGCGGTGTGTTAGTGTGTGTTGCGCTGGTCCAAGTGGATCAGACACAGCAGTGCTGGGGAGTTTTTAAACACTGTGTCCACTCACTGTCCACTCTATTAGACACTCCTACCTTGTAGATGTAAAGTCAGAGACAGTAGCTCATTCTCTAGTCCTTTTTCAGTGGTCACAGGACGCTGCCCACAGGACGCTGTTGACTGGATATTTTTGATTGGTGGACTATTCTCAGTCCAGCAGTGACAGTGAGCTATTTAAAGACTCCAGCAGCACTGCTGTGTCTGATCCACTCGTACCAGCACAACACACACTAACACACCACCACCATGTCTGTGTCACTGCAGTGCTGAGACTGATCCACAACCCAAATAACACCTGCTCTGTGGTGGTCCTGTGGGGGTCCTGACCACCGAAGAACAGAAATGAGGAGGTGTACTTAATGAAGTGGCCAGTCGGTTTATATTCAAATGTCTGTGAAACTTCTAATGAGTTTCTCATTCAAAGTCAATTAGCGGTATGTTTGTCCTAAAATGGAACCCACCGCTACGAAAATGCTCATTTCTGTTAGCATTCCTAGCAGGATTCTCTGAGTTTATTAGCACTAAGCTAAGCGACAGTGACATATCTGGGGCTTCCAGAAGGCCGAGAGTGACTTCTTTTCTCACAGAGGTGGTCTTTGCCTCTTGGAAAACAAAATGTGATTGGTTGATATCTCTGTCACTACCTAATTACGCTGATGGTTAATCTAACGTGTTAGGCCTTCTCTTCAGCTCCTGAAGTCCTAACCAATAGGAGAGCTTGCTTGGCTATATCAATCTACTATAGAAAAAAACAACTCCTGATTGGCCAGGTCTCCACTGGACATTTCAAGAATTTAACCCTTTTGTCTAAACTGAAAGAGAAGCACTGTAACATTGCAGAGCTTAAATACATGCATAATCCTAGTAAGTAAAAATGAACTAAAAATTACAGACATGTATTCTTCAGCTCCCAGAAATCATTTGGCCTCCTCTGAAATCCATGAGGGTTCCCCTCTGAGAATATCAGACTATATCTGCTTTGCATAGCACCGAGAGAAGGAACACTGAACACTAGAAGGTAGAGAACTTGAAAGAAGAAATATGCTGTGTAATACTGCCCCTCCTACAGACTAGTGAAGACAGATAATAGAAAGAAAGGCCTATGCAGATTGACTAATAAGTCATAGCACTCAGCCGTCATCACTCTTGTTACGACATCTGAGCCAATGCCCCCGAAGCACTTCACGCAGAACACGACTTCTGTGAGCGAATCTAATGAATCATTTTTAGTCCTCCTTTTTCTTGTCATTGTGTGTAATACTAATAAATTTGGCGACTCTATTTGGAATTTTGTTTCTTTTATTGGCCATTATTTCCTGTGCAGCCTGCAATCACGTCCATGTACGTGTACGCGCAGGACTGTGATGTATAGACACGTCTGGGTTAAATGAGCCTTGAGAGTTTCAGAGTCGAAGTCTGTACTGAAAAAGAAAAGATAAAAAAGTCATTGTCACCAGAGTAAAAGCAGGAAAGTCGGAGATCTGATCTGGAGCCGACAGGCCGGGAAAAAAGAAAGAGAAAAAAGAAAGTGAAAAGGTCAAACGGGTCCTCATGGTTTATACTCGGAACTCAAAAGCCAGTGAGCGACCATCCGAAGTATCCAAGAGATTGTGGTCCAAAATGTCCGACATCTGGATTTTCTCATCCATCAAAGCTCTGCAGATGTTTATTTTCACTCCCAAATAAGCAGAGTGCCATGGTCTGATTTCTTTGCTGATCACCTGCATTGAAAGGCTCATTCCTCAGAGAAATGCAACAGTCCACCTAAAAACTAAGCCTAAAAAAGTGGAAATGTTGACGCTACCGAATAACAGGTTTCAAAAGTATTCATTGTTTTATTAAACCATTTATGCCCAGCTAAATGCATTATAATAAGGAAAAATACCATAGAACCTGTTCTGATTGATATAAAACACGGGTTCCTGAATGAAAATGTAAAGTTAGGAAGGTGTTAAATTGAGTTTTAAGAATGTATTTTGGAACATTACACTATACACCAATCAGGCATAACATTCTGACCACCTCCTTGTTTCTACGCTCATTGTCCATTTGATCAGCTCCACTTACTATATAGGTGCACTTTGTAGTTTTACAGTTACAGACTGTAGTCCATCTGTTTCTCTGCATACTTTGTTAGCCCCCCTTTTACCCTGTTCTTCAGTGGTCAGGACCCCCATGGACCCTCACAGAGCAGGTACTATTTGGGTGGTGGATCATTCTCAGCACTGCAGTAACACTGACATGGTGGTGGTGTGTTAGTGTGTGTTGTGCTGGTCAGAGACGATAGCTCGTCTGCTGCTGCACAGTTTGTGTTGGTCATCCTCTAGTCCTTCATCAGTGGTCACAGGACACTGTTGGTTGGATATTTTTGGTTGGTGGACTATTCTCAGTCCAGCAGTGACACTGAGGTGTTTAAAAACTCCCCAGCACTGCTGTGTCTGATCCACTCGCACCAGCACAACACACACTAACACACCACCACCATGTCAGTGTCACTGCAGTGCTGAGAATGATCCACCACCCAAATAGTACCTGCTCTGTGAGGGTCCATGGGGGTCCTGACCACTGAAGAACAGGGTAAAAGGGGGCTAACAAAGTATACAGAGAAACAGATGGACTACAGTCTGTAACTGTAGAACTACAAAGTGCACCTATATAGTAAGTGGAGCTGATAAAATGGACAACGAGCGTAGAAACAAGGAGGTGGTGATAATGTTATGCCTGATCGGTGTATTTTGTTACACAAATGCTTCAGAAATACAATTTAATGGCACCTATATTGTGGAGCCCCAGTTCTCTGTTTGCTGTATTGGAAGAAATATGTTCATAAGATTATTCTTTGAAAGGAGAACACTTATTTTACAAAATTTCTTCTGAGATTATTTTGCCTTACAATGAGCTGCACCTCTCCACCATGTATTTTAAAACTACATTTAAGGCCCAAATCATATCACAAAATTACCAAAAAAAAAAATAAAATAAAACAACATCTCAGGTATTAGGTAACGTATTCATAACCATTTCGTGTAACAAACTTTCTTGAATTGTAGTTTTTTGAGACGGTAAACTGTTCAGATGTCTGGTTCCTATCCTCTCATATGTAAATGTCTCTACAATTGTTCATTTCATACCAAACCACTCTGGATGACATTGTTTACATCTTAACAATTTAACTATGCAGAACTTTTGAAAATTTGGTGGAATTACCCTTTTAGGGTACCTGTGTGACTGCAGACACTAACCAATAACAGCTCTTTTTTGGAACTTCAAAATAAAGTTCATCAAAATAAAAATGTACAACAGTTATACCAACTTAAAATACTTCCCCTGCTATTTCACAAGCAAGGACTTCCTTTTGCTTTTACACCAAAGTAGGCAGAAATATATACAGTACTTGTACTCTACACTACAGAACCCCTGGTGAAATAGTGATTATTTTTTAAAAGGTGTGGCCACGAATTACTACACTGAGGCCACAAATTGGTATATTGAGGCCACTTAATTACTTTATTGAGGCCACTATTATATTGAGGCCACGAATTACTACACCGAGACTGTTAATTACTATATTGAGGCTACCACTTACTATATTGAGGCCACCAATTAATACACTTAGGCCACAAATTACTATATTGAGGCCACCAATTACTATACTGAGACCATGAATTACTATATTGAGGCCTCAGATTACTATACTGAGACAATGAATTACTATATTGAGACCACAAATTAATGTATAAAGGCCACTAATTCCTATATTGAGGCCACAGGTTACTATATTGAGGCTACAAATTAATACACTGAGGCCACAAATAAATATTTTGAGGCCACAAATTACTATATTGAGGCCACCAATTACTGTACTGAGACCATGAATTACTATATTGAGGCCTCAAATTACTATACTGAGACCATGAATTACTATATTGAGGCCACAAATTAATGTATTAAGGCCACTAATTACTACATTGAGGCCACAGGTTATTATATTGAGGCTGCAAATTAATACACTGAGGCCATGAATAAATATTTTGAGGTGACAAATTATTCCAACGGGGCCACAAATTAATACACTGAGGCCAGGAATAAATATATTGAGTCACACATCACTATACTGAGGCCACAAATGGAAACACTGGGGCCATGAATAAATATATTCAGGTGACAAATAACTATATTGACACCACAAAAATACTGAGGCCACGAAATACTCTATTGAGGCCATAAATCAATATATTGCGGTGATAAATTACTGCACTGATACTATTTTGATAGCCTCAATATATTAATTCCTGGTTACGCTTTATTAGAAAATAATCGCCGTGTCACCTTTGGGGCTCCATACTAAAGTAATACTTTACTAATGTTCTCTCCGCTGTTACTCTTAGCGCAGAAATATAGCTACTTTGTCCCTCCGTGTTAACTGGTCAGTAATGGGGAAAGTCCCGAACTCCAGACTGACCTGTCTCGCCAGACGGAGTCTGATTATATGACTGTTTTAAGGGTTGGGAAAGCTCGACCTTCAGCTTTCTCACGGCAGAACCGCTACAGTGTTGATCAGTCGGGCCTCCTGCTGACGAAGTAACGGTAACGGAATTTGTGCTCGTTTTAGTTTGGCTGACATTTCTAAGACGGTACCGGCCGCGAGTTTAGCTGCTGTTTCTATTACGGTACTTATTCGTTTTTCGGCCGTGACGGTTACAGGCGATGAATTCAAAAGACAACAACCTGAAAAAGGCGCGAAGCCCGAAGTGCGCGCGGTGCCGTAACCATGGCTTCGCCGTGGAGCTGAAAGGCCATTCGGGAAAATGCCCGTTCTTGGCGTGCACGTGCTGGAAGTGCTCGCTCATCACGGAGCGGACGAAGATCATGGCGAGCCAGAGGCGGATCCGCAGAGGGCTGCCGAGCGACGGAGGCAAAACGGCGGCTGGCGGTGCGAACGGCGACGCACCAGGGAGCGGCTCGCGAGCGGCGGGCGATGCTACGAAGCGAGTAGCGGACACTGGGAGCTCTGGAATCCCGCATCTTACCGTCCACGGCACCCGGGGCCTCGACGGAGCCGTTATCAGAGGTAAAGTCACCGGTAAACGGCACAGCGCCTGCTTATACTGGTGCTAGCTTACATTGGCTTTCACTGAAGTAAAAGTTACCCGAGGTTTACTGTTTATTTTTAAACTACAGCGTCACTCAGCTACTAACTTACCGACACTTTTATTCAGAATATCTCGTTAGGCTCGTTATAACCGGCTTTAAGTCACAAATATACAAATTGTTTATTAAAAACATGATTTAGACTCGCGTGGAGCTAAGTAAACGCGACGTTAGCTAACGTTAGCTGTTACAGGCGTAGATTAGCCTACCCAGCTAGCTAACGCTAACTTAGGCTGCGTTCACACAGCAGGTAAAAGTGGCGCAAATCTGATTTTCTCACCAAATCCGATTTTTTTTGTTTGGCTGTTCAGATTATCTTTTAAACGTGATCTGTATGCGACATCAGTCTGAACAGATCAGCTCCTAAACCGACCCGCATGCGCAAAATAACAGAGCTTTACGTGGCGGCTCGTCCAGAGGTGAACAGTCATGACGGCCAGCGAACGCCAGTCGCTCCCGGAGCTTCAGCTTCGGCTTCGCCAGCATCACAGGAGCGAGTATGAGGTTCCAGTGGTTGACAGCTGGACTCATCACTCACAGTGTGTTCGAGTTCGCCGTATAAAGGGCTCGTTATTCGGCCACGGCCACTTCTTTGGTTCGGGTCCTCGGATTCTTTAAACTGGTCTCTGACGCTGCAGCCTCGGGCTCCTCCGGCCGCGCTCGGCCGCTTCGATCGAAACCTCTTCAGACTCGGAGCCGTTTGATGAGCCTCTTCTAATGTTTTGGTACAGAAACATCAGACTAAATGTTTTTGAGCCCCAGCAGCGAAATTATGACGAATGTCGAGTTGGACTGACGTAAAAGTCGCATGAATTCCGATCTGGCTGTTCAGAGAGTCGCACTGCCGCAGATCGGATACGGATCGGATTTCAGTACCACATATGAAAGCGTCTCAAATCGGAATTGAAAATGTCAGATTCAATGCGTTTTTTGCTGTTCACACAGACACACATCTGTGTCACATTTGAGGAAAAAGATCGGATTTGGGCCACTTTTACCTGCTGTGTAAACGCAGCCTTAGTGTCTTTAACGGTAGTTTTAGAGTTTGTAACCAAACTGCACATTAAAAAGATGGTTCTTAAAGGGTTCTTCAGTGAAGGGAATGGTTCTATTTAGAAGAGAACTGGTGGAGGATATGCTGTAAATTACGGAGCCTCTAAGGGGCTGTGGTTAAAAAAAAATAATAAAAAAAGTTAATGACATTGCGTTCCCTCGCAAAAAATGCGTTCCCTCGCAAAATATATGCTTGTCAGACAGCAAGCAAATGTATGACCAGAGGTGCCCAACGACATTGCCTACATTAGAGCTTTGTTTTCAGCATATTTAACGTTAAAAGCTGTTTTCCCAGTTTGGCCAGTCTGTGCTGAGTTTATTCAGTTATTGTTCTCTACAGTGTCTGTAAATGTTGCTTTTACTGTAAGAGGACCCTCGACCTCAGTTTCAGTTTGAGTCACTAACAGCAGAATCAGCTTTTGCAAGCGAATGCAAACCGTGGCATCATAATGCAAAACATTTGTGAGGGAACGGATATTTTTTTGTGAGGGAACGCATTTTATTTGCAAGGGAACGCAAAACATTTGCAAGGGAATGCAAAACATTTGTGAGGGAAGCAATGTCATTAATTTTTTTTTTTTTTTTAACCACGGCCCCTTAGGGGCTCCGCAGTAAATTGTTCTATACAAAGGTGTTTTTTTTTTTAAAGTCTTGCACCAAAAAGGTGCTGCTAATGTTACAAGCTTGAAATCAAAACAGTAGCAGAACCATCTTTAAAACATATAACACCTTCCCCATCAATCTAAAAAGCCATTTCACCATGCAAAAAAGCATTAAAAATGGAAATAGTTTCTATAAAGAATTCGTGGTTCACTGCTGTCGGAAGAAAACCTCGTATGTCCAAAACGATAACTGTACATTCTTTACTTTTGTACTTTACTTTTTTTTTTAAGTATTCTTTACTTTTAATGTAAGTCAGTGGAACCAGAATTTTTTCCAAGTCATTCTTTTGGTCAGTTCTTTGTGAAATTTACGCACAATGTAAAGGGCAACAGGAATTTTCAAATGATGTCAAAAACTGAAAAACGACAAAAATGGAGATACAAGGTTTTCTTCCAACAGCAGCGGTATGTGTATTCACAGTATCCAGTTAGACTCTAGACGTCTTATTCATTCATTGTAAATGAGAGATTTAGCCTCTTGCTTGGTTAAATGTGTTGTAATTAAATAATAGATGCTACATTAGTTACTAAAGACTGGCACAACAACTTCAATGTAAAAGTCATTCATTGTTTACTTGATGAAGAACATTGTGGCCCTGCTAATGACCCTTTTATTCAAAACATTCCTTTCTGAACAGTGAAATTTGTAGTACTTAAACTCGCTTGCCTTACAAGCCATGCCAAGGAGATCAGAGGCCATTCCACTTTCCATCTGTGGCCTAATTATGTACGGTCAGTAATACAAAGTGAACTGGATAATCTATGCTGTGTCTCGATTTGAGATGGGAAACAATGGGCATAGTAACAGCTTATTCTCAACAGGAGTGAATAAAATGCGTGTAACAAAAATTTAATAACTGATTGGAAGTACTTAAGCGGGATTATTAAGTAATGCGGTTTATTCGTTTGATGTACTTTTTTTAAAACCTGCCAAAATCATGACAAACCAGCCCAAATTTGGTCCACCCACCAAAGCACTTTTCTCCCACCTAAACCCATAGATATACATAAATTAATGCCTAAATATGTCTTTATATCTATGCTTAAACCATTCAAAATCCATCCAATCTGGCAGGAAACCACCCAATCTGGCAACACTGCATGCTGACACATATAACATATATGAGGAGAGAAGCGTGAGGTGCTTTGTATCTACAGAGAAATAAACCAGACAAAAAAGTAGTGATTCGTTAGAGGGCTCTTTGCATATCGCAGACTTTTGCGATATCAGCATTGCAAAGGCCAATATTGCAATAGTTATTAACGTACAGTTCATTGCGCAGCTCTATCTTGAACAACATGCTCACATTTAAAACCTTAATCTTATTTTTCAGACCCAGCCCATCCTTGGCAGTGCGCTCTAACAGAAATGCCACAGAAGAACACTTACTCAGGCGAGATGTTAGGGATGGTGATGCCTTTCCAGCTGTCTTCCCACCATCCTGACAGCTTTGTGTATCCAGCTTTTCTGGTGAACGTCAAAGTGCCTCCCTCAGGCGCCGTTGGTGCCAGAGAAGCCATTAGTGTTCCTTACCTCCCACCACTGGCATACTCACCAGAGCCAGGGGTGTCACAGGTAAGTGTTTTGAGCTGAGTTGCAGCTGTGGCTGTTGAATTAAAACTGAATCCTGTGTAAGATATTTCAGCACTGCAGACGCTGCTCTGGTTATGGCGTTGAGTTTAGTAGCAGATGGTCTGGCACATGTGAAGAAGAGGCTTGTGACCCATTTTGTTTAAAAGTATTCATTGTTGCTTGTTTCAGATTCTTGACGGGGGCTTTCAGGCCAATTTGCATTCAGATCATATTCCAGATGGTGTAGAGCAGAGGTCTCAATCGCAGCTCTGGAGACCCACTGTGCTGCAGTTTTAAATATTCCCTGCCCAAACACACCTGAATCAGCTCATTATTAAACTGAGTTGGGTCAGAATTAGATAAAGCAAAATCAGTCATTGTCTTACATTTAAAATTGTGTTCATTATAACTAAATTCAACGTGCAGCTTGCATTGTTGCAAAGTGTAGGTTTATACTATTAGAGATGGTATAATACCATTTAAAAACTGCTGAGCTGTAAAATTTGCTATTTTTAATTGAAGTGCTTCACTTAAGCATCTAAAAGAAGGCTGTTATGCTGAAATGAACCAGTCATTCTTCTACGCCATACAGACATACACAGCTAACAACATGACATAATGACAAAATTTCCCATATACCATCTCTATATGGTATGTATAACTGCATTCATGGTCAGCTTCTTTTCAGATTATATAGTCACATTGTAATTAGTGCTCTTTTTAAGTGAACTACTCTTACCACAGCAGATGGCACTTGTTTTAGCCCAGCTTGAGGCTTGGTTATATGACAGCCAAATACTACTGAAAATGAAAGTTAAATTTGAATTATAATGTGAAAAAAAACATCCCACATTGCTCAAACTGTTATTTATATAAGTAGTTATAAATCATATAAATTGTAATTCAAGTTGGTTTAAGTGAATGTAGAGTGATCTCTTGGGTCAGAACTGGATATGGTCACTGATTGAAACGCTCTGTATCTACAATGTAATGATGCTCTTTGGCAGTGACTGACAATATGCACTTCTTAAAAAAAATCACAGTTTGTAGTATTTGAGAATCAATCAGCAGTAATGTTGTAAACAAAAATGACTTAATGAAATGCCTGTTTTGGTATCTTACAACATTTTCATAATGTCCACAGGAAGGTCTAGTGCCCTGCTATGCATCATACCTTCCATATTCCTGGGTTCAGGAGGAGTGCAGCCCAAAGCCTCATCCCTACGCTCTGTCCAGCAGGGAGAATGACTATGGAACTGGGGGTCCTTCTTCACCATATGGACGTGACCAAGGTATGATTGGAATAGGGGGAAAGACATCTCAACTGTCTGTACCAGGGTAGCCCAGTCCTGGTCCTGGAGATCTACTCCACAAGTGGTCACTCCCTGGACCCTAGTAATCTGCATATAGACAGATGTGTAGGATCTGTCTATATGCAGGGTGGAAGATCTCCAGGACCAGGATTGAGCACCCGTGGTCGATATCATCAATATGTCATTCAGAAGAATCATTAGGCTACGTTTACAGGTAAAAGTGGCCCAAATCTGATGTTTGGCTGGTTACATTATCTTTTAAATGCACCTTATTCCACATCAGTCTGAACAGATCAGCTCCTAAACTGACCCGCATGCCCAAACAAACAATGCTTGATGTTGCTTCATGTGGCTCATCCAGAGGTAAACAATCATGACCGCCAACGAACACCAGTCGCTCCCGGAGCTGTCAGTTTCGTCTTCACTGGCATCACAGGAGCGATTGTGAAGTTCCAATGGCTGACAGCTGGGCTCTTCACCCACTATGTGTTTGAGCTTGCCGTAAAAAATGCAGGTTATCCACCTCTTTGGTTTGTGTCTTCTGATTTTTTGAAATCTTTTTTTTCTTGACGCTGCAGCCTCGTTCTGTTATGGCTGTGTTTGGCCTTTTCATTCAGTCTCTTTGAACACGGAGGGTTTTGGATAATTCTCTTCTAATTTTTTATACAGAAACATCACCCCAAATGTTTATGAGGCCTCAGCAGCAAATTATGACGAATGTCGAGTTGGACTGACGTAAAAGTCACGTGAGTCGCATTGCTGCATATCAGATATGTATTTCAATACAACATATGAAAGCGTCTCAAATCGGAATTGAAAATGTCAGATTCAGTGTGTTTTTTGCTGTTCACACTGACACACAGACACACATCTGTGTCACATTTGAGGAAAAAGATCGGATTTGGGCCACTTTTACCTGCCGTGTGAACAAAGCCTTAGAGTACATTTTCAGCTGCCAAAGATCAGATCAATTAAGTGTAAAATGACAAAACACATAACCATTAAAACATGAAGAGATTTTTTCTTTCCCGCAATGTATTAAATCTGTTGTCTCCTGGTTTCTCCATATAGGGGTGGTTCAAGTTAGCCAGGAAAGAGATCTCATAATCGTGGACAATGATTTCTCCTCCAAGGATACGGCCTGAACAAAAAGAGAAGAACATCGACCCGTGTGTCCTCTTGAAAAACTCGTCCGTTTTAATTTTCACACCCATAAAGAGTTCAATTTTGGAAAACATGGCAAACTGATTAATGAAGGTGCGCTAATACTACTTCTTGAAAATGCCACCATTGTGGTTGATGATTTAAAAAAACATGCGCATTTATCTTAAGAATGAAAACTATCACAGGAAAACCTATACAGGCCAAAATCTAATGTAGAACAAGGTTTATTATCATGCACAGTAGAATTTTGTCAATTTTCAATCTGGCCTATTTTCTAACATTATGCAGCACATTCATAACTTTGAATAAGCCTTATGGCTATTTAAGTCTGACTTTGGACCAAACCGCACAGACAGTGGGGATTGCCATTGAAGATCCTTAACCCAAAAAAATATACTGTCCCAGTTATTTTAAATTAATTTTTCTATGTTTGGTTGTGATTTAAAAATTGCATATATATGCACAGTTTTGAAGTTTATGTTCTGCATGTTTACTGTTGGTCGTAGTTGTTGTTTCTGTGCTTACATTTGTTTGATCTGTTTGAGATCTTCAGCAACACATAAACATGAAAGTGTAAGAAAGCTTAACTCGTTCAAAGTTAGTTTACTCAGTGTAGCTTGAGGCCACCTTAAAGTATATTTTTGCACACCAGCTCAAGATTTCAGCTTTGTAGAAGACCAGGCAAGGCCCTTTTTTCTAATAAACGTTCTGTTCCATTCTTGTGATTTGCTCTCTCATTATTTTAATATAAAAAGACTTTCATCTTAATCTTTCATCTACCGAGGACCCGCCCTACCTCGGCTGCAGCCTAGGCTTTGGAACGGTACAATTTGGTGTGATTCAGCTATTCCAGCCAGCTTAGACAAACAGGGCCTGATTCTGGAACAAACACACTAATGATGTACTGGAGGTACAGTTTAGCATCTTCCCAGTTAGAACACAAAAGATTCAGCTTATGAACTAATTAGATGCCGAGTTAATCAGGTATTTCGAGGATTTGGAATACAGCTGGCGGATATGTAAATTCCCGCAAACAGAGCTCGTGAAAACTTGACAGAATACTCTGCTGAGCCCACTCTCCGCTCACTGAAAGCAGGACCCACCACAACTCCAGAATGGTTTGCCATTTCAGACAGTGGCCATGGTAACCAGTCACACGGGAAAGGTCAAAGCTTTATGAGTCACTCTAATCCTACTTTGAAATATTTAATGAGCAAAGTCATGAAATTAAGTGTCGTGAATATTATATTTGCGAGTATGTACTGTTTGTACATATCTTTGCCCTTCAAACACCCACTGTTGACTTTATTAGAAGCATCCATCAACTGTTGCTACACAGTTTGCCAGCTGCCCTCTACTGGTCAGTAGGGCTGAAAGATTAATCGTTTTTATTACGAAATCGCAATTAAAGACATTGCTGTTTTCAGATCTCATTTTTTTAACCTCTTCAACTCCTTGAGACCACCGGTGGTTCCAAAACGCACTTCGTCATATTCTTCATAACTTTCATATTTCATAAGCTACATTCTAAAGGTGGGGGTCGTATGAGGCTGTAACTCTTCTTTCCAGTCAAATAGATGGGTGATGTAATTTTAAACCCTTATAATAAAAGAAGCTGAACTCAACTGTTTTTTCTACTGAAAGTCGACCCATTTTTCCACAAATCTGGGCTATAAACTATAAACAGACAGCGTCTCTTCAGTGATCTGCTCTATAAAAATTATTTTTATAAAATAATACAAAGAGCGTCCAAGATTTTTGGCTTTCAGCAGTAAATTGTAAGCATATAGCAATATGTGTATCATAAAACACATTTTCTGTTCATTTGAAGGGAGCTTTTACAAAAAAATAAATAAAATAAAAATTTACATTTATTTCATGCAGTTACTGAATAATTTGCCTTACGATTTTGGTCATGAAAATTCAGATGGAAAAACCAAAATATACCCTGGAGAATAAGAGGTTAATTATAGCCTACAGTCTTAAAAATGTTTCTTTAGTAAAGACAGTCATTCTATATAGAACCAAGAACACTAAACCACCCATCTGCATGCTTAAAAAGTTCTTTGCATGGTGAAATAGTTCTTAAGACTGATGGAGAATGTGTTGTATAGGGTTCTAGATAGAACCAAAAAGGGTTCTACTATTGTTATGATGTCAGACTTGTAACAATAAAAACATTTCGGTGCTATATAGAACCATATACAACATCATCAATCTGAAGAACCAGTTTTAGGCATACAAATGGGTTGTTGTGTTTATGTTTCTATATAGAACCATAGTCTTGACTAAAGAACCCTTGAAGAACCATCATTTTTAAGTGTGTGCATTAGCAAAAACGTTTTAAGTTTTCAGAAGGGAAACTGAACCTAATAAGAGCTTGTAAAATGCCTGTAGGTAAGTTAGACCAATCAGAGGCAACCAAACCTCCATGTGTTGTGACATCACAACCACAACTTATTGGCAGTTTGGCTCACTACATTCAGGGGTCAAGCTTCAAGCCAGAAAAGGTGGATATTCTGGTCTTCCTGGCCAAAATAAATCAGGCCAGAATCACCATTTATAAACAAAAAAATAATAATAATTTAAATTGTAGTTGCAATATTAGTCTGAAAAATCGCAATTAGATATTTTTCCCAAATTGTTCAGCCCTACTGGTCAGTTTCTGGCCACAGGGCTGCTGCTGCTATTACTTGGGTGGTAGACCATTTTCAGAACAGCAGCAACACTGACGTGCCTCTCCCCACCGCCTCAGTATGTTTTAAAACAAGGTCCATTTTAACATGCCTTCATCCACTTGGCCTTGGCCATTTACCCTCGGGGGAACCCTGAAGACATCTCAAGGGCTATTACATTTCTTCAGTAGCCCAACTGAAGTTAACAGAGGGATCTTGTGAACATAAGCGTCAACTTCAGCAGCAGATCTGCTTTTCAAACCCGAAAAAAATGCAATAAAACTGCAATAAAATGCTTAATATTTCAAAATAACATTCAATTTGCTGGGCTTTACTCCATCTATTATTCATAAATGCTTCCACAACTTCATCGGTTTACTCTAAAACCTACACGGCTAGCAACAACAAAAAGAACAGCAACACGTCAGCTTTTAAACCAAAGCCTAAAGCTAGACAAATCAATCATTCACAACTTTTACCTATTTTATGTTCAAATTTCTAAACATTGCATTGCAAAGAGCTCAGTAAGGCTAACCTAGTGGGGGTTGAGTGGGGTCAGATTGGTTAGTCCGTCTCGCTGCCCCTCCTTCTCCTGAGCGGTGAGTTGAAGTTGGCGAAGGCATGTTAAAAATGTTGAAACAGGACCATAGTAGTGTGTGGTGTGGGGTGCTGGTACAAGTATATAAGGGGTTTTTACACACGTCAGGGGTGTCAAACTGGATTCCTTTTAGGCCTTAACTGATCCGCTAATTAGCAAGGCCTTCATGACTGTATGAAGAGAGAAAGTGCTCATCTCTGCAGAGCTGTGGACCAGAAGGAGCCCAATTTGAGACCCCTGGGCTAAAGAATCACACAAATTGAAGACGACGTTTCCAGGAAGCTCGAAAGAATAAAAATTGCATGACTCACTTTGTCAAAAACACATTATTTCTCTAATAAAGGTGGTATTAACCACAATATAGCACTGCTATTTCTAGTATGTGTAAAGGCCACTCCCATCAATGCACATCATAGAAAAAATTAAATTCATAAAAAGTGTATTTTCACGCATTTTGCAGTGGAGCCCTTTAATTATTACATAATCGCCTGATTGCAGTTATTCGACACTGACCGTAGTTTCATCTGTTGATATTTCCATGTTAATCTTTCCTTGAGATCCACAATACTTCTTCAAAATGCTGTAGATTTCAGTCATATTTTCCTCTCTCGTGGCTTTAGTTTGAAAGTGGCACCAGCCCCTTTCATTCGCTACGCATCCGTGACGGCAACTTGTTGAATACGCCTCTTCTTCCTTCATGACGGGAAACAAACGTCATACTCCTCCTGGCACTGAGAGAACGCTAAAGGTTCCCAAATGAGCCTCTTGACTTGGGTATATCTAAACTTAGCAGCAGTATAAACCGCGCTGTCGACAGACTTCAAACAGGGCCGGTGGGCGGCTAAGCCAATTAGCACAGCCGTCCATTACGCTCCCATGAATATTAATATCATCCGCTGGCACAGCTGAGTGGAGCATTTAAAGCCGATTTAGCCATGTCAAGATTCAGAAGATTCAGGCAAATGAAGTGGAAGACAAGTGTTTTTGCTTGTTCCAAGTCCGAAAGCTAAATTAATTCGTATAATTATGAGAGCAGCGCTAATTTAAGACCATCAACTTTAACACAGAGAAATATTTGGGTTTCTGTGCCACCATTTACTCTCAGAAAGCAAGCATAACTGAGATAATGAGCGCACTACACGACTGACAGATTACCAGTATTACAGTCAATGGCAGTTTTCACCACAAATTACAAAATAAACATTATAATCATAGGGTTATCTTGATCTACATAACATGGGGATTGTCCGTCATTTCTTCTGTCCAGTCACCAGCTTAACATACAAAAATATCAGCTCCTGGGGATCACAAAGGATCACAAAATCCTTTACAAGAAAAACATCCATCCAATTAGTTCATGTTGCACAATTCAAAGAAAGAGAAAAAGAACAGCTGAGAGTAAAACTGACATAAAATAAAAAAGAAATCCGAGGAGGGTCCTTGAACGGCACCGCAAAGCAGACTAACGAAGTAGGAATTACTTCAAGAGTCGCATTTCAGAGTCCTCTCACCAGAAAAAGCAGTCAACCACAGCCCACACAGACGCCGCTGCAGTGCAGAGGACAAGAGTCTTAACACAAGTCCACTTAGATATCAACATGAGGGACGCTAACTGGACATATCCCTCACTTTCGGGCCTTCATTTTCCGCCTGGCCTCCTTCCCTGGTCGCTTCTGTGAAACAAACAAAAAATGAGCACAACAAGAACATTCTGGTACAAAGCATCCATACACACCGATCGGGCATAGCATTCTGACCACCTCCTTGTTTCTACGCTCACTGTCCATTTTATCAGCTCCACTTACTATATAGGTGACCTTTGTAGTTCTACAGTTACAGACTGTAGTCCATCTGTTTCTCTGATACTTTGTTAGCCCCCGTTTTACCCTGTTCTTCAGTGGTCAGGACCCCCATGGACCCTCACAGAGCAGGTACTATTTGGGTGGCGGATCATTCTCAGCACTGCAGTGACACTGACGTGGTGGTGGTGTGTTAGTGTGTGTTGTGCTGGTCTGAGTGGATCAGACACAGCAGTGCTGCTGCATTATGTTTTGCAGCTAGTTTTAACAATAAATGTAACTATTTATTAAACACTGCTGTGTTTTATTGACATTTTATAGGAGAAATAAGCCACTAAGACTGCTTTAGAGTGAATTCGCCACAGTTAGAAGGTTTTTGAATATTTAAATTAACGTGTAGAGCCTTTTGTGGCCTCCCGTTTTATTCTGACAACACTACTAAAAATGCTAATTTTCCTTTAACCGACAACTGACTGTTAAATAGTTATATCTTTAAGGCTTTAGGAGTTATTAAAGGAAGAACCGGCCTAACCTCACAGATCTGGCGCCATCAGTTGAAACTAGATGATGCTGAAGAGTTGAGAAAAGTTGGAGTTGTAGGTCACTAAACAGGGCTACCGGAACAAGTTACGCTCTTGCGCCCTCATGTGTACAATTAAACAACGGTCCTCCAGTTGAATGAAAAAACCCACCTATTCAAATATCAGTTGTTTACTGGAAATTAAATTCAGTTTTTAACTGAAAGCACTGGTCGAACATTTATCACTGGTCCAACATTTATGTATTTGTCGATTAACGGTTAATCAGTTAATCATTAACATCCCTAAACACTCCATAAACGGTTATAAAGCCATTATGATGGCACAAAGAGGGCCTTACGTTTTTCTTCCCTCCTTTGCTGAACTTCTTTCCTCCTTTCCCGTGAGCGGTTTTGGCTCGGAATCCTGACACGTCGTTAAAGCTCTCTTTCGTGTTCCATTTGGAGCCTTTCTTCTTGCCCCCAAAACCAAACTTCTGATCCTTGTACTTCCTCTTAGCGTTAGGGCTGAGGACAGAACATAGAACAGGGTTTACTTTAGGAAAAGCCTATGTGGAACAAAACATGATGCTTCTGCAGGGACACAACAGGCTACATAGTACTGGCAGATGTGCTCTGCATGCGCCGGTCTACGTCTACAGTAAATACAGCACTACTTTCATTAGCCTTGCTAGCAAGACAGGGTCAGAAAACGGACACAGGCCCTGAATGGCACAGCAGTAGTGGCGTACAAGCTTTAGGTGGGTGGGTTGATGGGTTGATGGTTGGTTGGTTGGGTGGGTGGATAGATGGTTGGCTGGGTAGGTGGGTGGGTGGGTGGATGGATGGATGGATGGATGGATAGTTGGGTGGTTGGATGGTTTGGATGGATGGTTTGGATGGATGGTTTGGGTGGGTGGGTGGACAAATGGTTGGGTGGGGGGACGAATGGTTGATTGGATGGATGGTTGGGTTGGGTTGGTGGATGGATGGATGGATGGATGGATAGATGGTTGGTTGGATGGGTGGGTGTAGAGATGGAAAGAAGGAAGGATGGAGGGGTCGGGTGGATGGGTCTGTCTTTGAAAGCAGTGATATATTTTTTTTATATTCTGAAAATAATCCAAGCTATTTTCTCTACTCACTGACCAGTTACATATTTCATTAAGTTAATGTGTCTGAAAGCTGATTCTAGTCACCTCCTTTAAAGCAAATTCCATTGATCTTTCTGAATTTCTACTAAGTCTAATCCTTAAGAAGTAAACAAAGCCATTCAGAGTGGTCTGATGTGAAATGGTGATAGGAACCAGACGTTTGCAGAGTTTATTGGCTCTAAAAGCTCCCTCACAGAAAGTTATGACATGAAATGGCTATGAAAACTGCCTGAGACATTAATCTACGATAGCTGAGGTCTTTTTAAAAGCATTCATGGTGCAGAGGTACAAGCAGAACTTGCAACAAAACTTTTGTTTTTTGATTTACTATTATTGTACCATGGATAACGTTACTTATCGCTGACGTCAGAAGGAAACCTTGTATCTCCAAAATGGCAACTTTACAGGAGAAGGAAAAAACATTACTTTGAATGGAAGTTAATGGAGAATAATAAAGAGAATTTTCTAGTAATTTTGGAGCTTTTCTATTGATCCATCTATCAGGAAATTTTACCAAGCTGTAAAGAGCAGCTGGCATTTTCAAATTCTGTAAAAAAGCACAAAACGACAAAATGGAGATACAAGGTTTTGTTCCAACAGCATCAATATACACTCTGGGGAGAAAAAAGGGCCTAGTAAAGTGTAGTATTTTTAACTTAGCGAAATGTTTTGATAGCCGTGGCAGTGCTAGTCTTCTGCAATAGCTCTTGTAGAAATAGTCCTGTTGAAAACTTTTCTTTCTGTCCTTCAAATCCATGAATTTCAGCTGTCCCTACCTGATGTGGCTTTGGGCTGCCCAGATTCTTTCCTCCTGACCTCTGTCACTGCCCCAGAATATCAAAACGTTTCACAGAAAGGCCTGAGAAACTACTTCCAGAAGATGATCGATCAGAAGTCATTTTTCAAGATCAAGCTCCTGGATATAAGATACGGCTGCCATTAATCTGACCTTGTCAACGTCCAGATTTATTCACTGAAATCATCCCATCTCACATTAACCACAAATGAACTGGACAAAAGTTTTCCACCACTGTGGAAGGCCATTAAAACTGAATGGAACAATGATGTCCACGTGTAAAAGGCTGTTTTTAATAAGACTTCACCATTTAAAAAGGTCTTCAGGCTATTCCACGGTAACTTGCATTGCATGTTACTTCAGTCTTTATGTTTTGATTGACTGTTTATTCATGACGGAGTTAAAAATATTACATTTCATGCACTTCTTGTGTGTCCCAGGGAAGACACGTGTGGGTTCACTGGTGGTTCTGGATAGTAAATAAAATGTCTATATTTGTGTTGTAGTCATGGTAACCCCTGGTTCCTATCACCACCACTGTAAAGACATCTGAGTCTGTAAGTTTCTCTTGAACTGAGCATTTCCCAACAAAACCTCTCTGAATGACTGTTTACATCTTCACAACTGAATTATCATCACTTCATCACTTCAGCCCTGCCCACTCATACTGAAGTTATAAGAAGTGTTTCAGCCTGGACTGCTTTTTGAACGAGGCACAATACAGCATAGCCAATCAGAACAGATATAATTTGCATATATGGGTCTAAACAGGTTCAGTAACAAAAACAGCCAGTTTAATTCTAAGGAATAAAGAGATGTTGGAAAAATAGTCAAGTAGAAATAACGAATATGGACCCTACAAAACACAGTAGGTCATACTCACCCTTTTTTGCTCATCTGTGGCTTGGACGCAGCTGACCCTTTCTTCTCCTCCTGATCTCCTTCCAAGAAGTCCAATTTGTCTGTCATACCTGAGGACCACCAGCACACCAATTAAAGTGTTTTTCCTCCCAATTAATTGAAGTTCCTAAATCACATTCGCTCATTTTCTGAGTATAAAAAGAAAAACATGGCTATACAGCTGAACAAAAGACCAAACCTTTCTGATATTTCTTGACCGCGGTCATCATGGCCTTTTTCTCTTTCTGTCTCTTCTGCAGTACCTCTACTTGCACCTGTAAAAAGGCAAAGGCAATTCGAATACCAAACTTTTGAGCAAGAAAAAACCACCCACAGAGCTAATTTGCAGCAAGAGCCAAGTTAAAAGCTGACCTTTTTGCCAAACTTCCTCTGTTCTCTCAGCTTCTTGGCTTTTTCCGACTTCTCGATTGCCATCTGCTTTTGCATGAGCTTTTTCCTGATCTGAAAAAAAGATACAAAAATAAATGTTCAGTGTTTCCAAGAATGTACAAGAGTTAAATGATGACTTTCCAGGTCTTGACACTCAGGAGCAGCAGTATTTTCATGTTATAGTGTAGTCAAAATCAAGAGCACTTCAAAATTACAATTCTGCAGGTTTATCACAAACCATAAACATCATATCTCCTCCGCCAGTCTTCTCAAATCATGTCATGTCTATAAAAGAACTGACGTATTGCTGTGAGGATTGCATTCAGTCACAAGAGCATCAGCGAGGTCAGGTCCTGATGCAGTATGATCAGTTATGGATGCTCCAGCTCATCCTAAAGGTATTGGAAGGAGCTCCTCACTCCAGAGAACACAGTTTCACTGCTCCATAGCACCTTAAAATAGCATCCCTTGTAGAAATAAAGGTGCTGGTTGTTCACAGAGGCAGCGAGTGAAGTGAAGAATGTACCTTCTGCATATGCTGATCTGTCTTAGCCATCTCTGCAAAGTAATCATCCGGCCGCCTGGTAGGAATCTGCAGCTTCTTTAACTTCGGCAGGGCCTCTAGAACAGTCGCTTGAGCCTGGCGGTAGCTGGGGGTGCAACCGTAAAGGTTACGCATTCATATACATGGCGCCTGAAGGTCAGTTATAGCTACTCAGACATAAGACAGGCTCAAACAAACACATCAACAGGTGTTCAGATACATACGATCCAAGAACAGTGTGAAATAACTTAGCTACTGTGAAACTGCAGCCAAAGTGGCGGTATCGAGATTCTCTCCTGAAAGATTCTGACTCGCTTCACAAAACATCATAACTGAATTTTTATATCCACCTTATTTTAAATTGCGCTATTCCTTTTCTATAAAATACTAACTGTTTTTGATGAACGTGGCTTTGGAACTCACTCATTTTCTTGAATCGAGCCCAGGCAGCAGTCTAAAGCTGCGTGCATCATTGAAAGCTACACTATATAAGTTTTGGGGATTTGGAGACCTCTCTGGTGGAAACGCAGTATTGCATGCAACGTGTATTCTAAACTGGGTGAAGGACGCGTCTTACAAGAATGTAAATTGTCAACTATTGTCATCGTATCTTCATTAGCATAATGTTGATTTTGCGTTTGAGACCTAACCGTCAAGCTGGACCTTCTTTTTCACCCTATGCAAAGGCGTATGATGTGGTCAGACAGAGCAACAACTCGACTCCTCTGACTTTTAAATGATTCTTTCAGGCTTTACAGGGCGACTCACAACAGCACACGCTCACCATATTTCAGCCCATTTTCCTTCTCCTGACTCTAATGCTACTTCATTCAATTTTGCTTTTTTTTTTATTTATTATTTTTTTTACATAGTGCAGCTTTGAAAAATGAGAGGCACAACAGTTTTAAAAAAAAAATGTTGACTAATGTATTATAGTTATAGTTATATTACATTATTGACTAATGTATTATAGTTAACATAATTTTCATGGAAAATTTAATAAAGTCAATTAATGTTACGAAAGCATATAAACTAGTAGTGGAGTAGAAATTAGGTCTACGCTGCAGTGAACCTTGTTATTGACGAATGCAGGAGAAAACCACAGTGTAGGGTACAGAAATGAAAACAGAGACGCGTCGGGAACATCTGGGCACTCAATCAAAAGCAAATCGAATCGTGAGGTGCCCAGAGATTCCCAGCCGTGATAAGTTGCATATCAAAGAAAACACACACTTACAAGCACATTTCCCTCTGAAAATCATCCTCTGCATTGATTTCACCACTGCTTTGTTTATCTTCTAACGTCCCCTCGATTTTCGCCAAAACGTCCACAGCTGGGTGGTTAGTGAGGTCCAGCCTCTCGACCCATGGCAGGTTCTTCTTAAACTCAGCCAGGCACTTCTTCAGACCCTCCTTGTAAAACAGAACACAACCTTGTTAATATTACACAACCATCTCACAGCGTGACTCGCGTGAAGAACAGCGGCAGAGGGGACTCACTATGTTGTTGACGGCCTTCTTTGGTTCTTCCAAAGGAACATTCAACCCAGGCTTGAGCAGCCCCTTGGCAAACGCCTCCTGAAGCTGAATAAAAAAGGAGACAATCTTTAGGTGACACACACAGTTTTGCAGGTATTTCAGACAAAGTAGATAATCACCAAATACAAGATCGCATGCAAACGTTTGAACATCCCTGCTCAAACAATACACTGATTTTCTAAGAGAGGGGTAACACGCCCTCTACAGACTTAAAACTGTCACTTTTCACTTTTTTTTTTTGGCCTCGCTCTCTCTGGGTGGGTGGGATTGCCCCTCCTTCTCCCCCCATCACTCAGCGCAATGCTAGTCAGCGCAGGCGTCTGTTAGCTGACATAACAGATCTGGCGGTTGGCGCTTTCCTCCGAGCGCGTTTGGCTGTCCAATGACGTTGCGTGAGCGGCAGCTCGAAAAGAAGCGGTGGCGCTTCACAGGACTCGGAGGAAGCCTGTGTTAGCCTTCACCAATATTATCATACAGTCCTGGTTTAGCCTTTTAAGTGGCAAATAAACAGTCGTTTTTTTTTTTTGTTCTAATTAAAATAAAAAATGATCAAAAAAAGGATCACAGCTCTCAGACGGGCTACTCGTGTGGGATCAGAGGTGGATGATACGGCAAATGTAAAATTACGATAATTCAGTACAGGATGTTTATTTTTCTGACGCCTGAAGTTAGAATGTATACAGTAGTGCCACATTTTTAACCTGTTCAACTCCTTGGAATTACCGGTGGTTCCAAAACGCACTTCGTCATATTCTTCAAACTTTCATATTTCATAAGCTACATTCTAAAGGTGGGGGTCATATGAGAGCTGTAACTGTCTTCTTTCCACTCAAATAGATGGGTGATGTAATTTTAAACCCTTATAATAAAAGAAGCTGAACTCAGTTCTTTTTTCTACTGAAAGTTGAGCCATTTTTCCACAAATCTGGGCTATAAACTATAAACAGATGGCGTCTCTTCAGTGATCTGCTCTGTAAAAATTACTTTTATAAAATAACACAAAGATCGTCTAAGATTTTTGCCTTTCAGCAGTAAATTGTAAGCAGATATAGCAATATGTGTGATCATAAAACACATGTTCTGTTAATTTGAGGGGAGCTTTTACAAAAAATAAGTAAATAAATAAAATAATAATGTACATTTATTTCATGCAGGTACTGAATAATTTGCCTTACAGTTTGGTCATGTAAATTCAGATGGACAAACCAAAATATACCCTGGAGAATAAGAGGTTAAAATACTATCAAAAACTATGAATCCAATTCCTGTATAACGTTTTACACACAGTGCTGCACTGAATTCAATTAAACAGGACTAGTTTTGCTCTCTTTTTGACCAAATGTGCAGTCAGAAGTGATTTTTAGTGCTATGATATCCACGACGTGCTCAGAAAAGCATGTTGTGTCATACTGTGATGTCATTTTGCCCGGCTCTTTGTAGAATAGTGTAGAATTGGGCCCAATTTACTGATCATAGTGAAGTTTATATGAAGGAGACTCCGCAGATTTCAAACGTCGCCCTGTTCCCAAAAATAGGGTCATTAAATAAAGGCTTCTTCTACACACTACACTACGCTACACTACACTACACTACACTACACTACACTACACACTACAAGTCCAGTAAGAGCGGTTGGGTCAGTGTTTTTAGTTTTATGAGTTTTATCTGAACCACACAGCAGCACTGAGCTCAACTTCCACCATCATCATCATCATCACTATTCTCACCTCTCCGTCCGATAACTCGCAGTAATCCTCCTCCGATTCCTGCCCGAGCTGTGTTTCCTCTTCCATATCTACCATTTTAACCGTGATCTGGTTTGTTATGAGGATTAAAACTCTTCTCTCCTTTCACGTGTCGCCAAATCACACAGGCAGCGTGCGAAAACGGCGCCCGGGCCAAAAAACTGTCCGGGTAGCAACTGAGGTCATCTGACAAGAGTTCCGACCATGAGTCGCCTCCTCAAGCTCGGTAGACTTCAACTGCAGTAGCTATTTAACTGAGTGACAAAAAACATTATCATCATTTCTGTCCAGAAACACAGCTAGAATCCCTTTTTGAACAATAACGTGCAAAATTTTAGAACGCATATTAGATTAACGCGACAAAGCAGAATTTCTGTAGGAAAACTCTTTTCTATTACGAACTCCTAAGGTGACATTGTGATTATTATTACTATACTGAGGCCTCAGGTTACTATATCGAGACTATGAGTTACTGTACTGAGTACACAAATTACCATATCGAGGCCACGAGTTATGAGAATTTTAATGTATTAAGTGAAAATATATTTTAGTACAAGTAAAAGTGTTATTATTAAAATAAAAAAAAAACAAATCCATGAAAACTGTTCCCAAGTATACTGATTACGACTGTGTCATTAAACATTTACTACCTTGCCCTGCTCATAAATATGTCAATCTAAATGATATAAAGTTACGATAAAGGCTTAAAAAATACATCATAATAATTATGAATAATAAAACGAACCATAACAATGCAACGCTACTATTTTAAATAATAATAATAATAATAATAATAATAATAATAATAATAATAACAGTCTGTAATATTGGTATCTGTGTCTTTGCTATGGTAACGGCAGCTTGGCGTTGCCATGGTTACCGTAAACCAAGGCAGCTACTTAGACCACTAGTTAGCTAACGCTAAGTAGCTGGCGAGTTAACTACACCGCCTGTTCACTGTTTCTGTGAATAAAAGGGCAGTTTGTCAAGGTAAATGCTGTGTAAATGTGTTTTAATACAGAAGAAGCAATAATTTGAGATGTTTATTTGTGTGTTTAGCTGTCGTTAATGAGAACTGTCGGTGAATTTGTTGTGTTTATGCAGACACTGAGCGATGCTATGTTAACGTTAGGTTAGTGTTAGTGTTAGTGTTAGGTTAGTGTTCCCGGTATGTTTTCGCGCTTATTTCGCGTTAGCTGGAGTCGTGCTGCCCTTGAGTTCATTCTGAGCTATTAAAAAAACTATAAATGTATTATTAAAATGACTGTTATCTTTCCTTTCCCGCTTTCCTGGCGCTGTGCTGGCTCAGTTTCTGAGGCATGGCTGCGGTGGTGGCGCAGTCCCACCACATATTCGGCCTCCGGACAGGAGTGAGGAACAACCTGCTCTTCTTCGACGAGCAAACTGTCATCTTCCCTTCAGGAAACAACTGTGTGCGATATAACATCGACCAGAAATGGCAGAGGTTCATTCCAGGTGAGAGCTCTGAGAAAAATGACTTGATGGCTGTGTGCTTAGCATTACCTGGGTCTTATTACATTATACTTCTGATACACCGATCAGGCATAAAATTCTGACCACCCCCTTGTTTCTACGCTCACTGTCCATTTTATCAGCTCCACTTACTATATAGGTGCACTTTGTAGTTCTACAATTACAGACTGTAGTCCATCTGTTTCTCTGCATACTTTATCACCCTGTTCTTCAGTGGTCAGGACCCCATGGACCCTCACAGAGCAGGTACTATTTGGGTGGTGGGTCATTCTCAGCACTGCAGTAATACTGATGTGGTGGTGGTGTGTTAGTGAGTGTTGCGCTGGTCTGAGTGGATCAGACACAGCAGTGCTGGGGAGTTTTTAAACACTTCAGTGTCACTGCTGGACTGAGAATAGTCCACCAACCAAAAATATCCAGCGTCCTGTGGGCAGCGTCCAGTGACCACTGATGAAGGACTAGAGGATGACCAACACAAACTGTGCAGCAGCAGACAAGCTATCGTCTCTGACTTTACATCTACAAGAGGGACTGACAAGGTAGGAGTGTCTAATAGAGTGGACAGTGAGTGGACACAGTGTTTAAAAACTCCAGCAGCACTGCTGTGTCTGATCCACTCATACCAGCACAACACACACTAACACACCACCACCACATCAGTGTTACTGCAGTGCTGAGAATGATCCACCACCTAAATAGTACCTGCTCTGTGAGGGTCCATGGGGGTCCTGACCACTGAAGAACAGGGTAAAAGGGGGCTAACAAAGTATGCAGAGAAACAGATGGACTACAGTCTGTAACTGTAGAACTACAAAGTGCACCTATATAGTAAGTGGAGCTGATAAAATGGACAATGAGCATAGAAACAAGGAGGTGGTCATGATGTTATGCCTGATCGGTGTATAGTACCATTTACGGATTTCCCTTATACCCAACTACTATTAGCCACATGTGGAAGTACATGTGACATTTATGCCAACTTGGCCATTTTCAAATATGTATGCATATGTTATACATGTATTTAACAATATATGATAGAAAGCATTTTTCATATATGGATGTTATATATTACTCATATTTCACGTTACAAGTTTTTTTTTGTTTTTATTGCATGTGTGTTGCTGCTGTATTTAATTTTAATTTTTGCCTTTAAAAAATCTTCCAGTTTAATATCAGACATATATCAGACAGACAAAAGATATATTATCCATATATGTGTTCACCTACCTATCAGACGTGTGTATGGTCCATGTATTATGCATGTATGTCCAATATTTGGTACACACACATATCTGTACATATGTTTTGAAATATATGCCTCACCCTTTATTATATGTGTGCATATATGGCCATATATCAACTTTCCATGTGGGATTTACTAGACATTTCTCACACTTCCATTTCAGGCCTTCATATTAAATTCCAATTTTAGGTTGAATTTGATTCTGTTCTGTTGCTTGAGCACCTTTAGTGTTTTATTTTAGGATGCAAGGCTCCAGATTTTGAAGAACAGAGCCAAACAGACTTCAGTTTCTATGTTGACGAATGCTGGATGTACGAAGATCCACTGCGGTTCTATGGGGAACTCAGACTTTTTAAAACTGATACTTTTTACTCAAGTTTTTGGTAGCTAATTTTACATCTACTTTTATTAGGATTTAGGTAAAAATACTTGGATCCTTGGTTCTAGGCTCTCCTCTCTCTTCCTCTCCTCTACCTCTGGCTGTGACATTCCACAGTTTTTCATCCATTATATAAACATTCTGCACATTATACTGCATTTCTTATAACTTCACACAGGCACAGAGAGGAGTCACGGCATGCAGGCACTGGCCATCAGTGCCAACCGGCGCTACCTGGCCGTGGCCGAGCGCGGAGAGAAGGGCACCATCACCGTTTATGACCTGCAGCACGAGCAGAGCCGTAAGAGGAAGGTGCTGACCGGGGGAGAGGTCCCGGTGCAGGAGTTCGTCTGCATGGCCTTCTCTCCTGACTCTAAATACCTCCTAGGCCAAGCTGGAGGCCCCGAGTGGACCCTGTTCTACTGGGTCTGGGATAAACATAAGGTGATGGCCACTGTGAAGACCACAAGCACTGGCCCCATATCTCAGGTAGGTTAAAAAATCCCAGAACATGTAAACATGATGGTGAAAAATCTGTCTAAGTCACTGGGTTTAGTAAGGAGCATCTCCTGTGTGGTTGAGATCTAGTTCAAATCTACACCAAAAAGGGTTCCACTGTTGTTACCAGCCAAAGAACCCTTTTTTGGTACTATATTCAACCTATTTTGCTTTTTTGTGTAGAAATAAGTGTAGAAATATTCTTCTAAGAGTCATATAATGAGAAACATTATGGTATAATAACTTTGCTCGTTCTTTGCATGGTTCTTCAGATTGATGGAGAATGTGCTGTAGATTCTAAAAGGATTCTTCTATTGTTACAAGCTTGACAGCAGAACCCTTTCTGGTGCTATATAGGACCCTTTTCAAACAGGTTCCATACAGAATCATATACATTCTCCATCATCTTAATCATGCAAGTAGTTCTTTGGGTGTTCATAGTTCTATACAGAACCATTGTGTTTACTAAAGAACCCTTGAAGAACCATCTTTTTTTAAGTTATTATACCTAATGTTTCTCATTATGTGACTGTTGTGAGAATATTTATTCTACTTATTTCTATTAGCACTAAGGGTTCTATATAGTACCAAAAAGGGTTCTTTGGCTTGTAACAATAGTGGAACACTTTTTGGTGCTATGTAGAACCCTTTTCACAAAGGTTCTATATAGAACCATCTACAGCACGTTCTCCATCAGCCTGAAGAACCATTTCACCATAAAAAGAACCCTTACATCATGCAAAGGAATCTTTGAGTGTTCATGGTTCTACATATATCTATTTTCTCGACTAAAGAACCCTTGAAGAACCATCTTTTTTAAGAGTGTAGATGGTTTTTACTTTGTTGTAGTCATTTCATCCACTGGAATTGTCTTATTCTAATAGCAGCTTCTTTCAAGACATAATGCTGATATTTTTACTTAAGATCTTTTGCTTATTTTGAGAACTGCCCATTGAATAGGACAATTTCACTGGATAAAGTGACTTTGAACAAGTAAAGAAACGTCTAGAAGTAAGTAAAATCATCTTATAATATTCTCACAAACATTTCATAATGAATATGATTAGGTTTACTGCATAGTTTCAATGAAAGATGATTTAATTGAGTAAGATATCATCGCTGTCCAAAGAAGACCATGTATCTCCATTTTTGTCATTTCATGATGCATGGACCAGTGGAAATGCTCTAAAATCACTTGGAACTAAATCTCTTTACATTGGCTTACATTGAAAGGTAAGAGTGTTTTTGCCCTCTCGTATAAAGTTAATATTTTGGAGATGCTTGTTTTTCATTGGACAGCGACGATATATTGTCTGCAGTGTAGATTCTGGCAAGACCAACACTTTTTGGTCACATACATTCTCCTGCGAAAGCACTGGAACAGCAAGGCCAATTCTTTTTGTTTTGCTATTCACTAAAGACATTTGGGTTTGAGATCAAAAGTAAAATATGAGATCAGAATGTCAGCTGTGATGTAAATATCGGGAAATAAAGGCTGAAGTTCTGATGTATCGTCTCATATTCATTCACCCAAATGTCTTCAGTGTATAGCAAAATCAAAAGAACTGGCCTTGCCATTCCAGTACTGTGTATTCTAGGCATTCACAACATCATTCATGACTTACATTCAGTTCTCTTTCGCAGACACTGCGTACTTCACTGATGACCATGAGCTGACCAGTTTTAGCCGCTGTATTCTCAGTGAAGATGTGAAGTGTTTACTCAGAACATTCTCTTTTCTCATCCACAGGTCAGCTTTAACCCTCAGGACAACACACAGATATGTGTGAGCGGTAACGCCGTGTTCAAGCTTTTCCGCTACGCCGAGGGGGCCTTGAAGCAGTCCAACTCCATAAAGCTGGACACGCAGAACATCCTGTCTCACGCCTGGATGTCCGAGGAGCGGGTCATCGCTGGAACTGAGACGGGCCGACTGCTGGTGTTCGAGTCAGGTGACCTACGCTGGGAGATGAGCGCGACCAGCAAGGCGTCCACACAGGAGGCTGAGAGGTACACTCTTCGCAAAAAGGGTTCTGTATAGAACCAAAAAAGTTTTTTTGGCTTGTAACAATAGTGGAACCCTTTTTGGTGCTATATAGAACCCTTTTCAAAAAGGTTCTATATAGAACCATCTACATCACACTCTCCATCAATCTGAAGAACCACTTCATGATGCAAAAAACTCCTCAATCATGCAAAGCGTTCTTTGAGTGTTTATGGTTCTTTAAAGAACTGTTTTCCTTACTAAAGAACCCTTGAAGCACCGTCTTTTTTAAGAGTGTGGGTCGTTTAATATCCGAACCGTGCTTCTTGAGTTTGGAGCTGCAAGGGCAAATCTAGTCGTAATGTCTGCAAGAACAGACAAAAGTATGTTGCACGGTTAAAATTGGAGCAGCTCCCGTCTTGAAGCCTACATTTTTTTGTCTGTACATTTTTCATATTTATAGATAGCAGTATGTCCCACACCAGGGGTCGGCAACATGTGGCTCTGGAGCCGCATGCGGTGGTTCTTTTACTGCTCTGTTGCGGCTCCACAGCAGAATCAGATTTCTAGGTAAAAATAAAATAATCCTCCTTTTCAGTAAAATAAAGCTCTGCTGATCGTTCAACACAGTTTAACAATAACTTAAATGCTGGAGTTAATGTAGAACTGCTAATTCACCCTTTAACCCTAAAGATCGATGCGCACACTGCGCAGACAACAGTCTCGTCTAGCTAGAATTTAACGTAACGGCAAAGAGAAAAAATTAAGACGAACATCGATAATTCATCTGCAACGAGAAACTGACAAACACTAAAAAGTCATGGGGCTGAAGTCAGTTTCTCATTCGCCAGCGTCTCGTTCAAATTGTCCCGAAAAATTTGAACAAGAATCTGGCGAATGAGAAGCGACTTCAGTCTTTCAAAAGAAATCTAACGTTGAGAGACATTTTACAAGAAATTCTTTTACTTTTGAGGAAAAGTTTCCTGCCAGAGATGCGAGAAAAGCGGCTATAGCTGAGCTAAAGCTTAAAGCAGAGCAAAGTAAGTCTGCGTTTTCGTTTATATTATATTTTTAGTCTGTACTAGAACATCAGCACATACTCAGACATATTTACAACCAAGATGATAAAACGGATATAAAATGTTGTGGCTCCCAAGGTGGTTTGGTTTTTTTATTGAAAGGACAAAATGGCTCTTCTTAACATTTGGGTTGCGACCCCTGAGCTACACGCTTAGCAAAAGTGGGTTCTTTGGCTTGTAACAACAGCAGAATCATTTTTGGTGATATATAGAACCCTTTTCAAAATGGATGCTATATAGAACCATGTATAGCACATTCTCCGTGATGCAAAGAACCCTGTAATTTTCTTGACTAAAGGTGCCTTAAAGAACGATCTTTTTGAAGAGTGTCTGAATCAGAAACCATATAAGCAGGTCTACCTGACTGTGCTAAACTGAACATGGTTTAAAGTGTGTGGTGATTTTGTCGTGAAGTTAGCACAATGCTAATCTCTACCATCGCTCCAGAAGTATGTTCAGGTGTCTTGGCTGATTGAGTTCATTTAGGTAAGGAATAAAATGTGAGTGTATTCGTATTTGAACTGAGTTGGCAGTGAGTAAACACTACTGACCAAGACGACTAAACAGTCCTGTGTGAAGCTTTACAGCTCTCTGTTGCCCAACGTGGCAGTATATTACTTTTAATTAGCTGTGTTTTTCCCTTTCTCACCCTACTGTGTCCTGATCTCTTGCCTGACAGACGTACGGAGAGGCGGAAGTCAGAGGACGCCCCCTCTGTGCCTGCCTCATTGCCACGGGTGACAGCCATCACAGCCTACTCTAAAGGCTTTGCCTGCTCAGCTGGCCCAGGCACTGTGTGTCTCTTCGAGAAAACAGAGGAGAAGGACAACTACAGGAAAACCAGGGAAATAAAGGTGACTGTGTCTGTTTTTTAACTAAATTGTTCATTGAAAAAATCTAATTTAAATGATCAGAGTAAATGATGGCAGAACTGGCTTCAGATTTGTTAGTGTCATTATTAATTTTCTCTCTGCTATGATCTCCAGATCCCCCCAGACCTGTGCAGTAATGAGCCGAGTCAGGCGGAGCAGCAGGAGATCGCCACCCTGTGCATCAGCCCTTCAGAGGAGACACTGGCCACCAGCACTGATCGAGGCCAACTCTACCACATCACCCTCTCTTCAGCCGAGATGAGCAAGGTGCTAACCAACAGTTTTTCCCCGGAACATCTCTTAGGATGGGGTCAAACTTGATGATATATTTCTGGCTTAAAGACCAGAAAACCCCTATGAGCACTATGGGGCAAATACATGAGAGTGGACGTCGAATGCTAGGAAGTCGAATATCACATCTGTATTTATCAGCCTCTGCATCAGTGGGTATCTTTGTTCCCGTGGGGGGAAACCCAATTGTGGTTATTGTATTTACTGAATGCAATTTTACATTACAAGGACACTCATGTCCTCCAGTAAGAAATCCACTAAATAAGGATTTGTACCATTTTATAATAGTTCATTTACTGGATTATGTTCACTTAAAAGTATTATAGAGTTATACTTATTCCTCCAACTTCAGGTGTAGCTGATCAGCCAAGACATGTTTGTTGTCCAAATTCTCTTCTTTAGTTTAGCACTGGAGCTACAAGTCTAATGCTGCTATCAAACACTAGAAGTCAATAGTCACCCAAATCTCTTCTGTAAATAAATCCCTAAAGCGTCTTTAAACCCGCTCAAACCACATCCAGCTCCTCATTAAGGTTGCACAGACTAGCACTGTAGTTTAGGACACAGTATGACTTACTAGCCACGTTTACATGCAGCCTAATAATCCGTTAATAATCCCACTAATAGCTCAATTGGACTATGTCCATGTATACACCTCAATCGTATAACATGGCGGAGCAGAAACTGGTCTGCAGAGGAGACAAAGTTTATGCTCTGATCTTTAAAAGACGGCGGTGGGACGGACGTCCAGCTTATGTGTCTCAGAACACGACGTCTTCCTCTCGGCCTTCTTTAATAAGGACATGTGAAGGACGTTTTCCTGAGTCTGACATCATTTTGAAGCAATTAAAAACGCAAGCACTGCTCACTGCTGCTCATCTCACTCTGACTGGACTCATGTGATGCTGGTTGTCAGGGTAACGTCTACATTAAGTGGTTCTCTACGCATGCACATAATTTCGGATTATATTACTTGTAGTGAGCAAATAGAGGGAACATATAAACACCTCTGTCTTAATCTATAATCAGAATGTATTTAATCGGATTGACAAAAATCTTTGCAAAATAAACAAAACTTCACTGTGTAGCTGAACACAGTGGGCAGCCATTTCAGACAACAGGTTTTGTGCTGAACTTCAGCTGCCCATATGGACACTACAGGTTACATTCGCTTCTGTTGTTTCTATTCATATTCTATTCTGTTCAGTAAGTCATACTTATTGCAGGGTTTCCATTACTGTTTTATGGTTCGGTTATAGCTCACAGTAAGTCGGTGTCCTAAGCTACATTAACAGTCTTCGCAGCCTTAATGAAGACCTGGATGCAGTTTCACCGAGTTGAGAGCACTTTTGAGAATGTATTTACAGAAATGATTTGGGTGACTATTGACTTCCAGTGTTTCTTTGCCATGTTAGCCTTATAGCTAAGAAGGGTTAGCTGTATCTAAGCCGTAGTTATGGATGTTATGCCACGTCTTTTATTGCGTGTGGCTTAAAATAATAATTTCACCATGGACCCTGTCCGGTTCTGTAGTACCATGTGTACAATGCTTTGCTTCCCTCATACTTGTTCAGGGTGAACAGGCCCAGTTTGAGTTCCTGTCCCACTCCTTCCACTCGAGCGTCATCACAGGTCTGTCCATCTGCATGCGCAAACCTCTCATCGCCACCTGCTCGCTGGACCACTCTGTGCGGATCTGGAACTTTGAAACCAAGTAAGAACGGCTGCAGCCATAGTGGTCATTTAGATTCAGGGTATCCAGCTCCTGCAAAGCACAACCTGATCCGGTTTTTCTGCCACAGAATGCTGCATCGAGTAACAGCAAAAAGGAGGCAGATTGGCAGTTTAAGTTCTCTCAGAGAGCTCCTCCACTGTACAGAATCATTTCTGACCGCTTTAATTTTTTCAGCTGGCTAGAAGCATGGCATCTCATTTTCTGGTGGTATTTCATTTGAGTGGACAGTGTTTAGAGAGGTAATAAATCTAAAGGTTCAGTAGTGAGAGAAGTCATGCGTTTAATTTAAAGCTTGTGCTCTCTGGTGTGGCAGAGCAGTGAGGGACCTTCTGCTGGCACCAGGGTAACCAATCCTCAGCTTCAGAGCTCCAAGCTGAGGACATTCTGCTCAGACACAGCTTTATAATTCACTCTCAGCTCCTTCAGAGCACAAAAAGAGACAAAGAGGCTGATTAAGCCTTAGAAGTGTAGAGTTATTACTAGGGGTGGGCAATGTGATTGCATTTTGCGATAATTTACATCTTTGAGTGCCACCGCTACAATGAAGCTAGTTTCCATCAGCGCTTCTAAGGGGGATTTCAGTGTGAGCTGTTCAGCACATACCTATTTTAAACAAAAGCTTTTACTTTATATACACACAATTAAGTAATTTTACTTTACATATTACATTTGTAACTAAAAACAAACATAGCCTAGTGAGATCCCGCTGGTGTGGGTTTCCTCTCTTTCAGTGTTGCACACAAATATAATTTTTGTGCTAAGCTCCCCCTTGTGAAGGATTTTCAGCTAAACATGGCTTTATAATAAACCTGTTTATCATTTAAGTTTCATAATGATCGCTCAGCCGAACATACTTTTTAATCAATGATTTTTTATAGCCGAGTAATTAATTATATTGAGTATTGAGTTGAAATGAGTGCATTTTAAATGTGGCATTACAGGTGCATTGTGTTTGTTTCACCTTATATTGAGATGTATAGTGAAAATGTGTTAAAGTGTCATGATTTTGCCATATCACTCATGCTTACTACAATTTGTATAGTAATATAAATAGTTACTACATTTTTTTCCAATACTGTTTTAATGTAATTACACAATTAATCATATATGTAGTTATGCAGTGAATTCCATTTATGTTCAATAGATTAAGTCTGCACCTGTGACTTTTACTGTTTGTTTCAATGTGAAAAATGATAAACAAAAAGGTCAAGAAACCTGTTTCTTTCTTCAAATTGAATCACTATGAAAATTCTAGTACTGAAAATCTTCAAAAAGAGGAACATTTAATTTAGTTTTACAAGCTTTTCATACCTACTGCCATCTATAGGCATTTAGAAGGTACTTTATCCATACTGACTGACCTATAGCAGTGGGAATGAATAGAAAGATGTGTTCAGAGTAAGAATTGTGATTAATCGTAGAATCATCACGGCTGTAGTTGAGGCTGAATGGAGATTTGTTGCTCTGCAGTGCTCTGGAGCTCTACAAGGAGTTCCAGGAGGAGTCGTACAGCGTGGCCCTCCACCCCTCTGGACTCTTCATCCTGGTGGGCTTCTCCGACAAGATCCGGCTCATGAATCTGCTCATCGATGACATCCGAACCTTCAAGGAGTTCACCGTGCGCGGCTGCCGAGAGGTTCACTTTGCCTAGTTGATTGTCTGTCTGCTCGTGTCCATGTCTTTTCATGCAAACTACCTGTGTGAGGCTCTCGAAAATGTATGAAATATTCCACACGTCCACAGCAGGGGCGTAGCTAGAACGTTTCGAATGGGCTGGCCAGGTAAAGTAAATAAACTAGCATTACTGTGTGAAAATCACACACAAAGGATGAAGAGTTTTTTTTTCTCTGTACATTAGTTAATCATTAGTCAGCATGATAATCGATTACAGCTGACGAATTTTAGTCTATTTCTTGATGTAGCTCAAAGAGTGCTGAAGGGACCCAGTGCACATTCACTCACCAGTTTGCTCATTAAATACAGTATCATCAGAATATTAGCAGTTATTGATAACTTCCCCCTGATTCCCACCATAAGCATGGTTTATGCTTTATTGATGATGATGGCGGCCATGCTTTATGACAGGGTGGCACTGGCCTTTGGTCCACAGCTGTGTATAGAGTTAGGTTGGCTTTAGACTTTGAAATTTTCATGCAAATTCCGTAGCTTTAAGCTTGCATTAAACAGAATTTTACTTGAGCAGGGGTGGTCTGCGCACTGGGCCAGGGGTCAGCAACCCAAATGTTAAGAAGAGCCATTTTGTCCTTTCAATAAAAATCAAACCACCTTGAAACAACATTTTATGTCTGTTTTACCATTTACCATTTACCATTATGGCTGTAAATATGTCTCAGTATGTGCTGATGTACTAATATAGGCTGAAAATATAATATAAACACAAACTATAGCTATAGCCGCTTTTCTCGCATCTCCGGCAGGAAACTTTTCTGCAAAAGTGGAATAGTTTCTTGTAAAATGTCTCCCAATTTTCAACTTTTTACGAGGCTGAAGTCGCTTCTCATTCGCCAACTTCTTGTTCAAATTTTCCCGTTCCACCTTAAATGGTGCCTGAGGTGCCAGAATGTAACTGCTGCACCATTTAAGGTGGAACAGGAACAACAGTGTTTGACAGTTTCTCATTGCAGATTTAACATATCAGGAAACCAGCTGGAGTGATTATAAATGCAAATAAGTCCATTCGTCTCCAAATTATTGATGTTCGTCTTAAATATTTCTCTTTGCCTTTTCATTAGCTATAAGCTAAGTGAGATTGTTGTCTGTGTTACTATGGTGACCAGCAGTCTGTGCACTGATCTTCGGGTTTAAAGGGTGAATTAGCAGTTCTACATTAACTCCAGTGTTTAAGACCATTTATTGTTAAAACTGTGTTGAACGATCAGCAGAGCTTTATTTTGCTGTAAAAGAGAATCACTTAATGTTTACCTAAAAATCTAATTCTTTGGAGCCGCAACAGGGCAGTAAAACAGCCACATGTTGCCGACCCCTGTACTAGGCAAAGGTAGGCAGTTGCCCCCATGAGCCAAGAGCCCCTTGAAAATACAAAATAGATATACTGTACATGTTAATGTAAAATAACCCATTCCAGAATATATCTACATTTAAAAAATACCTGTTATTTGAGATTACATTTTTTTCAGTCATTTCAATGCAGCGCCACCCTCTGGTCAAAGTTATTACCATGTTGTCACATGATGAAACAACTGCGTACAGACGGCCTAGAAGCCTTAGCGAGTGAACTGATGCATGAGTCAGTGGTGTAAATGTATTCTTCGTCTCTTTTCAGTGTGCGTTCAGCCACGGGGGACACATGTTCGCCGCTGTCAACGGCAACGTGATCCACATCTACTCGACCACCACATTCGACAACATCTTGAACCTGAAGGGCCATAATGGGAAGGTTAGTCCCAATGCTGTCTCATACTACAGTGAGTTTTACATTGTTTCAATCTGCCAAACAGCTGCCTGAAACTCCATCGAATACACCAGAGTAGTCAGCAGTGTTTTGGAGCAGATGTAAGCACTGAGTGCTTTTCTGGCTTTTGTGTGCATGTCCATATGTTTCAGGGTGACATAAGCCTCAACTCGTTTAGTAAAGCTCAGCTGTTTTTGAGAAAGTCATCTGTGCCATATGGCTGACCCCTAAAATAGCACAAGATCAACAACAGCAGATTTTACCATCTGATAGGAATCAGCTGCCATTGCTCAAGTTTAATAACATCTAAAGTTCAAACATTTGGCCCAGAAAGAGGTCATCATCACTCTATGTAGGACAGAGTGCCCCACTGATACCTCTTGTTGATAATACTAGGCAGCATAAAAATGTCTGCTCCAGCAGAACTATTGGAGATAGAACTCAATGCATGTATTTCATTATGTGCCAGGATTATGTTGATGTCCTAAAAGCAGTTATATTAAATAATCTGAATTCATACATTTAAGAAATTAATGACTCACATTTCTAATTTCTGTACAGCAAAACCAACCATACACCACCTTAAAAGTGTAATATATTCAAACTGTTTTTAAAATACATATGCAGTACTGTGCAAAAGTCAGAGACCACACTTTATTTATTTGATTTACAATAAGTACAATTATTTGTTTTACAGTGACAGAAAAAAAATATTTTTCCAAAGTAATTCCAAACACATTCAGTGATGTTGAGGTCTGGACTCTGGGGTGGTCAGTCCATTGTTCAGCTTCTCTGTTTGATGTGTCCGTCTCCTTTTCTCAGTGAGGTTCTTCTTGACAGCTACACATCCTTTCAGACCCATAGCACTGAGTCGTCTTCTCACAGTGGAAGAATGGACAGAAACACCTGTGGATGTTTTCAGATCTGAAGCAGCTTGATTTTCTCCTCTCTCTCAAAGATGAAAACTTTAAGTGCTGTTTATCTGATGGGGGCAGTTTTGGTGTCTACCAGGTCTTCCAGGTGGTTGTTAGGAGTCCCAGTTTCTCTGTAGCTTTTAATCAATTTTTGAACTCCAGTTTTGGAAACTCTTGGGTTTTCACTAATTTTCCTTTGACTTGCTGCCTCCTTATTCAAGTGGTTTATCTTATATCTACAGAAACATCTACTGAAAAATGTACTATCTAATTTAATATCTTGTACCTAATGGCCGTTTTGACTGGAAATTAAATAAATGAGAGGTGGTCTCTGACTTTTTAACAGTACTGCCAGGCACTCTGACTCTGATTTCGACTCCACAGGTGCGGTCGATCGCATGGAGCGCGGACGACAGCCGTCTGGTCTCGTGCGGGATGGACGGAGCCGTGTACGAGTGGAACACTCTGAGTGGAAAGCGCGAGTCTGAGAGCGTGCTCAAGTCCTGCAGCTACACGGGCGTGGTCCTGTCCCCCGAAACCAAATCCATCTTTGCTGTGGGGAGCGACTGCACACTGAAGGAGATCCATGACTGCCAGGCATGACATCATACTGACATCATACATTCACCATATATACCCCAAAACGTAGTCAATCGTAGAGACATGTTTGGTGTCAGAAGTTTGCTTCTTTTGTTTGGCGCTGGAGCTTTGAGGCGGTAGGAGGTGAGTAGACGTTAACAACAAATGTAGTAATGGTTAAATCTTTAGCCTTGGCCAGTGTGGCCCTTTAAAGAAGCAAACTTTAGACACCAAGCACCAAACTTGTGAGATCATGTACTTTTGGCATAAGAGGAAACTTGCTTAAACTTACTTTATGTTTTGAGTGATTTTGGAATGAAATTTAGACTTCTTTATTTGTCCTTGCATCAGATCCTAAGGGAAGTGGTTTCAGACGACGTCCTGTACACAACCATCGCCATGACCCGTTCGGGGAGAGCGCTCTTTACAGGCACTGCCACTGGGTCCGTGAGGGCCATCAAATACCCTCTACCCCTGCAAAAAGAATGGACAGAGTACCAGGCTCATTCTGCTCCCATCACCAAAGTATATATATGGTCGAAAAGGTTATTGATCTGCCGTGTTCTATTAATAACATCACACTAATGTTGCCTTTTGTCCACAGATGGTTGTTACATTTGATGACCAGTACCTACTGACCGTTTCAGAGGACGGCTGTCTCCTCATCTGGAAAATCATTGACAAGGAAGGGCGGGGGCTGAAACGAGACAAAGAAATGACCTATGCAGAGGAGATCCTGATTACCAAGTCTGATCTGGAGGAAAAGGTAAACTTGAGTAATACATCATATACTGCATATAAGAAGTCTCAGAAGCTCTCCTTGAAATCCTTGTAGAGTACTGTGCAAAGGTCAGAGACCTCCCTTTATTTAATTTAACTTAAAAAAAAAGAGATAATTCTGAGGAGATTAGATATGAGATAATCTACTTGCATAAGTCAAAGGAAAATAGGTGAAAAACAGGAGTTCAAAAAATGATTAAAAGCTACAGAGAAAATGGGCCTCCTAACAACCACCTGGAAGACCTAGAAGACAACAAAACTGCCCCCATCAGTTAAACAGCATTCAAAGCTTTCATCTTTGAGAGAGAGGAGAAAATCAAGCTGCTTCAGATCTGAAAACATCCTCAGGTGTTTCTGTCCATCCTTCCACTGTGAGAAGACGACTCAGCGCTGTGGGTCTGAAAGGATGTGTAGCTGTCAAGAAGAACCTCACTGAGAAAAGGAGACGGACACATCAAACAAAGAAGCTGATCAATGGACTGACCACCCCAGAGTCCAGACCTCAACACCACTGAATGTGTTTGACCACTTCAGAAAATGATCAACCAGCTTGTAAGACTGAACTTTGGAGGTGTGTCTGCAGATTCTTTGAGGAACTGAAAGTGAGTCTCCTGAAAAGAATGGAAGCTGGAATAATGGCAAAGAGTGACACATTAAATACTGAAAACATACATTAATTTGTTGTGACTTCTGATGTTTTTTTCCTGACACTGGAAATTGAATAAGTTGTACTTGCTGGCCGTTTTGACTGTAAAGTAAAATAAACGTAGGTGGACTCTTACTGCGTACTATATATTGACATTCAATGGTCACACTCATGAAGATTTTTACTATTTCCTACATTGTAGTGAAGACAAAATGACCCAAAAATGTGTTCTAACTGCCTTATAATTTAGATTCTTTTAAGTAGGCCTATATTTACAATAGTGCAGCTCTGCACAATCTTAGCATTCCTTCAGGAAGCTTCGTGAGGAATTACCTGAGATGCTTTTCCAACAGGCCTGAGGAAGATACCTATACACCAAACACTCACTGGCTGTTGACAACTACATTAGTTTAACCAAATAGCCATTTCAAAGAATAGGAAGGAAAATTGCTTCATTTAAGGGTATGAAGGGTAAACATCAGGTCCGACACTTTGGACCATGGAGGTTTCTGCCAGTCTTCAGCCTCATCAGATGATTTTGTGTGTCATTATCCAGAATCAAATCATGCTGGAGCTGAAGACCAGAGTGGAGGAGCTAAAGATGGAGAATGAATACCAGCTGCGGCTGAAGGACATGAACTACAACGAGAAGATCAAAGACCTCACCGAGAAGTTCACCCAGCAGATGGAGTCATTCAGGACCGAAAATAAGGTTAGAGCTCTGAATCGCATACAGATAATTCAGCAGTGTAACCACCTTAACCTTTGTGGTGTTGATGTGTTTGTTACTCAGTAATGCGATGAATCCACCGCTTTATTGTTTTATTAAATCAATACAGCCATAACAATTTATGTAAAAATACCAGATGTTTAAAATATCATAAGTGGCCAGCGTAGGGTTCTCCTTTAGCAGCTGTAGCCAGTCAGCAGCCTGTCCATATTGTCCACCCTCACACACACACACACATATACAAAGACAGACACACACACTAACAGCAGACCATGTAGGAGGAGAACAGAGTGAAGGACACAGCACCTCCACACTTTTACTCCCCGCGGGTTCACCCAACACCACATGTAATATAAATGTGTGGGGGGTGAACAGAGTGAAGACACTGAAAATGGGTTATTTTATATGTTCTTCACAGAAAATGAGCAAAGGCCAAGAATCTGAGGCTGAAATAATAATAAATCACATAATTTTTTCTTTTGGTAAACATTGAAATGGGTCCCACAGACCTGAACACCACACAAGGGTTAAAAATGTAACTGTGGTCTATAAGAAAAATGTAATAACCTTGAAATACATAGTTTTGTTCTCAGTGTGAAAGACATTGTTTCCCCCAAAATGAATATCGCTCTGTATCTCACTGCAGGTGTTGAAAACAGAGAAGGAGAAACAGGAGGTCGTACACCAAGAGGCCCTGAGTGAGGTCATGGAGAAACATAGCAAAGAGCAGCAGGACCTGGGTACATAACAACTCTCCATAGTTCAACAACGTTGTTCTGTTTCACACTGCACTTATTAGAATTAGAATCAGGGTTAGTTTAATGTTTTTTAGTAGCCCTACTAAAATAAACTTCAATATCCACGTTTACATGCAGCCTAATAATCTGTTAATTATCCAACTAATAGCTCAATCGGAATAGTCTAGTCCAAATGAGGCCATTCGGAATACAATTTCTATCTGATTGAACGAGGTGGGTAATCCTGTAAATAATCAGTTAAATAGAAGAATAATAACCGTGTAAACGCCTGTATACATAACACACTAAAGGAAAGGGAAAAAACAGAAAAGTATAATAGGTCCCCTTTAAAGACAATGGTGATGCTACACTCAATAAGCACTCATATTATATTAGAAATATAAACTAAGTGTATTAACTAATTAGCTAATTATTACATTATAGTTTATATTATACAACAGTTAGTTCCGGGGCATGCAAGCTGATTGGTTGAGAAGCGTTCACCACAACATCACGTTTTTTTCACAAACACTGTATCACTCCGCTGAGACGCTGTTGCTAAGCAACGACTTTGACCGCTGTAGGAGACGCTCAAGCCATTTGAACGTTTTTACTTCTTACTTTGCCACAAACAGAAAATGGATACTTTTAAGATCACATTTGACCGACAGCCGATTTGGTCAGACTCTGAAGATGAGACGACACTAAATTCCCAAACTGTCATCACCACTGAGCAGCTTTTCAGTCGGCAGCTGTGACAGAAGAACAGCTAAACAACCTGGAATCAACCAGAAATAAGCTGAACACCATTCACCAAACTAAATGGGCTGTAAGATGCTTTACAGACTGGCTGGAATAAAACAAAATTAATATTGATCTGACAAAAACTGACAAAACTGAGCTGAACTTGATATTGCATCAGTTTTATGGCTCAGTCCAATTTGGTCAGACTCTGAAGATCAGACCACACGTTTGGTGAATGGTATTCAGCTCATTTCTGGCTGATTCCAGGTTGTTCAGCTGTTCTTCTGTCACAGCTGCCGACTGAAAAGCTGCTCAGTGGTGATGGCAGTTTGGGAATTTAGTGTGAGGAGCTGGAGAACAAACTGCCGGCTGTGCAGCGAGTGGGCGGGGCTCGTTACTCTGACGTAGCAACAAGCTGCTTGTTAAGGAACTATAATTTGGTGAAGGAACTGCGAACATTAAAGCATATTAAATGCCGCATTCACGGCCCAGTTTATTAATTTCTTACTTGCAAAGCAATAGAACACTCGAGGTCATGTGTTATCGCAAATAACATTATGGCTGTGTCTACGGCGACCACATCACAGCCGTGATGTGATTTCACGATAACACACTCTTTCTCGTGTTCTGTTGCTTAAACATTGCATAGAGTAGCTAAATAATGTAGTTCATCCATTGTGGCCACAGAATTAGTTCTCACCTATGATGACTACACGTAGCCTCTCCAGTCCGAGCTGAGACATGAGTTAGCCACTAGTCATTTGTTTACTAAGGCTAGCAGGAACTTGCGTTTGCAGAGTCCACCAACAACCAGAAGCTGATGCTGGAGTATGAGAAGTACCATGAGCTCCAGCTGAAGTCTCAGCAGATGCAGGACAGCTATGAGGAGAAGCTGCGGCAGCTGGAGGACAGCAAAGTCCGCGCCCTGGAGGAGATCACGCAGTTCTACGAGGCCAAGATGCAGGAGAAGGTCCTCACGCTGGGCCAGGTGAGGACACCATGCTGGTGAAGGTCAGCAGTTTAGCAAACAGCCTTTCTCACCTTAGGTTTAATGAGTCATTGATCTCTTTTATTATTTTATTATTATTTGGGTCACCTAACGTCTCAGGTGTTTTACAGCTCTATAACAGTAATATACAGACAGTGGTGGTGTTAGACTGTAGCATGCAGTGTGCTGTATTAGATGTACGCCACACTTTACCAATAGTAAAAAAGACTTCTATCTTTTTAAAGAATTATCTAATTAACATAATTATCAGGCGATATTTAGCAAACTCTTAGTGTTATAAGTAATGTAATATACAGTAGGGTTCAAAGGTTTTGAATCAGTTTACGTGCACTTAATAATCCGATAACTGCAGAAAATCAGATTTTGTCAGTAATCCGATCAACACGTTTACATGCTCTTAAGTAATCAGATAATGGGAAACTCCAGGCGTACATGAGTCAGACAGTAATCAGATTTCTGCTCTACAACCAGCCAATAAACGCACAGAAGAAGACGTCACGTGAACGTAATGTAAAACTCAAACTTTTTTAAAAAAACACTGCAACATTTTACCTGAAAATATGAACATACATCATCTAGAAGATGAAGAATATTTAAATCCCTCATTTCGTCAAGCATGTAGTCGGTTTCAGCGTCACTCCAAAAGTGTTTTGTTGCGTCTTGCGTTGACGCCGCTCACTTATTTCTGGTACTGCCGAGTTTATATGCACTGAGAAACCTGAAAATCCAGCTCTCTTCATCAGATTTTTTAATCGAATTTCTAGACCTTACTCCGATCTAAGAAATCAGAGTGTGCTGTTTAAATTACCATTTGAATAATCAGATCACTGCAGAAATCTGATTATGATCAGACTGTTAAGTGCATGTAAACACACTCATTGTTATTAGGAATATAACAATAATTTTGTTGCACATACATACATACATTTTCTAATATATTCTTTTATATTAATGGACCAAAAGAAACGACCCAAAATTGATTGGAAAAAAGTCTGGTTCCATTGACTTACATTAAAAGTAAAGAATGTTTTTGCCTTCTATTGTAAAGTTATCATTTTGGAAATATGAGGTTTTGCTTTGACAGCTGTGAGGTGACTTGATAAGGGGCAAAAGCTCACACTGTCAGAAGCACAGGTACAGAGAGGTACTGTTTCTTAAAGGACAGTTGACATAATGTACTTTCTAGGACTTCTAGCATCTTTTTTTGTCTAAAATGTAACTACCTCACCAAAGCTGCATGCTTTTGAATGTTGGGCCTGATGAACAATTTCTGATTTGAGCCTTGGATTAAGTTTAGCACTGCGTTGTTCATCCTCTCCTCACTCCAGTGTCAGGACGAATCGCGGCAGCAGGTGCGAGAATTTGAGGAGATGAAGAAGCAGATGGAGGAGGACAGCGACCGCGAGCTCCAGGACATCCGCGTCAAATATGAGTGCAAGCTGCGGGAAGAGAAGGAGACCAACCTGAGGCTCAAGGGAGAGACAGGTGTCATGAAGAAGAAGGTCTGTAGCCTTGCTGTTGATCTGATCTGCTCTACTGAAACACATTAGATGTCTTGAACGAACAGCTTTTGTTTGTTCTGACATGATATACGGGTCTGTCCTCCTCCCACTTTTATCTAAATGTGTACATGTTGCGCTGCTGTAGTTCAGCAGCCTGCAGAGGGAGATCGATGACAGAAACATGGAGATCGAGAAGCTGAAGGTGGAGCAGCAGAAGCTGCAGGCGGTCATCAAGTCACTGGAGAAGGACATCCTGGGTCTGAAGAGGGGGATCCAGGAGAGACACCTGACCATCCAGGACAAGGTAGGCTGGTACAGACACCACAAGGACAAATACTCTTTGAGGAACATAGAGGAGCACAACTCGCTAAACTAGCTCACGGTCAAGATTTGATACAATTTAAAGAAAATTGTGTGGTAAAAATATCTTGATGCTACAGAGCTCTGTAGGAAACCTCAGTAATCACAACCGCTACAATTTATAAGTTACTTTGGAAGAAAAGCCCAGTCATTTGTGTGTAGGTGCATGCATAGCATAAGCCCCACCCCTTCTCTTCTCACTTCATCCTGATAGGATGCAGCCACATGGCTGGTTCTTATTGTTGACAGTGGTTTCTGTGAAAGACAGTAAATGAAAAACCCTCAGAAAAGCAGACGAGCATACTGGAGACAAAAGTTTAAATGTGATTTTTCCACACTGCTTTGTAAAAAAGTTTGTAGTGGTATATGGTAGAATAAAGCTGATTTAAAGGTGCAGTGTGTAAGATTTAGCAGCATCTAGTGGTGAGATTGCAGATTGCAACCAACCAAATCCCCCTCCCTCATTCCTCCCTTTTCAAGCGTCTAGTAGAACCTAGAGTGTCGTTTTTCTTCATGATTTCGCTTCTTTGACAATGAGGATTCACCCTCCGTCGCTTTATCTTGTGCTAAATAATAAGCAAGATTCTCCATTTGTCAAAATTTGGGTTCTTGAACTTCTCACAACACAAAATGTTTAGCCAGCACCCCAGCAGCAACTACTGATTCTGCTTCTTTCTACATCTTCCAACTGGAGCTACAGCGCCACCAAATTCAAGCTGCTGCTTTGACGTAAAAATGCAAAAGGCGCCTCTAGAGCCAGTGTTTGGTTTGTCTGTTCTGGGCTACTGTACAAACATGGTGCGCAACATGTTGGCCCTGTTTGAAGAAGAGCTGCTCCTTATGTAGATATGAAGGGCTCATTCTAAGCTAAAAAAACACAATGATTTGTGGTTAGAGGTGATTAGACACTAACGCAAATGTTTTTTTATACTATATTCCATTTCTGCTAATAGAGCCCTCTAAATCTTACACACTGCACCTTTAATTTTTTAAAATATTTTTGCACAGATTTACCAATTTCCCCCATACGCTCTGCTTCAATTTATTTCATATAGACATCAAGTCTGAAAGGTGCTGTTTTTTTTTTGTGTGTACGTTTAGCGGAAAAATGAAATATCTCTCTTACTCCAAATCAGCCAAAACCTGTTTGAAAGCCAACCTGTTAACATTAGCGGCAAATACAAAGTAAGACATTTCACTTTGCTCAAGCCAAGCAGAGACAGAATATGTGAAACACCTGAAAAAGGGGGACGGATGAATGCACAGAGAGGAAAAACTGCATTCATGAATCAGTAGCAGCGTTTTAGCCAGTGTGACTCCAAGACCCTGGTTAACAGCCCATTCTGCTAAAATAGTTCATTTTTTATGGTCTGTAAAATTCGGACTGCGAAAAGGCCAGTAGGCAGACAGGCTTTGTCACCACCATCTGGTGCGATCAGAAACTGGCATAGGTATTGGTAACTGTAAAATATCTGTGGTTTTAATAATGAACAAAAAATTGTTTTTCAATAATTTTGTCTTCATTAATTCATTTCTCAAAATCGCTTATTAGCCCTAATCTAAATAACTGCTTCCTCAAGTAATTTCTGACATTACATTACATACTGTTTCCGTAAACATGGACGAAAGTACGTCACGTTACTGAAAACAGTAGCAACAACAGAAGTAGTCTAATTGTCTACAAAAGGGGCCAAAATTGTGTGAACTTGATTTTTACCCCACACTCTTCCTTTAAGGGTTTGTGAAAACAGCGCAGAGTGTAATGGTATTCTGGACACTGTTCTGTTTTGTTCCTCTGACTGCTCATAAATCAGCAGACGGATTATATTTACAATGTTTTTGCAAGATAAAAGCCAGTCGCGTTTGGGACTTATAATAGAAAATCTGTGCCGTGTGTGTGTAATATGGTTGTCAGCGATGAAATACTGAAGGTCGTGGTTCCGTGGTGTAACACAATAAACCATTCAGGACAGACTGAGCTGGGCAATGGATGAGATTATTCTTCATTCTCTTCCTGCAGGATAACCTCATTTATGATCTAAAGAAGAAGAACCTGGAGCTGGAGAAGTTCAAATTTGTGCTGGACTACAAAATCAAAGACCTGAAGACGAAAATCGAGCCGAGGGAGAATGACATCAAAGAGATGAAGGAGCAGATCCAAGAGGTGGGAAATGTAGTCCTACACCTGCAAAGGTGGCCTGCTGAAGTCTGTTTAACCCCTTAAAATCTCAGGCTTATTACATAATAAGGCTTATTATTCAGCAACTACAGAGACTTTAGTGCAAACTGGTTGAGCTTAGATTATAGAAGTGCGTGATAAAACGTCGGGCCTGCCGTCAGGCTCATGGCCTTTTGAGGGGTTAAGAGATACATGAGTTTTGTGACAATAACACTTCATACATACCGTTTAAGAGACTTCAGACACATCACATTCAAAACTGCTATCAATATCACTAAATGAATATCACGTTGCTCACTGCTAATCAAAAGATGCTGTTTTTGTCAGATGGAGGGAGAACTGGATCAGTTCCACAAGAAGAACACTCAGCTGGAGCTGACCATTGCTGATCTGAAGCTGAAACTGAAAGCCACGGATAAAGAGATGCACAAAGAAATGCAGCGGGTTAGTTTTGATACTGTACACAGTGCTTTGGAACATCCATCCACCCTTTCATTTATTTAGTTCAGCCATTAATTATAGGTTATTCATTTTGTAAGTCAGAAATAGCATGACAGAGAAAGCATTTAACAGGAAAATGTGTAAAATGTTCAAAAAAGTAAGGATACAGAGAAAATGGGACTCCTAACAACCATGCAAGACCTGGTAGACCACACAAATTTACCGTTTTCCCCAAATGCTATGCTTTAATTTATATAGACATCATCAAGTACAGTGTGCTTGTTTTTTTTAAACGATGTAATTTTAGCAGAAAATCAAATATTCCTGTTACTCCAAATCAGCCAAAACATGTTTGAAAGTGGCGAAATGTTTCAACTTCTGAAATGTAAAGTAAGACATTCCATGTCATTCAAGCCATGCAGAGGAAGAATGTGTAAAACAGGCCTGAAAATGGTTGAAGAAGGTGCCAGAGTTATTATTTTTCATTTAGCCGGTGTGACTCCATTTATTTAACCCTCTATTGCACTGTGTTGCCTCAGGGCAACAAGCTCATTTTTCTCTCTTTACAATAATGATTTACATATTTAAAGACAGCGATAGGGTTAATAAAGGGAAGAGTTTGAGTAAGTCCATAAAAAGCATGTATTTAGTCATATTGTCTCTTGGTGGACACATTTAAACCTCAATTTTAACATTCAGTACAAGTTTTTTTTTTTTGCAGAATTTGCAGAAATGTTTGTTGCCTAGAAGCAACATTGTATGATAGTGGAATAGATTTAGCCAGTCACAAGCCAGGTCTCACCACTTCAGGAAACATGGGTCTATATCGTTTCTTCCCATTGTCACACAATGTTGCTCAAGGCAACATACTCCAAAAGGGCCCCTGCACACATTTTTAATTTTTAAATGTTGAATTTAATAGTCAGGTCTGAAAAAAATAAAGACCAATTTATGCAAGACAAGTGAATTGATTTTTTTTAAATGCTCTCATAATGCAGGCAGTAGAGGGTTAGTAGAGGGCCATTATTTACAGGTTATTCATTTTTTAGTGTCAGAAATAGCATGATAGAGAAACCATTTAACAGGAAAATGTGTAAAATGTTCAAAAAATGAAGAATGCAGAGAAAATGGGACTCCTAACAACCATGCAAGACCTGCTTTTAGACCACCAAAACTGACCCCTTCAGATAAACAGTACTAAAAAATGTTCAAACCACAGCTGAAAATGCAGAAAATCCAACCAACTTTTAAGAAAAATATTCCTGCAGATTTCTTTGAATAAGCTGTAATAAAAGGCAAAGAATAGATGCAAAATACTGAAAATAAAAATATATTAAGTTGTTGAGGCTTCCTTGTATTTTTCTGTTAAATATACATATAATTTCTGCTTTTCAATGCAAAAAAATGATTATTAATCAGTCACTAATGGCTGTTTGGAGTGAAAATCAAATAAATGAAAGTGTGGTCTCTGTCCTTTGCACAGTGCTGTACTTCCAGTCAGAGTTCTGACAGTGGTCCACCAATCAAATAATGTCTAGTGAACAGCAGTCCTGCGGTCAGAAACTGACCAATGATGAAAGAATAGAGGGTACAGGCTGTAACTGTACACCTGTATAGTGGCTCTATTAGGCACTACCACTGAAGTGGCCAGTCACTGAATGTACGATGTAGGATTTTTGATGGGTCATTATTGCTTTTGTCTCTCAGACATGATTTGGCATATTCAAACTCATTTAAATGGCAAAATAATAGAAAATGTAATTTGCAATTAATCTCCTCCCTCATCCAGCCTGGCTTTGTCTCCTCAGGTCAGAGACGTGGAGGCCCTGGTACGGAGGTTTAAGACTGACCTTCACAACTGCGTGGGGTTCATCCAGGAACCCAAGAAGCTGAAAGAAAGCATCCGAGAGCTCTATGAGCGCTATGTTCAACAGTCAGACGTGGTGAGAGAAACAAACATACACATATACACACACACCCCTCAGTAAATTCATACTGGACTGAGTGAGATCACCACGGCAGGTGGAGATAGTTGGTGTGGACGCGGACATCCAGAGGGAGTACAGCAGGCAGAGGGAGCACCTGGAGAAGAACGTGGCCTCTCTGAAAAGGAAACTGGCCAAGGACACAGAAGTCCACCGAGCAGACAACGTCAAGATCATGAAGGCAGGGAAGCTTTCTTATTTATTTCTTTTTTTATTTTCTTATACTCAGAAACAGAAACCACAAATACAGGGAGATTCACACGAAAGAGGCCCCAAATATTCTGTAATAACTCTTGCTAGGATGAAGCAATCTGAACAAAACAACGTGTAATGTGCTCCTCAGTATATGGAGCCTCGAACAAGCCGGGATGCCCCTGCGTCAGAGCGATGAGGCGCCGGACAGCTGTCGTGATGTTTAACCTCCGTATATGGGTCGCTGAAAATCCCTTTGCCACTCACCAAAAAGCGCTCCATGATCAAAAAGTCGGTGTATGGTGCGCAATGTCTCAGTTGCACATCATAGGCCCCGTTTTCTTTGACACCACCGTGAACACAGATGTATACCTGGACATTTTTGAACAGTTCGTGAATCAACTGGATGACCGTGAGTTAACAGGGTAAATCCGAAGGGGCTTTGGCCACTGCGTTCGCCGAATCTGACACCACCAGACTTCTTCCTTTGGGGTTTGCTCAAAGGAATAGTCTATCGGAACAAGCCTCGCACTACGGAAGATGTGAAGGAAAACATCCAATGTGAAATTGCTGCTATTTCCCCCGATATGCTTGCCGATACGTTGAGGAACATGGAGTGCCGCGTCGAAATGTGTCTGGCAGAAAACGGAGATCACTTCCAGCATCGCATGTAATGCAATCGATTATATATACGTCAAGGGATGTAGCTTATTTTTTCGTTCAGATTGCTTCATCCTAACGGGAGTTACAACAGAATATTCGGGGCCTCTTTCGAGTGAATCTCACTGTACAACCTTGGTAATGATGTGCTTTATGTACTTTAATGGTGTGGCCTACAGTTTACAGTTATTATTTATTAATGTGTATTTTCTTTTGCAATACAGGCTGTGGATATTACATAAAATATCAGACATAACCTTTTATTTATTTTACTTCCAGTTAAAACGGCCATAACCTTAATGCTGAAAAAATGCAACAGATGTATTTAATAGAAAATTACTCTTTTCCTTCATTCCAGCTTCCATTCTTTTCAGGAGACTCACTTTCAGTTTCTCAAAGAATCTGCAGACACACCTCCAAAGTTCAGTCTTAGAAGCTGGTTGATCATTTTCTGAAGTAATCAAACACATTCAGTGGTGTTGAGGTCTGGACTCTGGGGTGGTCAGTCCATTGTTCAGCTTCTTTGTTTGATGTGTCCGTCTCCTTTTCTCAGTGAGGTTCTTCTTGACAGCTACACATCCTTTCAGACCCATAGCACTGAGTCGTCTTCTCACAGTGGAAGGATGGACAGAAACACCTGTGGATGTTTTCAGATCTGAAGCAGCTTGATTTTCTCCTCTCTCTCAAAGAGGAAAGCTTTAAGTGCTGTTTATCTGATGGGGACAGTTTTGGTGTCCACCAGGTCTTCCAGGTGGTTTTTAGGAGGCCCATTTTCTCTGGAGCTCATAATCAGTTTTACCTCCAGTTTTGAAAGCTCCTTTTTTTCCCACTTATTTTCTTTTGACTTTCTCTTCTTTATGTAGTGGATTATCTTAGATTTGATCTCCTCAGAAATATCTCCTGAAAAATTAACAACTTGTACTGAATGACTATTTTGACTGGAAAGAAAATAAATAAGGGGTGGTCTATGACTTTTGCACAGAACTATATGTCATTACACACTTGGTTTAGATTATCATTCATTTTACATCTTGTGACGTCTGCGGTTCTGTGTTTTCTTAGTTTGTTTCTATGTCAAAGCCGTGGCTCACCCACTACAGATTAGTGCACACAATTAAATTGGCTCTTAATGAGTCAAATCAAATTAGTGAACGCTGTGCTTGTTGCCTGGGCTGCCTAAAAATAGAACACTGTTTGACATGCTGTGTTTTGCTGGTGTGCAGGAGAATGTCTCTCTGATTAAGGAAATCAATGATTTGCGGAAGGAGCTGAGGGTGGTCCGAGCACAGGTCCATGACTACGAGAGCCAAGTAGGCCTCAATAAGAAGAACAAGCCCAGGAGCACCACAGACATCAGAAGTAAGCCAGACAAGACGAAAAAACTTTTAGGGACAGTGGTCAGGGTCTTTAACCCATTACAATCAGACAATTATTTGGTTATAGATGTGTGTAATAAAACATGGCCTGTTGAGGGGTTAACCTCTTTTTATCTGTCTGATAACAGTACACTTTAAATTCCATGTATTAAATGTCTTAATAGCATATTTAGGATCAATAACAATAGTGAGTTTAGAGCTCATGTCATGGAACAGCATATTTTTTTATAGAATGTAAACGCTGTTAAAAGTTCAAAACGTACCGTTCGCTCCTCAGCTATGCAGTTGATATTTGGAATCTACACTGCCAAAACAGCCTGTTTAATTCATTATTATTATTATTGCCTCATATATTTTTGTTGGTACATAAGCTCCCCGGACAAAAAATTATTCACCTTGCGTGTTTAAGGTGGTAGTAACTTCAGGCTCCTGCAGATGGCTATAAATACCTGAGGGGTGTGTGATGGAATTCATGGATTGAGAAGAGGTGGTACAGTGATGCAGTCGATGTGTGAAAAATGGAAAAAGGAGGTGATTGGTTTTTGTTCCTGTCAAAGGCCACGGTGTGAAGGAAGTAGCTGAATTTGCAGGTGTATCAAAGCATACGGTCATACGGCTCGACCAGCAGTGGCAGAAATCCTAGTCTACAGGAAATTCTCATCAGAATTGTGGCCAAAAGACGAAACTGACAGACAAGAACCACCGGCGTGTTTCACGGCTTCGCTTCCAGGCAAGAATTGCTTCTAGAAGTCAACGCAGGTCCTTCACAACCAATTTCTGAAAGAACCCTTCGCAGGGAACTGCATACCATAAACATGTGGAGCAGAACGGCATGCAAGAGGCCTTTGACTATTCCTGCTCGCAAAGTTGCCCGGTTACAGTGGACGAAGAGACACAAAAACTGGACTGTTCATGACTGGAAACGTGTTGTCTGGTCAGATGAATCTCGTTTCTGCCTGTGTGTGAATGACTTTAGGCATCATGTTCATTGTAGAGCTCAGAAAGCCTTCAATGAGGACTGCATGCAAGGTGTGGTCAAAGGCTCTGTGATGTTCTGGGGTGTTTTAATTACACTGAAATGGGTCCTTTGGTTGAGGTAACCATATATTTGAACTGCAGTGCCAACACTGAGCTGCTGGACAGCCATGTTTTGTCTTTTGCTAATCATCTCAATGAGGAACATAACATTCCTATCCCTGAATTCCAAGATGACGATTCTCGCGTTCACAGGGCTGCAAATGTGACTGATTGGCATGATGAACATTCAGGATCTTTCACACATCTGGACTGGCCTGCAAAATCCCCAGATCTGAATCCTTTTGAAAATCTGTGGGACAACCTGGAACAGCGAGCAAGAGGCCAGGGACGGCATCTACAAATTCTGGCCGAACTGCGCAATCCTTTGATGCAAGAGTGGCTGAACGTTGATGTCGCCTTCATCCAGAAACTTGTCCGGTCCAGGCCAAATCGAATCGCAGCTGTTATTCGTGCTCGTGGAGGTATTACACGCTATTAGCTACGTTTCAGTCAAAATGGACTAATTTTTTGTTTGGTGAGCTTATATACACCCATTCACTCATTCACTCAGTAGTTTAGCTCCGCCCACTCACACAGAGGTTATAAGTAGTGTTGCTTTTAGAATGAGACATAAAACAGACCAGCCAGTCAAAACAGAGCTATTTACATATGTCTTACATTAACTCTTAAAGGCGCAGGTTGGAAAGATTAGAAAATGGTCATGAAAGAATGAATTGTAACTGTTTTCAGTACATAAAACCACACAAACATCCTAAGTGGACCTCTGGGAAAGGCTGCAGGTGTTCGATGTATCTTAGAGGAAGAAAAAACCCTTACAACAGCATCAGGTCCAGCAAAACAGGCAGCTTATCACTCATATCATAACTCACTCGACATTCTTCCGCCTTTATTTCTCACCACAGCAGCAGCCTCAGCAGGAACAGTGATGCGGCTGAACTTCGAGGAGGAGGCTGAGCGGATTATCCAGCTGCAGCGCCTGGAGATCCAGAGGCTCAGGCAGGAGCTGCAGGGTCAGAGCCGAACTCTCACGCCGCCCACGCCTTCAGCCAGCACCAAACTACCAGCCCTGACCGCGTGAACACCACTGAGCCCATGCCAAACCATAAGGGCCACATAATGTAATTTCTGTTTTACGTAACGCTACATTGCAGGTGTTTCTCTTTTAATGCTGGGCGTAATGAACAATGATTACAAATGTCTAAGCATGATTTATATCAAGGTGTCCAGTTCTGATCCTGGAGGGCCAGTGTCCAGCACAGTGTGGTGATTTCCTTGCTTTAACACATCTAATAAACCTGGTAACGAACTGTTGAGTTGAATTAACAGTGTTTGAGCTTGGAAATCAACTGACTTTGCTGGAGGCACTATAGGACTGCAACTGGACACCCTGATTTATATTGACTATTAATTATTACGACTCACTGGCCACTTTATTAGATATACATACCTTGTATCTTTGCTCATTGTCCACTTTTTCAGGTTCACTTGCTGTATAGGTGCACTTTGTAGTTCATCTGATTCTTTTCTGACAGTGATCCACCTCTCAGATGATACCTGTTCAGTGGTGGAGCTGTGGGGGTCCTGACCACTGATGAACAGGGTAAAGGGGGCTACCAAATTATGCAGATGGACTACAATCTGTATGTATATCGCTGCTGTCAGAAGAAAGCCTTATATCACCATTTTTGTTGTTTTTCAGTTTTTGACATAATTTGAAAATGCCTGTTGCTCTTTACATTTATGGCCCAAAATGACTTGGGGAAAAAGTCTGGTTCCATTGACTTCCATTAAAAGTAAAGTAGGTTTTTTCCTTCTCCTGTAAAGTTACCGTTTTGGAGATACAAGCTTTTCTTCTGACAACAGCGATATGGTAAATGGACCTGGTAAAACAAATGAATGTAGATAATAAAGTGGCCAGTGAGTGAATATGAGATCACAAAACAGGGAATTCTACGTCTGATCACACTGAAGTGTGTAAATATATATTTAAATACAAGCTAGTTTAATACCGACTCTGTCCTGTTTTGTTCTCCCTAATATCTGAGCATTGCTTCAGTGCATCAATGATTCAGTTGTTCCGGTTATGAAGTGCTGGGTCACTCATACAGTCTCCTATACCCATAATCAGTAGTGGACAGTTACAAAGTACATCTACTGTCTTACTGTGTCTAAAGCTGCACTATAAATTTTTCATTAAAATGGAAAGAAGTAGCATTGCTGAGTCAGAAGATATAAAACTAAATTATAGTGCGTGTGCTACTGCAAGTTGCCCTGTAAATCCTGAAATAATCTTTCAAAAGTCTGAGGTGTTGGGTCAGGGGATTTTTTGGACCACAAAGAGCACTTTTTGAATACTCTTTCAACACACAATCAGATTAATTTGCCTGGGGAAGGGGTCATTGCAAAATGTTCGTCCACACCTTGCATGCAGTTACACATTTTCACCAGAGAGGTCTCCAAATCACCAAATCTTACATAGTGTAGCTTTAAGTACTTTTTTCTGTAGTATTTCTCCTTTATATAGTATTTCCTTTTTTTGAGACTTCACTTTATTAGTAAAGTAATCTCCTAGTTTTTACTTTTCTGCTAGATACTGTCAAGTAAAAACTAGATTTTCTATAATATACAAAAGAATAGTTGAACTTTCTAAGATAAATCAAACCAATGATCAAATCAAACCAAAGCACACTTCACTACATCTCTCGACTCTCGAGTCAGACTTAGCCAGACGCGTGCGGTTAAAATGTGAAAAAGAGGCTTTACTAGTTTGTCCAGAATCCACAATCGAGGTCGAAAAACAGGAGGTCAAAACCAAAACGAGCCAACAATATACAAACATAACAAAGACAAATCCAGGCAACCAAAGTCCAAAAAGGGAGAGTCAAAAATACAAACAATGGGTCAGATACACAAAGAGTAGATCAGAACACGGACAACAACGCTCAGTAGCTCTATGAAAGAAGCAATACCTCACAACTGACCTAACCTAAAGCCCGGGCCTATAAACTAACTGGATCTAGTCACATGATACATAACACAGGTGAAGAACATCACTGGGGAAGCTGATCTCTGATATGTGGAACCTGGTGACCTTGACATCACATGTTCACCCAGAGGGTTCTGGGAATTGGAGTCCTGTGAGTCATGGCTGGAGGGATGCGTGACACTCTCCCCTAAATACTGAATTTCCAGTCGCAACTTAGCAACAGCCAACAAGTAAATGCCATTCAAGCTTGGCATGTTCTTGTTTTTTTTTTGGTATGTTTCAATACATCATATGCAGAGAGCATTTTTGTTGCAGTGTGGCATAAAAAAAAAACAAAAACTAAATATTGGGAAAATTTAACATATAAACTTTTGCACAGACCACAATTTATGTTCATTATTTTTTCCAATATGTTATTATATGTCATGTTTTATTATTGTAATGGTAGGCAATGTAACGATTTTTTTCAAGTAATTTTGGACCATTTCTATTAGTCTGTTTATCATACAATTTTAGCCCAGTGCAGACGGTAACTGAGGGGTACTTTTCAAATTGTGCAAGCAATAAAAAAATTTTAAAAATGGAGATACAAGGTTTTTGCATGACAGCATCAACATATAGTTAGTATTTAAAATAATACAATTAAAACTAAACATTTATTATATTTATGAATAATATTTATAAATAAGGACAGTTATTTTATTTTTTTTATTAGCAATATTTTTATTATGCAAAAAAACAACTGAACAATATATAGATAAACTACACTACACTGTTAGGAATAAAGGTTCTGCACAGGTACATTTTTCGTTCATCAAGGTACAAACAGTGTAAATATTCCCTCAAAGGTACAACAGTGGGTTTAAGGTCTGATTTAAATAAATAAATAAACCTTAAATAAGTTTTTCCAGGTGAAAAGACGGGGTGTGTGGAGTCAGTACAGCTTAAATATCATTTCAGTGGATTATGGTTCAGTTATGTTCCCTGACTAAAGGTACTGAGATACCCCAGTGACAAGAGTGGTACCACCCCAGTGACAGTTTAGTCCTCTTATTTCTGAGAGTGTACAGTGTGATAAGGTATCAGTGCAGCCCCAGTCTTTTCTCCACCACTGCTCGTAATGCATGATAACAATGCCCTGATGAGATCAGATGGCTTTTGTGGTAAAAGTGCTGTTTCAGGCTGCGTGTTAGTGAGTAAGGCCAGGCTGGGGGTCTCAGCAGTGCTTCTGGGTTTAGATCACGTGAATGACAGCATCCCCGCAGTGACAGAACAGCCTTTATGCTCTCCAGTGTGACATCAGGGCTGATCTGGAGGCCGGCATGTTCCTCCGCTCGGCCTATTGTGTCTCCCACAATGCCCTGAAAGATCTCACTGCTTCTCCGCGAGTGGCCGTCTGCCCGCTGCCTTCCTGAGCCCCCCAGAGCCGTCTGTGGGTGCGTATGTGTGTGGTCACTGTTCTCAGCCACACCATTCAGCAGTGAGCAATGAGACCTCTCCCACTGTCATTGTGCAGAAGGGCCAGATAGGAGAAGAACACCAAGGGAGTGCATGTGTCCACTGTCATGATAGTCAGGCACCAGTCACTGGTCAGCTCTTCCCATGACAGGCCACTGAGAGCGTGCACGAGCTGAGGAAACAAGCGGGCAGGCAGATACACAGAGGTGAAGGTGCAGGACACACCAGTGTGGGAGTTCGTAGAGTCATTTACTGCTGCTAAATCAAGCTTATGTCCAAGAATATAAACCTCTACAGACAGTAAGAGAGCCGGTCACTCAGGAGAAACTGCCCCTCACTGCTGCTTCATCATCAACATGTGGAAAGTCAGAACAAATGGATCTGGAGGACTCACACATCTGAAGAAGGAATGACAGAAGGTGAGCAGATACTCTCATAGAAAACAATTAAAGGGGAATTCCACCCATTTTCCAGAATTTCTGCATAATTCAGAACAAACTCTGAGTGTTGTGATGTGAAACGGCCCATTGTAGAGACTCTTTACAGTGGTGGTGATAGGAACCAGACGTCACCATGACTACAACTCAAATAGAGCCATTTTATTTACTGTCTAAAACCACCAGTGAACCTACACAAGTCTTTTGAGCTTTTATATGGAATGTTGATGATAAAATAGCAGTAAAACTGGATAACATCAAATTTTCTTTGGAACTATCTTGCCTTACTACTGCATGCATGTACCTCTACGCCATGAATAAATCCAGATTATTCCTTTTTTGTGTCTTATTTCATGGCGTTATATTGGCAGCCACAGGCGACTGCTGTACTGTTGCGCACAGCTCTCGCGTTAGAGCTTTAGCATTGTATTATAGACAGGAGGATCCCAAAAACAGAAGAACAGCCTAACAGACTTCACTGTCTTCACTGTGCTGATGGACGCTGGACGTTCTTAAGTCACTCAGTTCTGGATGAGTTTTTTGAGCTCAAGTTGTTTTTAGTAAAGTCCTTCAACGTTTGTCATTAATTTACAGTAAATACAGACCCCTGCTGGTGACATCCCTTCTTCGTTAAAATAATGTGTGGCCACATCTTACTAAGTCATGGGAACAAGATAGTTAAGTCATGGCCACAATTTAGGCATGAGAATGCGATTAATGAATTAAGCAATGGCCACAGCTTAGTATTGTGTGGGAACAAGATATTTAAGTTGTGGCTACAACTTAGTAAGGCACGGGAAAGAGATAATTAAGTCATGGCTGAAACTTAGTAAGGTGTGGGAACGAGATAGTTAAGTCATGGCCATAATTTAGGTGTGAAAACAAGACAGTTAAGTTCTGGCCAACAACTTAGTAAGGCGTAGGAAGGAGATAATTAAGTTGTGGTCATAACTTAGGTGTGGGAACAAGATAGTTAAGTTGTGGCCACAACTTAGTAATGCATGGGGAAGAGATAACTAAGTGGCTAAAACTTAGTACGGTGTGGGAAGAAGACAGTTAAGGATTGACCACAACTTACTAACATGTAGGAATGAGATAGTTAAGTTGTGGCCATAATTTTGTGTGGGAACAAGATAGTAAATTGTGGCCTCAATTTATTGAGGCATGGGGACAAGATAGTTCATCGTGGCCATAAGGTTAGGTTATGGGAAGAAGATAATTAAGTTGTGGCCACAACTTAGTAAAACATTGGAAAGATGTAATTAAGTCATGGCTAAAACTAAGTAAGGTGTGGGAACAAGACAGTTAAGTTAATAAGGCATGGGAATGAGATATTTAAGTCGTGGTCATAACTTTGGTGTGGGAACAAGATAGTAAATTGTGGCCACAACTTAGTAAGGCATGGGAAAGAGATAATGAAGTCATGGCTAAAACTTACTGAGGTGTGGGAACAAGACAGGCCTTGGCCTTTACTTATTAAGGCATGGGAACAAGATAGTTAAGCCGTGGCTACAATTTAGGTGCGGGAATGAGATAATTAAGTCCTGGCTAAAAATTAGTAAGGTGTGGGAATGAGTTCAATCATAAGCACAACTTTTTAATGCATGAAAACAAGATAGTAAAGCCATGACCACAATTTATTAAGCATGGGATAAAATCAGTAATTCATGGCCACAACATATTAAGGCGTGGCCACAAGTCAGTAAGGTGTGGGAACAAGATAATTCAGTTTTACTAGTTAAGTCATGGCCACAGCTTAATGAAGAACAAGATGATTAAGTCGTTACCATGCCTTAGTAAGTCATGGCCACATATTACTTTAATTTAGAAGGGACGTCATCATCGGGGCTCCATACATAACAGACCTTTACCTGAGTGTGTGTTGAGTATGAGACTCCTCTGATAATGTCCACTCCACTTCCGCAGTGTGAGCTGATGTGAGATGTCTGAGCTGGAGCAGCTGCCCCGACCCCACCTTGCGCCCGCCCTGCACCGCTGGAGACGTGATGTGGAGGAGCAGGTGGAGCTGTGGTGGTTTGGTGACCCCTGTGTCTCCGTGCTCTGTTACTGCACCTCAGTGACGGTGGTGCTGGGCCTGGGCCTGGCGGGCGTGTTGTTGCTGTCCTCGGCCGGCTCTGCTACTGGCCCCTCGGCGCTGTGGCGGCTGGCCGTGGGCTCCACGCTCTGCCTCTTGGCGCTGGCCGTCCTGCTCAAGCAGCTGCTCAGCTCGGCCGTGCAGGACATGGGCTGCATCCGGAGCCGGAGGAGGATCCTGCAGCTGCGCAGCGGGGGCTCTCTGGACCCTCTGCTCCTGCTGGCCACCGGCCTGGCCTTGATGGTCTGCGGCGCCGCGCTGCTGCTGGCCTTGAGCCGCTCGGACACGCTGCTCTCCGGGACGGTCCTCCTGGCTAGCGGGGGCGCCGTAGTGCTGGGCGTGGCAGCATATGGAACAGTGGTGTATGTGAAAGAATGGAGGAGAAGGAGGACAAGAAGGAGGAGGAGGAGGACGAGAAGGAGGGTGAGAGTGTACGCAGTAACAGCACAGAGGAGTCAGCCATGGAGAGACTCGGCCTCCAGTCAAGCAAGTCTGATATGAGAGATTAGAGGAGCAGAAATACGACAAAAGAGAAAAGTTTACACATTATCTAAGCCACTTATCCTCCTGGGTTGTGGGGGTTGCTGGAGCCTATCCAAGCAGTCATTGGGCAGAAGGCAGGAAACACCCTGGACAGGTTGCCAGTCCATCACAGGGCAGACAGACAGACATATACACTTAAACCTAGGGGCAAATTAGCATCTTCCATTTGTCTGCCCGTATGTCTTCGGACAGGGAGAACATGCAAACTTCATGAAGAAAGTACCCTGGTCACCCGGCCGGGGAATCGAACCCAGGCCCTTACTTGCTGGGAGGCAACAGTGCCACCACCATGCCGCTTGAAGTTTAATCAAGTGAACTGTTAAATCAAGATAAATTAACTGACCGTTTGCAAAATTCAGAAAAAGTTCAGCCTCATTTATTGTTGCCATGTGCGTCAAACATTCACTTCAGGCTGCCAGGTAGCATCTTCAAAGTACAAAGGAAAATTCAGAAGCTCATTTAAAACTTTTTTCATTAAAAACAAAACTGTTTAGTGCAGAGATATGTGTCTGAGAACTGACAAAATAGTGTAGCATCAGCGTAGGAGAAGAAGACGCTTCGAACAAGTGCTCTTTTATTTACATGCAGCTGGGCTAACCCACCACCAGCGCTGCCAGAACGGCCGCAGCAGCGTTGGTCACCTCCGACCGTACATCTCACTGTAATGGTAGGTATGCAGACCCACTAACCAGCCCCACAGACCAGCACAAAGCAACAGGAACAGCACATAAACACATGACCAAGCCCACAACAACAACTATTCACATTATTTAAGCACAGTGGTTTGGTGCTCTGCACTCGCCGCTCTGTGTAGCCACAGCACAACGAGATGCTAGCAGGACATTATAGATAGATAGATCACTATATCGCTGCTGTCGGAAGAACACCATCTCCATTTTTGTCATTTTTCAGTTTTTGCCATCATTTGAAAATGCCTGTTGTCCTTTATATTGTGTGTAAATTTTATGAAGAATAGACCAAAAGAAACGTCCCAAAATGATTTGGGGGAAAAAAGGTTCCATTGATTTACATTAAAAGTAAAGTAGGTTTTTATCTTTTCCTGTAAAGTTACCATATCAGCTAATGCTAAAGCTAACACTGGAGCTAATCAGAGCAATGTTAACTGCTAAGGAGAACTTGTCGTCTTTTAGCAAACTTTAATGAAACAACACAAAGAGTGATGTGTACATTAACATAAATTACATCACAATGTTCAGTACACTGATATTTATCTTCATATACAACGTTTTAAAAATTGCAAATGTGATTGTGTTTGACTTATTACACATCATTTTTAGCCAATATAGTAGCCAAGATAAAGTTTAGTGAATTCCATGCTGGTCTCAGCTGGTTAATACTGGTTTAGCTGGTCACCCAGCATGGTCATGCTGTTTGATCAGCACACCAGTACCCAAAACACAACATATGCTGGTTTTGCTGGTGACCAGACATGCAGGTCTATGCTGGTTTTTCTAGCAGGGTAATTTACCACCACTGCCGTTCTCACTGCAGGTTTGTTCTGAGGTGTTTCCTCAGTTTTTCCTTCACTTGATGATCTCTGTGTTGAGATTACTGTAACTGGCTGAGAGGCGTGCCATTCCTAATTTTGCAAATGGTCAAATGCTCAAATTGACATTTCAAACAGAGAAAAAAATGATGAAAGTGAATTTGCGGACAAAATCAAACGCACTGTTAAATCAAGTTATTGAATGACGTTTAAAATGTGTGTCTATAGAAAAGTAAGGTTTGTAAAAGGTTTGTAGACTCCAAACTCCCCCTCAACCAACAGACGAGTTTGTTGTCAACTCAAAAGTTGCAGCGCCCTCTAGTGGACAAAACAAAGACTCAACAAGAAAAGGGAAGAAATATCAGAACATTGTCTTCGAAATCAAGTTTACTGTGATGGTTTTGAATGATGTTTCATTTTAAAATAAAAGTCCATATAAGGTTCACAATTTTCCCCACTAGCTATTTTTTTCCTGCCAAGTTATGCTCTTTTTCATAAGTGGCCTCTGGGGGGACATTATTAGAAAAATCAATAAATAAATTTCGTCACTGATCTTGGAAAAAGAGTGATGACGAGTTCTCTTTTTGAATGATGTTTAAAACAAAAATGTGACTATTTCTGCCATTTTATCTGCTGTTCTCTGTTAATCACATGGTTTCTTAATGTTGTTGTTGCATTTATTGATTTGATATTTGAAAATGTGATCTAACAAAACCAAAAGTTCACAGATATTTATTCGTCTGTCTACCTTTTCGAACAAGAAAATGCATGAACAGGAATATAAGTCACATCAGTTGCGTTTTGTTGTTTTATCTGGTTAAACAAAACAAAAAACAATGCATCCAACAATAAAGGAAGCCTCGTGCTTCTTTTATACCGTGATAAGAAACACGGTAGCTCACGGAAAGCACGCTAACACGTTTCACTCAGGCCAACGTGAACATGCGTGTGCTGTATCTGACGCATTTCCCTTTTCAAACTGATACCAGAGAACTTGGAACAGTAGGGAGGAGAATTACCGCTCTGTAATGTCTTCAGGGTTTCTCAAACACTAGAGGGCGCTCCCGAGCGAGTCCAAAATGAATGGGTTAAAATGGAGCATTGGAGCAAAATCAGAGTTTATAAATGATTAAACATTTTTAATGTAAAAGAATTCATTAATTTCCTGAACACTGATTATCATAAAACAGCAGTAGCAGTAATGCCAGCGTCCTTCTGCCTAAAACCTGTTTGCTATAGAAAAAAGGAAACATACAGGTGAGATTTCTCTGCTTTTTAGTGAAAATACATCCTTCTACTTTCTAAAACTATAGGAAAGTTCAGAAGGTTTAGCTCTATTTACTCCCATTTATTGAGGACTTGCTTGGGGGCGCCCTCTGGTGCCCTCTGGCGTTTTGCAGTCCTGTTTTTGATATAACGGGGGAAACAGAACGTGGCCAGGCTCCTCATAAACCAGGGGCCGTATTACAGAAACTTCCTATCTTTTTGTCTTAACTTAAGATTTTCCACAAATTCGTATTACAGAAGCAAATCTGATCTTAATTAAAGAATCTTGTCTTACAGCATCTCATCTTATCTCAACTTAGGAAATCTTAACTTTCTTGACTGAAGTTGACAATCAACTGTCATGTCTGTTACCTAGCAACCGACCATATGCGCACAGCTGAAAGGTAAACACGTAATCAGGTTAGCCAGACAGCTAACGTTTGCTACCGTTATTGGTGTAAAGAAAGTCAAACAAAACTAAAGCGCGATAAACTGAGAGTTAAGAATGTTGTGTTAGCGCCCCCTGCTGTTTACTGTTCCACAGTCTCAGTCTCCATTTCCCAAACGCTTTAGCTGAGCGCGCTAACGTTACTCCTCCTAATAAACAGACACACGTTCAGCTCCGTCTCCTCATTATTTACCACCATCACTGTAATATTTCATCATCAACATTAACACACGAAGGTGATCAGAGGGGCGGTGGAGATCGAGTCTGCAGCGTCTGAGATCTTTAAAACGCAGAGTTAGAAAAGAAAATCATCTCACAGTGAAAGCAGCGTTTTCGGTGTAGATCAATGTAGCGTCATTATGCTGGTTATAGTGAACGCTGCTGCCTCTCACAACACAAAATAATAGAAACAGACGATTAAAACAGAAGTTAAGCTTTTAAGTTTATCTTAAAGTTAAGAAAATATTTAGGATATTTTGCCAACTTAGGATGTTTCTGTAAAACCGTTTTCTTATCTGGAAATAAGATGAGATTATAGACTTAAGAACCGTTACGGCTTTTGTCCTAAATTCAGTCTTAACTGAAGTTGCCACGACAACAAAGCAGATAAGATATGATCTCAGACTACAGGATTTTCCGTAACACGGCCCCAACTCAGCTGATACGACTTCATCACTGTACTCTGCCAGCTGGTTCGCTAGCATGCTAAAGGCTACATGGCTAACAATAACAAAAGGAAAGGCACTACAGCTCAGCTGTGCTGTTCATAGCCAGATAAAGCAGTTACTCACACACATTATATACACCATGCCTGTGTTTGCATGGCTATCTGATTAGCTCACTGAAGCTAACCTAGCTGAGCGTGTGTTCTGTCTGAGTAAGCCGCTCCTCACTGTCCCCTCCTCCACTTTTGCAACCAGCGACCACTTTTGGAACACAGGTGTGATGCACATCCGAGTGGTGAGTTGAAGAGGGTGGGGTCAGGCTCTAAAAAGAACTGAAACAGGGCTAATGTGTGTTTGTGTTCAGTAAAATATTCATAAAATGTTTTTCTTCAGTAGCTTTTCTCCGTCACTCTTTTCACTAGCTGTTGTGCCGTCTAGTAGGCCGGAGCAACAAAAGTAATAAGAGGAGATAAATCTCACAACATATTTGGATTTTCACCAGCAAGCTCCCTTTTTTCTGGTCACACTGTTTTGTTTTTCATAGGTCACAGCGCCCCCTGCTGGACAAAACCAGGAAACTACAGTCTGATATGAGAACAGAGGCACAGAGACACAAAGAGCAGATGAGTTTCAAGGCTGGAAAATACTTCACTGATTCTTAAGTATTTCGAAAATTTGTGTATATATATATATATATATATATATATATATATATATATATATAATATAATATAATATAATATAATATTTTATGGTTCTCAGTCCAGCAGTGACACTGACATGGTGGTGGTGCGTTAGTGTGTGTTATGCTGGTGCAAGTGGATCAGACACAGCAGTGCTGCTGGAGTTTTTAAACACCTCAGTGTCACTGCTGGACTGAGAATAGTCCACCAACCAAAAATATCCAGCCAACAGCGTCCTGTGGGCAGCGTCCTGTGACCACTGATGAAGGACTAGAGGATGACCAACACAAACTGTGCAGCAGCAGACGAGCTATTGTCTCTGACTTTACATCTACAAGGTGGACTGACAAGGTAGGAGTGTCTAACAGAGTGGACAGTGAGTGGACACAGTGTTTAAAAACTCCAGCAGCAGTGGTCTGTCTGATCCACTCAGACCAGCACAACACACACTACACACTAACACACCACCACCACGTCAGTGTTACTGCAGTGCTGAGAATGATCCACCACCCAAATAGTACCTGCTCTGTGGTGGTCCTGTGGGGGTCCTGACCACTGAAGAACAGGGTAATAAAGTGTGCAGAGAAACAGATGGACTACAGTCTGTAACTGTAGAACTACAAAGTGAAACTATGTGGTCAGTGGAGCTGATAAAATGAACAGTCTTCTTCTTTTTTCATTCTTTGTCATAAGTTGCAGCGCACTCTAGTGGACAAGTTTTGTAATTAACTCCAGATCATGTGACGTACAGTACTGAAGGTTAGTCTGTGTAAAACCATACTGTGTTAAGGAACTCAATCATGTACTGGCCACAAAGATACTTTCCATAGCTACAACCAGCATCTATCAGCATGTAACTGACACTTGTTAGGCTCTGTTCTTCTCTTTTTTGTGATTCTTTTGGTCTAATATAAAACGAAAAAGATCAAAAGTTAAAATAAAAGATGCAAAAGTATGAAAATCAAAAGAAAAATGTTAAAATTTGAAAGTTGTGACTGATAGTAAAGCAGCCCAGCAGCTGAACCAGCAGAACCGAATGAAATTAAACCCAAAAAAGGACCTAAATGTGACGGACCGAAATGCAGCTGTGGAACAAGGTCGATTCCTCACCTGATATTCTCGCTGAAAAATAATCCTGATTGCTGAAAATAAGTGAAACTACAGTAACAAATACTTTCTTTAGCCTTTGCATCACCTTGAGGTTTGGACAACACTTTACTTGGACGCTGCTATAAAACAGCCATAACCAGGCCATAAACATGTCATTTGCCATGACATGTTTATGGCCTGGTTATGTCACTGGCTGTGTTTACATGCAAAGACTGTTGCCAATCCGACTGAATACATTCCGAATACAGATTAAGACTGAGGTGTTTATTCTCACTCTACTCAACAATCTGATGGCAAATCTCTGTTTACATGCTCATTACAAGTAATCCAGTCCAAAATGACGCGCATGATTAGAGAACGACTTAATGTTGACGTTACCATGACAACGAGCATCACGTGAGTCCAGTCAGAGTGAGACGAGCAGCAGTGAGCAGCGCTTGTGTTTTTAATTGCTTTAAAATGATGTCAGACTCAGGAAAACGTCCTTCACATGTCCTTATTAAAGAAGGCCGAGAGGAAGACGTCGTGTTCTGAGACACATAAGCTGGACGTCCGTCCCACCGCCGTCTTTTAAAGATCAGAGCATGAACTTCGTCTCCTCTGCAGACCAGTTTCTGCTCCGCCATGTTGAACGGTATAAACTTTCACTATGACGTGACGCACATGATCAGAATGTACTTAAACTTTCTGACAGGGAATGTAATCAGATACAGGCGTTTACACGGATATTATTCTTCTATTTAACAGATTATTTACAGGATTACATTCTTTGTTCAATTGGATAGAAATTCCAAAGGGCCTCAACTGGAATAGACTAGTCCAATTGAGGCCCTTCGGAATTTCTATCCAATTGAACAAGGAATGTAATCCTGTAAATAATCTGTTAAATAGAAGAATAATAGCTTCTGTGTGTTTACATGGTGTTTACATGGACGTATTCTATTCCAATTGAGCTAATGGTCTGACTATTAACAGATTATTAGGCTGCATACATGTATGTTATGTAGCAGTGTTGTTGTGATTTCTTAGCTAATGTTTATCTTTGATCACATAAATGGATAAATGGTCAGAAAAGTGTTGGCCCTATACAGTAAAACAGCAGCTCATTGACACACAAGTCTGCTCTAAAGTGAACATAGGAAAGAAACGTTAAAGGGGAATTGCATTAATTTTTCCAAATTTCCACATAAGTCAATGGTTAAGATGTAAACAGAGTCATTCAGAGTGGTTTGGTGTGAAATTGCCGATTGTAGAGACTCCTACACCACTGATTTCTTTACAGTGGTGGTGATGGAAACCAGGGGTCGCCATGTCTACAATACAAATATAGCCATTTTATTTACTACCCAAACCCTTCGTGAACGTATGCGTGTCTTCTGAGTGTTTATATGTAATATTGATGGTAAAATAATGTTAAATTTAAAAAAATGTGCTTTCTTTGGGGACTATTTCGTCTCACAATGCCCTGCATGTATCCCTCCACCATGAATGGATTCTATAAAACAGTAAGTTTTAGGCCTAAACTTTATTGCAAAACTAACGTGAAACAAAGTCTCAGACATCCGGCAGCACTTTAGTAACTATTTTCTGTAATAACTTTCTGTGAGGGAGCTTTTAGAGGTGGACGTCTGGTTCCTATCACCACCACTGTGAACAGTTCTGACTCAGTAAGTTTCTCCAGAACAGAGCGTTTCACACCAAACCACTCTGAACGACTCTGTTTACATCTTAACCATTCAATTATTGTGGAAAATGGAAAAATCACTGGAATTCCGCTTTAACTAAACAGTCCCTGAGTTCAATCAATTGAGAAGTGGATGTCCAGTTCATCGTCGCTCTCCTCGTCCGTGACCTCCTCTTGCTCCTCCTCTCTCTCTGCCCTCTCCTTGCCTCCAGCCGCAATGTAGTTGTCCTCGATGAAGCCGTCGTCGTCGTCGTCATGGTTACCCCCATACTCCTGCCTCTCCCTCATGCTGTGGGCAGGGAAGTTGCCAGTGAGGGTCCCAGGTTGGCTGAACTGGCTGGCCGTGTCGCCCTCTGGCAGAAGAGCTTCGTTGTAGCCGCCGAAGAAGCGCTGGACGATCCGGAACTTGACGACCAGCGCGATCACAATGGCCACACACAGCACGGAGAACAGCAGGCCAAGCAGTATTGGCCATGGACTGGAGCTGGTGTTGTCTGATATCTCGGAGTTGGAGGCTGAGTTAGAACAGAAGAAGCATAAAGAATAATAATGTTAAATACATCCATTTATACACCGCTGAGTTCTGATGACACAGCTGCTCTTTTATGACTTTTATTTGTTTTCTGATCTGATTTGTAAGAGGGAGGGTCTCTGAGTGCCTCCTCTCCATGATAGGTGGGTGTGGCAGGTGAGGGAGGTGATAATATTATTGGTTAATATTATTTTGCCCCGCCTGTTGTTGCACAGTGAAGTAATCAAAAATCAGAAGACAATTTAAAGGCAGGCATGAGTCACTACACTTCCACAAAACAGAGATTTTGTCTTTCAAATGACAAATTGTGCTTCATATGATCAGGAACATAAACTAACAAAGTGAAAATGGCCAGTTATGATTTCAGGTCGACTCCCAGGCCACCACAAGTCGACATGTGACTAAATGTTTCTACTAATTTAGACCAAATGTTTTGTCTCGGGGGTCATAGTGCAATGTTTTGGTGGGTTGAGGGCTAAAAAGACTAAATAATATACAAATCAAGTTTTGAAAAAATAGATTTAATACACACATACACATTTTCTAAGCCACTTATCCTTCTGAGTCGTGGGGTGCTGGAGCCTGTGGTCATTGGGAGGAAGGCAGGATACACCCTGGACAGGCTAGATTTAATAATACTATATTTTGTTACTAAGTAACAGGAAAAAAAAAGAATTCAATAAGTTATATACAGTACACAAATATGTCTTTTCTCTCGCTGGGTGAGGGGCAGAATCAGGGTAATTTTCTGGCAGGCCAAATAAAAAAAAAACTGTCAAATTATTATTTTCTTCAGGGAAAACTTTCTCTACAGACCATGGAAGACACTTTGATGATGACGAAGCTGAGTGCTGAAGCCAAATATGCCTAAAGGATTAGCACAGAGCTGTTTTACGATGATAAAACCTTTGCAGGGATTTTTCTCACTTTATTGGACAGATTTTTCAAAATGTGAAAAATAATTAAATGATTAAGCAAACAGAGTCATTCAGAGGGGTTTGGTGTGAAACGCTCTGTTCTAGAGAAACTGACAGAGGCAGAAATGTGTATTTAAATGTGTATTTAAATCCATTCTTGGTGGAGGGATACATTCAGGGTGTTGTAAGGCAAAATAGTCCCCATAGAAAACGTATTATTTTCAGATTTATGACTATTTTACCATCATTATCATTACATATAAAAGCTCAGAGGACACATGTGAGTTCGCTGGTGGTTCTGGATAGTAAATAAAATGTCTATATTTGTGTTGTTGTCATGGCGACCCCTGGTTCCTATCACCACCACTGTAAAGACATCTGAACCATTTCACACCAAACCACTCTGAATCACTCTGTTTACATTGCAATCAGTGAATCACTGAGATATGAATTCTTTACCGTTTAGAGTTGCATTGATGTTCAAAGGTTCATCATCCTCTATCAGCAGTTTCCTCTGTAATCGTCCCAGACGGCTCTCACTCTGCATTTGTTCTGCCAGTGGAAGGAACAAAGAACAAAGTTAAGACATTTCTGAGCCAAATCAATGAGCCTTGATGTGCCTTTGTTTTAGAATAATTTGGAAAAAAAGATGTGTAATATATCTGACATTTTCTGATTGGCCATTTTGCAAAGGGTTCCACCAACCAGTATCTCCTACATGCTCCTGGAGGTTTGAAGAGTCTTCTATGTGCGGGGAAGGTGCACATCCACATGCAGTGATAACCACCCAAAAACACAGGCCCAGAAGTAGCCAGGCACTGTTGCCTACATTGCCCATGATGCCCTGTCACCAAAAGAGAAAGAACATAGCTGCGAATCTCGCCTCCCGCATGTGTCAGGCTCCAGTCCTCACAGGCTGAAACACTGCAGACTTCAGCACACTGCCTCATTAAACACACCTGATTCAGCTCGTCAGCTAATTAGCAAGGACTTCATATCTGCAGCACTTTGGCCTGGAACGTCCCCAGTTTGACATGCCTGCTCTAGAGCAGTGGTCACCAACCCTCTTCCTAGATATGTACTCTTTTGCAGAGTTTAGTCCCAACCACCATCTTACATACCCCTCCCCCTTTACCTAACACTAATGCATCTGATGCAGCCAATCAGGAACTTCTGGTGAAGTTAATTAGCTGGAGCAGGTGTGGTAGGTTGTGGTTGGACCTGGATTCCACAGGAAGGTAGATCTCCAGGTCCAGGGTTAGTGACCGCAGCTCTAGAGTGAGAATGTCTGGTTTAAAGACTAGGAGACCCCCTTTTTGATGACGTATCTTGAAGGAGGAAGGAACTTTACATTACAGCTAGACAGTTAAATCTGTACGTATTAGCCTCTACATCAGTGGCTACGCTAGCAGTCAGGCTTTCTTTGTTGCCGCTGGGTTGTATGATGTCTTTGTGCAATGCACGCTGGGTATTGAAGTTAGAGAACATTGATAGATGAGAACACAAAAGGAAACAAAGCCATGAATTCTGTCAAACTGGTGAGGCTGAGGGATGCAATATTACAGAACATGATGAACAACATGATAAATGCTAGTTTTAAGCAGTTCAAGCTGTTAAGAGGGAGCAACACAGCGATTCTCAATCTGTCATTTTCAAATGAGTCCAACAGGTTTTATGGGAAATTAACACGTTAACTCAAAGAGTATGATTAAAAATGTCATGACAGTGTAAGTCATGTAAAAGGTAAAAATTCACAACTTTATTACAGTTTTATGGGCTAACACTTTATGGGCTCCCAAAGAAATGAGAAGTAAGCCAACATTTCACAGATTTTTTTCAAAATCTCTGCATAATTAAATGATTTAGATGTAAACAGAGTCATTCAGGGTGGTTTGGTGTGAAACTCTCTGTTCTAGAGAAACTTACAGAGTCAGAATTGTTCACAGTGGTGGTGATAGGAACCAGACGTCCACCTCTAAAAGCTCCCTCACAGAAAGTTACTACATGAAACGGTTAAGAATATGCTTGACGAATGTTTTTTACGATGGTTTTAAGTTCAGACTTTGGCATAAAATGTCATTTTTAAGCCATTCATGGTGAAGATATACACTCAGCTTGCTCTAAGGCAAAAAAACTCCCCCAAATTAAACTACTTTTTCAGATTTATGACTATTTTTCCATCATCAACATTACATATATAAGCTCAGAAGACTCGTGTAGGTTCTCTGGTGGTTTTGGATAGTAAATAAAATGTCTATATTTGTGTTGTAGTCATGGTGCCGTCTGGTTCCTATCACCACCACTGTAAAGAAATCTGAGTCAGAGAAGTTCTCAATGTTTTCTACAACGAACTTTAAAACAAAACACTCTGAACGACTTCGTTTACATCTCAACCGCTGAATTATACAGAAATTCCAAAAAAGTCAGTGGACATTCCCTAATTAAATGGACGTCTAAGAATTCATTCTATCTGAAATGGTTAAATCAGAGGAGTATCAGATTATCTGAACACGGCTGACGCTGTTACAACTGACACAAGCGCTGATAACAGTAAAGCTGTACTGAATAGCTTTCATGTCGTCTTCCACTGAAAAACAGCCATGAGTTCTTCACAGAAGTCATATGACCATCATGTGAGCCACACTGAATGATAGTTAACATCTACACGACATCACACCGGCATTTTATGAAACGTCAGAAATCAAGTGCTTACCGAACGGCTACAGCTACAATCCAGAATCAGAAACACTTCAAATGAAGTGAATTTCCCGGCACAGTGTGAAGGACAGGCTGGAGAGCGTCTTCAGCGCAGTAGCACAGACATTAGGCTGCTATAGAAATGTCTTGAGCAAAGGTTGAAGGAGGAGCAGCGCATTCCAGCAGAGGCCAGTTGATAAATAACTTTTATAACCGTTTAATTAGTCTGTATAAGTGGCCCTTAAACGTGTAAATGTTCCATTTTAGCACATTTCTTCTCTGCTTTTTGAATTGTGATTATAATAACATCATTATAAACACTCTATAATGCAGTACGCTTAGCTGGTCTCACTCCGCTTTGCTTTATGAGACTGACCAAGCTGCCACATGTGGATTAACGCTGGTCAGTTTTCCAGCTGTGCTTCTGTTCTCTGTCCAGGAGAGGACAGTGTGGGTTCTGTTTTTCTGAGTGCAGGTATGAAGGAAGGCCTGCTCGCAATGAAGCTGTTCTAAATACCAGTGAACTAAGTTGTGTTGTATATGGTTCTATATAGCTCCAAATAGGGTTCTTCTATTGTTACAAGCTTGGTGTTATTAAAAATAGCAGAACCCTTTTCGAAAAGGTTCTGTATAAAACAAATTACAACACATTCTTCATCGATCTGAAGAACCATTTCACCATGCAAAGAACCATTTAAGCATGCAAATGGTTCTTTGAGTGTTCATAGTTCTCTATGGAACCATATTCTTTACTAAAGAACCTGTGAATAGCCATGTTCTTTTAAGAGCGATGCCTCAAAAAGTGAGAAAATGGCACAATTTCCACTGTATTGCCTTCCTGGAGTTTGGGGCTGAACACTTAAAGAACCCTCTGCATGATTAAAGGGTTCTTTGCATCATGAAAGGGTTCTTCAGATTGATGGAGAATGTGCTGTAGATGGTTCTATACAGAACCTTGTTAAAAAGGGTTCTGTATAGCACCCAAAAGGGTTCTTCTATCGATACAAGCTTGAAATTATAACAATAGAAGAACCCTTTTTGGTGTTATATAGAACCCTTTTCAAAAAGGTTCCATGTACAACCACATACAACTCACTCTCCATCGATCTGAAGAACCGTTTCACCATGCAGTGAATAATTTAGGCATGCATATGGTTCTTTGAGTGTTCATGGTTCTATACAGAACCATTTACTTTACTAACGAACCCGTGAAGAACCATCTTTTTTCAAGAGCGATGCATCAAAAAGTGAGAAAATGGCACCATTTCCACTGTACTGCCTTCCTGGAGTTTGGGGCAGAACACTTAAAGAACCCTTTGCATGATTAAAGGGTTCTTTGCATCGCGAATGCGTTCTTCAGATTGATGGAGAATGTGCTATAAAGGGTTCTATATAGAACCTTCATCTATTCTTACAAGCTTACATCGCGACAATAGCAGAACCCTTTTTGGTGCTATATAGAACCCTTTCCAAAAAGGTTATATGTAGAACCATCTACAGCACATACTTAAGAACCCTTTCATGATGCAAAAGACCCTTGCAAAGGGTCTTTGAGCGTTCATGGTTCTATATAGAACATTTTCTTTACATCAATGGTTCTCTCTTTGAAGAACCATCTTTTTTTAGTAAGTTGGAACTCAGATCTCCAGCAGAGTCGGACACTGCAATAAAATAGCCTTACCTGCAGCTCCATCTTACTGGAGACGGTAGCTGATCTGTTGACGTACAGTTTGTGCAGTCATTGTCCAGCTCAGCGGTCACCAACCATGCTCTGGAGATTTGCCTTCCTACTGAGTCGAGCTCTAACCACAATCACACCAGCTCCACAACATCTTCAGAAACCCTTGATTTGCTGGATCAGACGCATTAGTGCGGTAAGGGGGTCAGTAAGGGGGTCACCACGTGAGAAGCAGAAAAGTAGATCTCCACAGGGATGGTTAGTGCCCACTGCTCTGTCCCTTCATCAGTGGCCAGTTTCTGAGCTGCTCTTGGCTGGATATTTTTGGATGGTGGTCCACTCTCAACCCCAGCGTCACCGCTGTGTCTGATACACTCACACCAGCACCACACACGCCACCATGTCAGTGTCACTGCTGTGCTGAGAATGAGAACCACCAGATAACGTCAATAACAGCAATCCTGCGGTCAGAAACTGACCAGTGATGAATGAGGTACAGCGGGGGATAAACTGTGCAGCAACAGAGCTACAGTCTGATTGTGCACTTACAGTACTGTGCAAATTCAGAGACCATACTTCACTTAATTTTCAGTTAAAACATCAAGCAGAAGAAATGTTTTTGAGGAGATTAGATATCAGATAATCCACTTTATATATACTTTATATAATATATATATATCGCTGTTGTTGGAAAAAAACCTCGTATCTCCAAAATGGTAACTTTACAGGAGAAGGAAAAAACCTACTTTACTTTTAATGTAAGTCAATGGAACCAGAGTTTTTTCCAAATAATTTTTGGCCGTTTCTTTTGGTCCATTCTTCATGAAATTTACATACAATGTAACGGGCAACAGGCGTTTTCAGATTATGTCATAAACTGAAAAATGACAAAAATGGATATGAGGTTTTCTTCTGACAAGAGCGATATATACTTAATGTTATATATTATACGTATACTTAAAATTGACTTATTTTGCAACGTGTTTTATTTTAAAGTTTTCAATCATAAAATCATGCCAAACAATTTCATTTAGAATTGTATATAACTATATACACCTGACATTTTTAAAGTTTTGGAGGCAAAAAAAAAAAACTAAAATGAATTTTATATGGATGCACTGAAAATTGTTTCACATAAAAGAGGCACTGCTGAATAATTTGATATGTGTCATGTATTTATTAAATATACACATCATAATTTATAGTTGTCTTCAGAACACCTTCGACTGAGCTAAGAGAGAATAAAGCTCAGTTTTTGGTCACATATCTCCTGGATGTGGTGCTAGTTATGCATAAAGCAGCTTCTTCATTTGAAGTGTTTGAGAAGAAAAGCATGTAAATGCTTGATAAGAACAATTCAATCAGAAACATACATAGAAAACACATTAACATATATCTTTAAAAAATGATAGAAATATACATGGTGTACGTTGCAATCAGGAAAAGTGATGCTGGCAGAAAAGCAACAACTACGGCTGATGACTGTACAAAAGCTGTAACTCGAGCCTTAAAAACAACTTTGATTACCTGCAGCCTCAGGAGTACAGACAATACACATGTGTGTGCTCTGAATGACAGGGTGGCTATAAACCCTGCATCATGCTGAAACTTCAAGTTTTATCCCCAGCATAAAACATTATGCTACTAACAAAACGTCAAGCCAAGGCAAGAGTTTGGCAAGGAAAAAAGGCCAAAGTAGTTCTTCAGTCAAAATCCAGCTGAGCAGGACTTTCACTTAAAGATAAAAGACTGAACACTGAAAACCCTCAAACATGCATGATTGGCCAAGACTAGAATCGGCCAGTTATTTGTTTTGATTTTGTCTGATCTGTGTCGCAGTATTATGACATTAATAACTTAATGCAGGTGATCAATCGGAAAGATGCAGGAAGCAGGTCGAAATGGTGATTGGTCACATGCTCAGGATAGTCTTTACGTAAACTTTATATTAACTGGTCCCACATAACACCACATGCAAAAGTTTGAATACCCGTGCTCATCATGTTGTTGATTTTCAAAGTGAAAAATTACTTCTTCTACAGAAAACAAACTTAAACGTGGCATTTTTCTGCAAATTATTAGAGCACAGTTACTATTTATTTGGTCTAACATCAGCTCACCGGACAGAAAATTAGTCCCGTGACTAAAACGTACCTAATAGTGCATGCAATACGTTTCTGATGTAGGCGACATCAACGTTCAGCCACTCTTGCGTCAAAGAATTGCACAGTTCGGCCAGATTTCATGGATACTCGCTGTTCCAGGTAGCCCCACAGATTTTCAAGAGGCTTCAGATCTGGGGATTTTGCGGGCCAGTCCAGATGTGTGAATGATCCTGAATGTTCATCATGCCAATCAGTCACATTTGCAGCCCTGTGAACGCGATAATCATCACCATGTAATACAGGGATAGGAATGTTATGCTCCTCTGTAAGATGATGATTAAAAGGCAAAACCTGGTTGTCCAGCAGCTCAGTGTCGGCACTGCGGTACAAATTTACTGTCACCCCAACCAAAGAACCCATTTCTGCGTAATTAAAACACCCCAGAACATCACAGAGCTCCTCCAGTTTGAACCACACCTTGTCCTCATTGAAGGCTTCCTGAGGTCTATGATGAACACAACACCGAGCCTGCATCGACTTCCAGAAGCAGTTCTTGCCTGGAAGCAAAGGCGCGAAACACGTCAGTGGTCCCTGTCAGTCAGTTCCATCTTTCAGGCCACAATTCTAATGAGTAGACTAGTATTTTTTGCCACTGCTGGTCAACCTGTATGACCGTACGCTTTGATACACCTGCAAATTCAGCTACTTCCTTCACACTGTGGCCTTTGACACGAACAAGAAACAATCACTCCTTTTTGCCAATCGTTGACATCTGCTGACATTCACTGCACTGTACCACCTCTTCTCAATCTATGAATTCCGTCACACACCCTGAAGGTATTTATAGCCATCTGCAGGAGCCTGAAGTTACTCCCACCTTAAACACACATGGTGACTAATTTTTTGTCCGGTGAGCTCATTAGAAAAATAGGTCACATTTTATGCATTTTTTCCCCACATAGTAAGTAAAGTAAATAAACAGTAATTGTGCATTAAAATGTGCAGAAGTGTTTTCTCTGTAGAGGATGTGTTCACTTATTTACACTTACAAAATCAATAACACATTTGATTTGACCAGGGCTGCCTAAACTTTTGCACAGGACTGTAACTCCAAGACCTTCTAATATTTCAAACCAAGGGCGAGAATCCCAGGCCTGGAGGGCCGGACTGCTGGACAGTTTGGTTATTTTCCTGCTCAAACTCGTATGATTATGGTCATAATCATACTGAATCATAATGGTGATACAATAAGAGCTAATAACTTCTAACCATCAGATAGAACTGTAACTGAGCCAAAGCATTTCTGCTATATGCTAACTCTCATACACTAAAGCCAGGAATTATTGGCAGCCTTCAGTGATAATAAACAAAAAGATTACAGGAAACATAACGTTGCTACTCTTAGTTTTCACCCACTTGTTTGTTTTCCGTGATTGGCAGATATGCAACAACACAACCAATTAAATTCAACCTTGTTTCTGAAATCCTGATGAAATACCATGTAAACGAGTTCACATTAATAAATCTTCTCAAATTGTTATTCCTCAAATAACTCAAATTGTCTTTTCTTAACTGAATGTTATGTTCTTAAATATTCTCTTAACCTTACGACAGTCTCACACTTGTCTTAGGCTGTAAGAGTCGACAAGGTCAGCATCTAAATTTATCTTGGACGCTGCTTCTGCTCCTCCTACCTATCCTCGTCCGTCACCCCACAACTATCGTATTTTCCAATGAGGATTTTTTCCTGTTGGCTGTTTCTTCCACCATCACCTCTAGTTCTTGTTCACATCGTTTATGTTACATGGTAAAAGCATACATACGAAAACAATGAAGATTTTCTTAAGGAAATCTTAAGAAAGTAATTAAGATTATCTTAAGAGAATATCTGAGAATTTTTTTTTTTCTTGAGAATTGCATTTAAGGACATTCGGTAACACTACTGTATGGTACTATTCATAAGACTTCATGACACCTACATAAGCTTGTCATGACAACTGACATAACCCTACTTAAATGTTTATAAATGCTTATTCCAACAGGTGTAATTCGCTATAAAGGTTACATTTGCCAGTTTTGATCAAAGTTAGCTAATGTGGTCTTTATGACAGATGACACCTATTGGAATAAGCAGTTATCAATATTTATGTAGGGTTATATCAGTTGTCATGACAAGCTTATGTAGGTGTCATGTAGCCTTATGAACAGTACCCTACAGTAAAGTGTTACCAAACACTTTAGGGTTTGTCTTACCTTTGTAAGTTTTTTCTTATGACAGCTTTTGTGAATCTGGCCCCCAATTCTGATTCTGAAACATTTTATATAAATAATAATAATAAATAATAATGATTTTGTGCTTTTGAAAAGCCTTGTGAAAGAGCTGATGCCTCAAATACGTTTAAAAATAAAATAAAATAGAAAAAGCTGCTCATATAAACACCACAAATAGAACTGTGAGCTCTCTGACTGATGCATTCACATGATTGCAATTTATTATTTATATATATATATATATATATATATATATATATATAATAAATTGCAATCATGTGAATGCACCAAATAAATAAAAAAAAATATATATATATATATATATATATATTGGAGAGAAAATATATATGATATTGGAGAGAAAATCCAATCCAGTCCTGTAACAAACCTACCCTGAAATAGCACACTCGCACTGTGATGATGTTAGCTGTGGGGTTAATAGAATGATTGAATAGTTAGTTATCATCTTAAGTGAAGTGCTTCAATGAAAAATAGCTCATTTTAAAGCTTGGTAGCTTTTAAAGAAAAATGGGCCAATACTTGGTAAATTTCTGAGTTGTACGCTTAATTGCACAATAGAAAACTGGTTCTGTTAAACAGGCCTACTAAAAAATGAAGCGCATGGCTAAAAATAGTGGTGTCCGGGAGCACTTTGAGAGGATGATGGCACAACCAGGTACAACATTAAATGCAAACATCCTCCAGCAATAAGACAGCACTTTCTCTTGCCCATGTTCTCCAAGACAAAGTGTGATGCACTGCATGTGAGTTAATGACACAAGGTAATGCAAAATCATAAAGGATATGGTGGACAGACGAGAGCTACTGAGGTACACTGAGCCAAAGCTGCCTCAGTCAGGACATTTTTGAGGAAGGTATCGACTTGGAGAATGAAAATTTGGTGAAAATATCAAATTGTGATTGTTCTGACTAAAATTGTGACTTTCAATTGCAATTATTTTCTATAAATGAGGGTCTTTTTGGCTAAGAAGACCAGAACATCCACCCTTTCTGGCTTGAGGCTTGACCCCTGAATGCAGTGTGCCAGACTGCTAGTAAGCTGTAATGTCACAACACATGGAGGAGTGGTAGACCTTAATTGGTCTAATTCATCAGGGAGTTTACAAGCTGTGTTATTAGGTTCAGTTTCCCACTTAAAACTTAAGACAACGTCGCTGACAATATAGACTACAATTTAAAAAATTGCAGCACTTGTGATTTGAAAATTGTGCTCTCGTAAAATTGTGATTTCAATATAAAACATCATTAACAACAACATTAATCTTTCAGTCCTAGTCTCAGTCACGGCATTTCTGTTCATTTTGACTTGGCGTGATAATGAGTGGTAAATATAACCTTAGAATTTTGTAATGTAGGACTTTCAGTAGGCAAGCATCATGTATCTTAGCCATTTCATCAACTTTTTAGACTTTGGTCAAGTAATCATGAACATGATACAGTATCAGCCCCTCAGTTAGGGCTGAACGACTTTAGCAAAATTTCTAATTCCATCTTTTCTGACCAGTATTGCAGTTTTGATTTAATTTGAAAAAGTTTTCTATAAATTGTTTTCTATAAACTGAGGTTTGGGCCTTTTTTGTGCCTAAGAAGACCAGCGTATATTTTTTCTGCTTTGAGGCTCAAACGCTTAACACTGTGTGCCAGCCCGCCAGTGGTTGTGATGTCACAAGTTTAGTTGCTTTTGATTAGTCGAATTCATCTAAAAGCAGTTCACAAGCTCAATGTAATTAGGTTACTCAAAACCTGCAATGTGTCGCCGTTGACTATAATAAAAATTGCAGCTCTTGCAATTTAAAAACCGTAGTCTTTCAAATTGCGATTTCAGTATAAACACAATTAATCGTTCAGCCCTACCCGCAGTTAAACAAAACCTGGTTCTTATGTCAGGTATAATAATGTTTAATATGGTTTAAGTACACAGTCATTTCTGGTTCCAATACTGTGTTCTGTACAACAAACACTTCTTAATATTTAAGTACATTAATACAGAATTCATTTAATGTGTGCACTCATAAGTATGTGTGTATCAAGTGTTCTACAACGTGTTAGAATGCAGCTCAGCCAATCAGATTTCAGAACCAGAACTATGCATTTCACAACAGATAGTCTGTTGGCGTGCAAACTGCCAAAATTTGCATTTGCGGTGCGTATCGGAAAACAAAGTGCTAACTGCGTTATCTCCAGTGTGAATATTAATCATCTCAGCTTTGTTAAACTTCCAAACAAAGTCTTGAGGCCAACTTGATAGCAGACTCTTTAGAACTTGACTTAGCTTTGGCTCAAAAGCCACAACGCCAGGGGGCAAACGTCCCGCTGAAAACAAGCAGAAGCATGATGAAAGTCTTTGAGTTTTTATGTTGAGTACATCCACTGGCAATATGATCTTCTTGCAATACTTTGCTGCAGCAAACACTGGACACATTCAGTTGTAGGCACATAACGGACTTATCTTCAAACGAACAGTAGCTCAGTCGTGTCCGGCGCCCAGCCCAAAAACTCTCAATATCTCCAGAGATGAGAAGGAAAACCTGAGGTACAGAATGGAATCCTAGGAAGGGCCTTCATCGTTCACCCTGCTGACAGTGGCCACGAAGCAGCGCTGAAAGAGGCGCTCAGGCTCGGCCGGCTGGTTGGCGCAGTCCAGTTTACTGTTTGGGAAGTGTCTGCGGAAACCCTGAGGGCCGGCGGCATGGCTGGGCTCGGGACTGGGCTCTGGCTCTGCATCAGAAAAGACAAGAGTGTATAAATAATGTAAAGAAATCAATCAGCAAAGCCAAGTTAGAAACTCCTTAAGTCTCTTTGCCTGGAGGTGGCAACCAACGACTCCTAAGCGTTAGGTCTCTTTTTCATAGCTTTTCATTATTATCTATTAGCATCACTCTGTAAGAGCACTTTGCGAGATGTAAACTAATAAGGCGCAGCACTCTAGCTCTAAAAGATTAGCTTGAAGAGGCATCTGAGCAGCGTGGTGTATAAACCTGTCAGTCCACTATCTCTAATCTCTGAAGAGATGACCATTTGTTATAAAAAAAACATCACTTGTTATAAAGAAAAGGTGGTAATACTTTATATAAATACCACACCGTAAAAAAAAAATCTGTAAAAATAAATCAAAAACAAGAAAAAAAAAAGCCAACATCAAGGTTCCAGACAAAATCGGTTAATTAAAAGTAAAATTATGTTCTCTTAATCATAGTAAAAATCTGTGAAGTTGCAGTCATATAAATTACTTATATTATTATATAAAATATTGCTTTGGTTGCTTAAAATATTCATCAATATATCAGTAGTTCAGCTACTTATTCTGATATACAGTATTTTACTGTAATAACAGGAACAGCTGTTAAAAAAAATATGAATGTCTGTGAAATAAAGGCGATCATTTGTTTTATGAATTTACACTGTATTTTTGTAAATTAACAACAGCAGCATTAAAACACAGGATATCGCTGCTGTCGGAAAAAAACTTTGTATCTTAAAAATGGTAACTTTACAGGAGAAGGAAAAAACTACTTTACTTTTAATGTAAGTCAATGGAACCAGACTTTTTTACAAGTTATTTTGGGTCATTTCTTTTGGTCCATTTGTCATGAAATTTACACACAATGTAAAGAACAACAGGTATTTTCAAATTATGTCAAACACTGAAAAACTACGAAAATGGAGATACGAGGTTTTCTTCCGTCAACAGCGAAATGTATGTTTATTTACATGCATTTACACTTTTTTAAATGAGTATTACATTTTAAAGTACTTTGAGAGTGAAAATACCTTGTGCATGTCTGAGAAACACATTACATATTCATAACACATTACAATGCAGTCATAAAGCATTAAAAGTGTGGCAATAGACATTTAATATCGCTTTACAGGAACTACATATACATGAAGCGATCATGGTATTCATGAACAGTACAGTAACTCCATTATTATCACATAATCATTGTTAAACCTTCATTAAATACATTCATTCATTAGTGATGAACATATAATGTAAAGAACTGGAAACACAATCAGAGATATGATCATAAATATGTTAACATTTCAGGGAACAACTACGATTCAAAGCACATGATGTTCAAAAGGTTTCCATCCTGCAATAATGCATCATTATTGATATTAATCTTAATAACATTCAAAAAGCATTCATGGCTGAAATATTTCTATACATTACATGTAACTCATGAGATAAAATATCCATTAATATTTCATAAAGTGATTATCCTGAGAATGTGATATTACTGTGATTTTACTGTACAGTTCGTGAATGCTACAGGAATATTTCATGTATGAGTTGGTATCGCAGCTTGCTTAGATCTTGTGATGCTTGATGATCATAAACCCTCTTACACAACAATGAATGTAATTTGGATCTCTCTTGAATCGGCTTGCCTTGTGCTGAGTGTTTAGGCTACTTAGGCTGTTTATTCCCTGAATAGACTTTAATTTATTCATGATCATATGATGTTTATGCTAAGCAAGTGTTTTCAATTCATTACATTACATATTCATTGCCCATCAATGAATGACTATGCAACTGTAATGGATTGTTCCTGTACTGTTTATGAATATGCCATGAGTGCTCCATGTACATGTAGTTCCTATAAAGCGTTACCAAATATAAAAAAAAATGCATTACACTTTATAGCAGTGTATATAAAGCATTATGAAATGTTCAGATAATCCAGGTTATATATATATATATACATATAATATATATTAAGTGTTCATAACCTAATCATAAACGAACATAAACATAAATAAAACATAAATAAACCTTCTAAAATATATCACACTGTATAAACAGCTTACAAATGAAACTTGTTATTTTAACTAGTTTATATCATATATCTATTAATAATCAATACCCATAATTATATATATATATATAAACGCTGTCACTATACAGTGAAATGCATTAAAAATGACTAATAATAGGCTAATATTTCATAACAGATCAAGCTATTAAAGGAAACCATGGCATTACTCTGTGTTTCTTTATGACTACGAAGGAATGAACACTACTTATAATGCGAAATGTTAACAATTCATTAATAACATATTATAATGCATTCATAGGGCATTACAAACATGACTATAAAGTACGATGCATTTTATACATATTTATAGCCATGTTTATAATGCCTTATAAATGTATTATAACATGTTACAAATGTGTCCATAGATTCTGAGAGATATGGTATTCATAGAAAGTGTTACTGAAAAGGTTAACCAATCACAGCTATTCTGCTCCTAAAAATGGATGCAAAAGTCAATATACTTTGACAATCTACACAGTATTCAGCATAATTTAAGTTAAATTACATATTTTAGCATATCCATTTGAATAAAACAAAAGGTTAGCTGTATTTCTTTGTCAGAAGCTTATCTGATCACATAAAAATACATTAAAAGTGAAAAAAGAAACAATCAGCTCTGAAAACATGCCCAACAGAGTGATTTCTATGATAACTAAGCATCAATTGATGAAAAGAAACAAGTCTGTCAGCTCATTTTCAAATGCGCAAAGGTGACAACATCATATAAACCTCCTTTAAAGACCCACAGAATGATTCAGAATAAAACATGTCTCATTTTGTTTCACAATCCAGGAGCAAGGATCCGCATACCAAACACTATCACATACTGCCTGCTCCTCTTTGTAACTCGGGCGCATTCAGTAATGTTTCTCTAGTCCATTTGGACGCATTGTCTTTGAGAGAGGTCTATGGAGGCGACCCAACCGAATACAGAGAACCTAATTAAAAAATGCATCCAGGCTTTCATGCCTGTGTTCACGTTCTGCGCTTTTATTCCTCACGTCTTCTCCAACGCTTTTAAACATGAATGTCTGGTGCAGAATGAAAGGAACATTAGTGAACAGCACCTGAGTGACACTCTGCCTTTAATTTAGTGTCACAATCCTCCCACCATCATATCTCCTCTTCGGCATTCACTTTCATTATGCCATAACATCACACGGCTGACAGACATGTAGGATTTTACATGGTGATAGACCACTGTGGTCGTGCCTCATTCTGTAGTCTGCGTTATGCCCATATTAGGAATTCCGGGTCTAAGCGTGATTTCTCTATGTCCAGAATGAAAGGGGGTTTTGTGGTAGATAAAAATGTCCATATTAACACATGGGATCCTAAGGTGTGGCCACCACTTAGTAAGGCGTGGGAACAAGATCATGTCGTGTTATCTCATTCCCATGCCTTACCAAGCCGTGGCCATGCATTATTTTTATTTATACATTTGTGTTATTGTGTGTTATTGTGTGGATCCTCTGAATTACGAGGTCATTAAAAGTCTTAATACTAATATTGCTACATGCAAGCTAAGCTACTGCGCATCAATTTGATGTCCCTAACCCACTTGAAGGTAAGGCGGGCTACAGCAGTGTTCTAAGTTATGCTACCCTATCAAAATGTCTCACCGTAGCACATATTTATAGGTATGCCTGTAAAAAACCTCTAGGTAGGATATTTCGACAGCCTAAAAGCTCCTTATAAAAACACTACCAGCATCAAAACTACGAGGCTGTAATCTCTTTCCATCTTAAAGATGAACCAGTTGTGATTTGTTATTACATACATCAGCAAACGGGACAAAAAAATGACCTGTTGATTCTGTGAAACAGCAAAAAGAAGTTAAATGTTAATCAGCTGTCAAGCCGAAATGAAGCTACCAGCTTACATCACGCCTTTCAGCTCTCCATGAAGCTTCTTTTTCGCCAGCTGCTTGTGTGAATTTTCCAGTTCCACCTTAAATGGCATAGCAGTTGTTATAACGCCTCAGGCATCAGACAGTAGCTGCTCCACCATTTAAATTGGAACAGGCAAATTCAAACAAGCAGCTGGCGAATGTCCTAAGAAAATGTCTTTAGAAGATGTTACTAGCATTAAAATAATAATTAGGATATGTTAATAGCCTAAATCAGGGGTGAGCAGTGATATTAAGTTGAGTCTGTACTGAATTAGCCTGAGTGTAGGTAAGTTTGTAGTGCTTTTCAAATCAAGCTGTGTACTGATTGGACAAATCTATCACGTTTCAGTGAGAATCAGATGAAGAACAGAGAACTGCAGGGAAAACTGCTTCTTTTGTTCTGATGTCTTTTCATTGCCTTCAGTCTGTACATGGAAATACGCTACCACACTGGCAATGTGTGCTTAAGGAGGCTGCCAGTCTAATGACGTGAATTGACTGTGCTTATTTCGACTCTTTACTGACCTCGGAATTTAGAAGATCCAGTGATGTCCGAGAGAAGAATGTTCACAGGACAAAACATATCAGTTTTGGAACATTTTTGACCATAACATGATGTGAAAGAGGTAATTTTTTTGAAAACTCCATTTATTTTTCTCATAGAGAAATCTCTTTGAGATGCAGAGTTCCTTATACAGGGATAAGAGCATGGCGCCGACTACAGAATGATGACACGACCACAGTGGTCTATAGAAATGCCCCTTAGACCTTTGCTTTATGGTTACAGCACTGTGCAAAAGAGACCACCCTTCAGTCATTTCTCTCTAAGTTATTAATTTTTCAGTGTCAGAAAAAAGCAGAAAAAATTAACAGAATATTAGACAAAAATCTCAACAACTATTCTAAATATAATATCATGTTTTTAAGTAATCAAACACATTCAGTGGTGTTGAGGTCTGGACTCTGGGGTGGTCAGTCCATTGTTCAGCTTCTTTGTTTGATGTGTCCGTCTCCTTTTCTCAGTGAGGTTCTTCTTGACAGCTACACATCCTTTCAGACCCACAGCGCTGAGTCGTCTTCTCACAGTGGAAGGATGGACAGAAACACCTGTGGATGTTTTCAGATCTGAAGCAGCTTGATTTTCTCCTCTTTCTCAAAGATGAAAGCTTTAAGTGCTGTTTATCTGATGGGGACAGTTTTGGTGCCTACCAGGTCTTCCAGGTGGTTGTTTCTCCATTTTCTCTGTAGCTTTTAATCAGTATTTGAACTCAAAATCTGGAAACTCATGGTTTTTCCATATATTTTCCTTTGACTTTCTCCTTCTTAATGCCAGTAGATTATCTCATATCTAATCTCCTCTGAAAAACCAATATCTTGTACTTAATGGTCATTTTGACTGGAAACGTAATAAATGAATGGTGGTCTCTGGTGTTCCCACAGTACTGCACCTTGTGAGAATGTGTGAAATGAGCCCTTTAAGACTATAAATACTCTGAAAGCTGAAACATATGATTTCTCCTGAAAACTGGTGATTAAACCTGTCAGTTCTTACATGTTTCATTTTCTGACAACATATCTGAACTGAATGAGCCATGGTCTATAAATGAATCAGTCTGCCTATTTCACTTGTCCTCCAGTATTTTTTCACTCTGTCTATCTGTCTGTGTCTGACTGACCGGGGGCGCTGAGAGGTAGGCCGCTGTCCAGGCGGCTCGGTTTAGTGGCGATGAAGAGGTAGCAGAGAACACAGACAGTGATGAGGAACGCCAGCAGGACAACAGCAGCGATAGAGAGACCTACCAGAGCTCCAACACTGAGAGAGAGAGAGAGAGAGAGAGAGAGAGAGAGAGAGAGAGAGAGAGAGAGAAAGAAATAGAGAAAGAGAGAGAGACAGAGAGAATGAGAGACAGAGAAAGAAACAGACAAATAGACAGAGAGAGAGAGAAAGACAGAGAGAGAAATAGACAGATAAAGAGAGAGAGAGATGGGAGAGAGACAAAAAGAGAGAAAGAACGACAGAGAGTGAAAGAGAGAGAAAAGGAGACACAGACAGAGAGAGGGAGGAGAAAAGGGGAGAGTGACAGAGAGAGAAAAAGAGAGCGAGAGAGAGAAAGAGAGAGAGTCAGGGAGAGGGACAAAAAAGAGGGGACAGAGACAGATAGAGACAGAGAAAAAGAGAGAGACACAGAGACAGAGAGAAAGAGAGAGAGAGAAAGAGAAATAGAGAGAGACAAAGAGTGAGAGACAAAAAGAAAGAGAGAGAGAGACGGAGAGAGGGAGACAGAGAGCGAAAAAGGTAGAGAGAGAGAGAGAAAGAGAGAGGGGGAGAAGGGAAGAAAGAAAGAGAGAGAGAGAGATAGAGAGTGAGATACAAAACAAAAGAGAGAGAGAGAGAGACAAAAAGAAAGAGAGAGAGAGAGAAAGAGAAGGGGAGAGAGACAAAAAGAGAGAAAGAAAGACAGAGAGAGTGAAAGAGAGAGAGAGACAGACAGAGGGAGGGAGAGAAGGTGAGAGAGAGACAGACAGACAGAGACAGAAAGAGAGACAAAAAGAAAGAATGAGAGACAGAAAGAGAGACGGGGAGAGAGACAAAAAGAGAAAGAAAGACAGAGAGAGTGAAAGAGAGAGAGAGAGACAGACAGAGGGAGGGAGAGAAGGTGAGAGAGAGACAGAGAGAGAGAGAGAGAAAGAGAGAGACAAAAAAAGAACGAGAGACAGAAAGAGAGAGACGGGGAGAGAGACAAAAAGAGAGAAAGAAAGACAGAGAGTGAAAGAGAGAGAAAGGGAGACAGAAAGAGAGGGGGAGAGAGAGAAAGAAAGAAAGACAGAGAGACAGAGAGAGGCAGGGAGAAACAGAGAGAGTGAGACAAGGAGAGGAGAAAGAAGAGAGGGAAAGAAAGATGGACACAGGATAAGAGAAGAAAAATGACAGTGGTAGATGGAGGGATGGAAGGAGAAAAGGAGAAAAAGAGGAAGATTTAGACATAAGCAGACTGTACATTAAAATAGACACTAAAGAAGAACAAAAATAAACACATGAACTAATGTTAGCTGTTCATCTGATGATTATAAAGTCCTGCAACTGCAGATTCTTATTAAAGGAAACAGAGCCTATCAGAACCTCCTCCTTACAAAACTACGGGGGAATAAAACCTGTTCTTCTTCGAACTTTCCCGTTCCACCTTAACTGGTGCAGCACATACATTCTGGCAATGTTACTGCTTCACCATTTAAGGTGGAACGGGAAGATGCGAACAAGAACCTGGCGAATAGCGAGGTATCCAACTTCAGCCTCGTAAGAAACAACTCAGTACGCCTTCCAGGGGCTCACAGACTCACCTCAGCCACCACATGTACCCATATTCGTAGGGGAAAAAGCTGTTCGGGTCGTCGCAGCAGTATTTAATGTCGTTAAATCCGCAGCAGAACGCCGCCCGCTGGTCGCCGCCCGGTTTGGGGCAGGTGAAGCCGCGGACGAACGCTTTCTCCGGGGTGTAGTAACCCGAGCACACCGAGCTCATGCTAACGGCAAGACCCGCTTCGCACCGCTTTTCATCGCCCTCACACGCTTGTACTTCCACCGTGGGTGCCAGGATGCCTTTATTTTTCTCTTTTTGAGACGAAACTTCGAGAATTTGTTTCCATTTTTACTGTAATTTTCGTTACCAGAGCCGGTCAAACAGAAATAACCGTTATTCGAATTCAAAAAAAGTCCGTTACTCCAACTTGGGGGTCAGTTTTATCTGTTCACTTGGGCCACGCCCCCTGGCAACAGCGTGGCACGCCCCCTGACAACAACATCATTTGAGAACTAGGGGCCTGCAGTTTACGTTCATTTAAAGGGGAATTCCACCAAATTCTAAATTTTTCTACATAACTCAGTCGCTGAGATGTTATTCAGAGTGTTTTTATGTGAAAATGGTTAATTGCCTACGGAGCCTCGCTGGTGTGGCCACGACTTAGTAAGCCATGGGAACAAGATAGTTAAGTCGTGGCCACGATTTAGTAGGCCATAGGAATGAGATTCTAATGCATGGCCACAACTTAGTAAGGCGTGGGATCTCGTTTCCACATGTTAATAAGGCGTGGCCACGCATTATTTTTATTTCTATAGGATGTCACCAGCGGGGCTCTGTAAATTGCAGACAAACGTATTCAGATTTCTTTACAGTGGTGGTGATAGGAACCAGGAGTTGCCATGTCTACAACACAAATATAGACCATCTTAAACCACCAGCGAACCGACACGAGTCTTCTGAGTTTTTCTACGTAATGTTAATGATGGTAGAATAGCATTAAATTAGTAAAAAAAAATAGTTAAAATTAAGTTTTATTTTGGTACTGTTTTGCCTTTAGACACCCTGCATGCATCCCTTCTCCATGAATGGATTTTAAAAATATCTTTTAGACTAACGTATTCTCAAAACTATCGTAAAACAAGACATCAGGCAGCGAATTCAAAACCATTTTGTGCAATAACCTGTGTAAAGAGCTTTTAGAGGTGGACGTCTGGTTCCTATCACCACCACTGTGAACAGTTCTGACTCGGTAAGTTTCTCTAGAACGGAGCGTTTCCCACCAAACCACTCTGAACAACCCTGTTTACGTCTTAAACATTAAATTATGCAATTTTGAAATACAGGTGGAATCCCCCTTTAAACTCCTCAGACGTCTGGTTCCTATCATCACTGTTGAGAACAATTCTGACTGCTTGTTCCACATCAGACCACTCTGAATGATTTTGTTTACATTTTAATGATATAATTATGAAAAAATGAAAAACATTCCTCTTATGTTATTACTACATATTCAAAAGTTTTTTTTCTTTTTTTACATACAAAAAAGTAAAAAAATGTATAGTCATTTAGTAAATCATAATAATGAGAACGTTTTCAATGAGACTTACTTTCACATAAATATAACAGCATTTAATTATTACCACTTGCTATTTCATAATAATGAGATATTATTCATAATCATGACTCAGTATCTCATAATAATGACTTGCTATCTCATAATTATGACTCAGCATCAAAATTATGACTTATGTTCTCATAATTATGGCTAAGCATCTCATAATTATGACTTAGCATCTCATGAATTACTTTCTCATAACTATGACTTAATATCTCACAATTATGACTTACTTGTTCATTATTGTGACTTAATATCTCATAATAATAACTTACTTTTTCATAAATATGACTTATTATCTCATAATTGTGGCTTACGTTCTCATAATAATGACTTACCATCACATAATTATGACTTAATATCTCATAATTCTGACTTAATATCTCATAATTATGACTTACTTTCTCATAATAATGACTTACCATCTCTTAATTATGACTTACTTTCTCATAATTAAGACCTAATATCTCATGATTATGACTTCGTATCCCATAATTACAACTTACTTTCTAGTAATTATGGCTTAGTATCTCATAATTATAACTTACATTCTCATAATTATGACTTAGTATCTCATGATCATGACTTACTTTCTCATAATTATGACTTAATATCTGATAATTATGATTAATAATGACTAAATACTAAATAATTAATTAATAATCATAATTATCATAATCATAATAGTCATAATTATATAAAATCTTCTTGCTATAATCATTATTATGACTTAGCTACTAAATGACTATGTGTTTTTCTCCAGTGGTGTAAACAGGCTTCCACAGAAAACACACTCATTTCATAGCGTCCTTTTTTCAGTTCAGGGTGCCCGGAGAGCTCAGCACCAGGGCTCATAAAAAGCGAGGGGTCCAGCTGACAAAACCAGCAAACAAAACACACCTCTGTCATTGAAGACAATGAAAATGAATCCCCCCTAAGTTCACATAAAATGTTTCAAATGCGATTTACTGTTGCATTATGTTGTGTTTTTCATGTGGAATGAGTCACATGCTCTACTTCACCGATTCCTGTTTTGGGCTTCATTCTGTTGTGTTGGTTCAGCTCCTGAGCTGCTGAGCTGTTGCTCACAGCTTTTTTTTAGATGCTGAAAGCTCCACTACAGTTCCATTGGGAATACAGCACTTCTGATTTCGGTAACACTTTGTTTGAAGGCCTACATAGTGACCTCATAGCACATGCATAAGTAATGAATAAGGGTTTATAAAGCAACACTTAAGTATTAATGAAGAGATTATGCCATGGTTAGCGCAAGGTGTTCTGAAAAGTAAATTGCATTGCATTGACATTACTGGCTTTAAACTTAAAGGGGAAGTCCACTGATATTTCAAAATGTCGGCATAATTCAGTGCTTAAGGTATAGACAGAGTCTCTCCACAGCAAAACTACCGGATGTTGGCGGCCTACGACTTACTTTATTTTTTACCATGCTATACTTCCAAACTGAGCTTTAGAGATTAGACAAAATAACCAGAAGTTCAAGAAAAAGTCACATAAAAGTACAAGTATTTTTCCTGGAGTAGTTCCCACAGGGAATGGGCTTATCTGTCTCCTCAGGTATTCTCTCTACGCTACACCTAACTGAACTTTCACCCAAGTTAGAATTTCAGTACTCTTTACACATAAGCCGCAAGATTAAAGCCTTTGCAGGCCAGAGCGAGCCGATTCTCAGTCCATTGCTGAGTCTGCGTGATGAACTGAATGCTGAACAGCCTTGTATATCCCACTTGTGCATTTCAGCGATATGCACAATATGTATCAAGGCTGACAGCTAACATCATGAAAAGAGGGGGCATCCAATTATGTGCGAGTGAAGCACTGTAAGCTTCAGGGAGTGTGGAAAAATGGAAATGGCATGATATCACTTCTGATCAGATATTTTTTCTTTTACAATGCTTTAAATTGAGCTAATAGGCTTTACCAGCTAGCGTGTGGGACTTTCCCTGTAAACAGAAGCCATGTTGAGCACTATGAGCTCTCTCATTAGCTGTTGAACTAGCAAACAGCCTCCTCCTCCTTATAACAGGAGTGGGACCCAGTGAACCCACAGGTTCCAAACATTAGAATATTTTTTTAGAACATGATATTATATCATAGCCGTGACATGCACTATGTGCAGTGCTGAAAGTTGGCGCCAGTCAGTCAGTCAGTCAGTCAGTGGCCCAGTCGTCTGTTGTCGGCCTGAAGATTTTGCCAGTTGTCAGTCAGCTGCGCCTGTTTTCTGTTTGTTTGTGTTCTTCAGAATCAAAATATTTTGTAGGGCTGACCCAAATACCATTTTTTGGGCTCTGGGATTCAGCAGAAGACATCAGGCCGTGGTGGGGGTGGGGATGTTGGGGTGGCTGAGAAAATTCGTGTCTGACACCCATTTTAAATCTGAATCTCCAGGCTAGCTGCTGTGCTGATAGCACAGCCTCACTCCGTCTACCAGGCCTGCAGGCTAGGGGGCGCTATCATGCATGCACTGGTTTACCAGCGCTTCACGGAGGTGGTCTAACTCAAGGGCATAACTTGTGGTCCTATTAAGAGTCCGATACAGCGGGGCACTGTTTGCGGACACACTGGGAATACATGCTGTCTAGCACCGCAATAGCATGATGTTCCACTTGCAAAAACATGCTGACAAAATGTACTGTGGTGTTGCCGCTCCGCAATGCAAGTAGTTCAGCTTTTAAAGAGAAGAAATGTTTATGTTGGGCTGTGTTAGGTTCATTCATACAAAGACTTTTATGTCGAAGAGCCTGAATATGGGTGGAGTGGTGGGTGTTCCGGAGTATAGCAGAGGGCTGTGTTTTTAGCTGTCAGCGCTGGAGAGGCTGTTTCCTCTCACCATGTGAGTCATCTAAGCCCCGAGTCATCTAAGTTTCTCCTGAGAACCCTGAACGTTACAGCATTTTGCGGTTCGCCTATATTGAGAGCCTACATTTAGCCAAAAAACGGGAATATCCGAATCCCAAAAATAACAACCAAATACCTACCAAATGAACAAATATCTGAATAGTTGAATATTCAAGTTTTATTACAAACCTCTAAAATCTAAGAATAGCTCTATTGCATCGAAGGCCCTGTAGTTACTGAATAATGAGGCATTGCATAAAACAAACCAGGAATGTTAAGGGGTTAAAGATAGCAGATAAGACAGTTTTTATTAGTACAGTTATTGAAAAAGAACAGGGGTGTCAATATTTGTCCAAACAGTGAATAAATAAAACTAATTTTAAAGTTAAAAAAAACTTTTGTTAATGCATTCCAAGAAGGCTGCATTCATAAATAGCTATAAATGTGCTAATAACTCTTTGTAATGTGGTAACAATGCTTTGTAAGCATACTTATAAACTCTAATAATGCCTCATAGGGCTGCAATATGTTCTACAAAAATGTATTCATTATATTCATTATAATGTCATATCAATGGATAATGGCCTGTACATAATTATAAAGCACCTATAATACTTTTTAACAATTATCAACATTTAAAATTGCATCAGTGCATGCTTTAAGTAAAGTGACTGATATTTTATGTCATGCACATTTGAATGTTAAATGCACTGTTTTTGTGCTCGGTAATATACTGTATATCTTATTATTGCAGGATCAGATCAGATCTCACATTACAAAAAGTTTATAGTAGTGTATAATTGATTTATAACAAAGAATAACATAAAATATCAAAGCATTTTTAAGTGTTTATAATGTTTTTATAATTGTTAAAAAGTATTATAGGTGCTTTATTATTACAGACAAGTCATTATCCAT